AAACAGTAAGGTTACTTGCCCAATAAATAATGCTGATATGCTGGACAACCTGTTCTCATTGGTCTATCCACCATGGCATACACACCCACAAAAACCAACACGTCACAATTTCTGAAACTTAAACCAAGTGTTAATTGCCCCCTGACAATACATTTAAGCACATTTATCCACAGCACTGTCTAGTATTTCTGTATTTCAAGGTGAAATTGAGAGGACAAAATGGAATATCTGTATCGGTTGGCAGATTTCTTTCTAGAATTGGATGAAAACAAGTCGACACGTTTTTACAGTATGCAATTAGAATTAGACTGTGGATAAGTTGGCCAGAACATTTTGGCTGAAAATGTGTTTCCCCCAAAAACACTCGGTTGAATTCTCAGAAAGGCGACATTTTCTTGTCAAGGGGCAGGGGTAGTCTAGCATTATTGGCATTAATTATGGGACTAGTACTGCAGGTGGGATTTTTACTAGCCTTATTGGAAAAGATCCTAAGGAGTGAATGGAATCATCACATTGTCATTTGTTAAACCCCAGCTTCTGCAGGTCCTATGCAACCCATTTGATGGGCGACGCACGACGGACGACGAACAACGCACAACGGGGTGTACTGAACATATATAAAAGTGCTACTTTGCTATACACCTTGACCCTTTTCACATAGAACTGTCACGAAATGCCACCACTGTTGAAATGCAACTCCATTATAAAAGCAAGAAGATGGTGTCCGGAAATTGGGCACAAAGTCGGTAATCATATTTTGGCGAAAAGTCACTGTATTTCAAATCGGTAGACTCCAGTTCAATTATATTTGAAATTTTTTTGGCGCTGTTGTCCTCTACTGCTGATTTCAACGGCAACTCAGAGCTGGTAACATAGGGATGAAAGACAAGGGCGTAGGCTGGGAGGGAGCTGCGCTGCGGACGCACCCCCCCCCCGAGAGTTTCGCTTCAGGTGTTCATGTTTTCATTTTTTTCAACCATTCAGTAGTACGTTATTTTATAAAGGTGAGAGTACGTGGGTTTTTGATACGCGATGACCGAACGTAACATAGCAAATATATGTACATGCATCTGGGACAATCTGCTTTTCACGTGCGCACTTACCTTCCCCGTTTAAATACTTGAAGTTGGAGTTCCACTTTCTTGAAAATCGCACCCCCGGGGGGAGGCAAACCAGCCTACGCCCCTGAAAGAGTGTTATGAACATGTATGGGTGTACAGACAGTTAACATGTGACAAATTATGTAACGGTACTGCGCACGATTATGTTTTTGACCAGCGTTGGGCCCCAGGCCACAGTGAATGACCTCAGTCTACTCCAGAATATTCTTGTTATACGTCCGGGAAATTTCTTGTAAGCTGAGGACATTTCCAGTTATCTAGCGTATGCTAGACATTTAATAGAAAAGTTCATCCAGACCAAGTGAAGTGCAAAGCAGAATCTTGTTCCAGAAGAGACAGTTTGTTAACTGAATCCAGTTCCAGTTTGTGGGATATCAAGTCCCGTATTTGTGACGTTTATCACACCCTCGCCGTTTCGTCTCGAGCCCGGTCGAACTTATTCGACGTAGTCTTTGGCCCCGTCGCAGCTCACAAGGACTGAACTGTTTTTCCGCCACCTGTGGAGTCTAGCATTCTTCACCGTAGTGCCTGCCAAGCTCTCGCCCGTAAAATCATCTTGTTCATACAAGATCTTTTTCTTGATTCTTTATCTTTATCATTATAAACTAGTTCAAATCAGCATTTTCTTTGTTACTTTAATCTGTACATGCCAAGTGTAACATTCTCACTAAATCAAACATGTTTAGTTGCTTCTTATTATGATCTTGTTTGGCTTCTTTGTTGCATCGGGGAAAATCCAAACTTTAGAATAACTGCCACTCTCAAATAGTTTGGGGATTTCCAGATCGGAAGAAGAGGCATTTACAAACATTCTGTATGCCAAGTCTGGTTGAAATCCAGCAGAGTTTGGTCAGGTTATGGCTAGGTGTGTACAATAAAACGGGGGTTTTGGTAAGAAGCATCGAGAGAGAGTGTATTCATAAGTTCTTTTGATGGCACTTCTTCCTGTTGGGCGTCAAGGATTAAAAATACCGGTTCAGGGGATCATAAGGCCACACCCACGCCCATGGATTACACGCTTGTGGTGCATGAAATAATTAATAATCAGTACCGCTAGTGGAAGAGCGGATTCTTGTCACTTGATGTGGTAGTAAATCTATCCTACCAAATCTGAAACCGAACCAAACCAAAAGTACAATGTGAGGAAGAACACCTACCCTGAGCGGATTCTTTGTAATCGGAAATGTTTGCGGAGAAACGGCTCCCCAAAACGCAAACACGGACCAAGGCGCTGCCGTAGCCACTGTAGTTATCAGGATGTACGTTAAAGTGCGAGTCGCCCGAAGATTGGCCAAGTGACGTTCCCGTTTAGAGAGCCTCGAACGCATCAACAAGCCGGGCCGTTTCCCCAAGTTGCCCGATGTCGTGGCCGCTGTCGCTGCTGTGGTCACATCAGGCTTGTTTGCAGTAGTGTTGTCACTGTGGTGATAGTCAACTTCCTCGGTGTGCTCGTAAGCGGGGTTGTTGAGCCCTGCAGACATTCCAGCGGATATGCTGAATACCTCATCTCTAGGTGGTGGCTGTTCAGAATCTGTTGGTTGCTCAGTTGTTTCAGCTTTCGAGGCGAGTTCCTTATTTAGACGATAACTCTTTTCACCAAGCTTCCCGTCTCCACTGTTGCACGCTCTCTGAGATGCTGGCTGCTCGGATCTGAAGTCTGAGCTTACCTCTTCACCGATACCACGTTTCCTGTTGATACCTTTGCGGATGACAGCGCTGTAGACAAGGGCGTACAGGAGTATGGTGATCGCCATTGGGATCCAAGACAAGGCCAGAATCGCTATTATCAGCAAGGGAGGATGATCACCATAGGATCCTTGGCATATTGGTGGTCGTATCCGCACTGTGAGTCCAGTATACGGAAAAATAATGATCAAAGGCGTCCAAATAAACAGTGGTATGACGTAGGCCAAGGATATCATGAAACACGCGTGCCTTAGCGTTTTCTCCTTTAAGTGTTTAAGTGGCATGTACAGAGCGCGGAATCTGTCGAAGCAGATAACCAAAGTCATCAAGAACGTAATTTCAAGGAAAACGTGAACTAAGTACATGACAGCAGCACATATACCCTCGCTGAATGGCCAATAACCGAGAAACCAAAGAATATTCTCCAGTAAAGGAAGGATGCCACCACTGACCAAGTCGGACAACGCCAAACCCACGATGTAATAGTTGGTGTACGTCCGCAGCTTCTTCGTAGTGAAAAAGGCGTAGAGAACTAAGGCATTGCCGAAGAATGTTGCCAGGAGAAAGACTGTACAGAGGACAATTTTGAGAACGAGATATGGCGGGATTTCGTGTGGTTCAGGTAGAATCGTAGGGTAATCGGTCGACAAATTCGCTCGCATACTGGAATTAGTGTGATGGTCATAATTGTCGTTGCTATGTTCAGTATAAGGAAATCCGTCGGTGGAAGAGACAGTGCTACTCAACAACAAAACACTGCCATTTTGCCATCCAAATGTTTCGATCTCATGTTGGACGACACTAGTCTCCGTGCCAGTCGTAATCAGTGTCTCATCTACAGTGGTCTCCATCGGACAGACAGTTTGTAATCAGGCCTGTGTGTAAATTCAGTACTAGTTACTTGTTTTTGCGCAAACAAAATGTGTCTCCAAATTAAGAGGTACCTGAATGCACGAGTGGCAATGCTGAAATACCGAGATAACAACGGTGATGTAGGTACAGCCCCGATCGAGACGCTGATGACACGCAATGTCAATAACTGTTATACGTGTGTCCCTCCCATTCAGCCCGTACGCTGTCGGTTAGGGATCGTGTCATAAGTGCGGCAGCTGGTCAGGTTTACTGTTGTTCATTTGGCGATTGATTGGCTTGGTGAGTGTTGGTTCTCCCCGATACGGCAAAACAAATTACCTGTTGCTATTTTTCTGAGTTCTGAGTTTCCGTTTGCAGTAGACATCACACACAAAAAGGGTAGACGTTCCTCTGCGTGGCGTATTTCCCTTGAAAGACCGCCAAAATTCTGATGCACCGTTCTGTTAATGAAATTGTGCTGATGCAGTTGCCTGATGTGTATGTCTTTTTGCGAAATCGGTCTGTCAAGTATTAATTCGAATTAGTGCTTCCTGTTGTTGCCTGCGGCTATTATCTTAGAAATAGCTGTTAATTGCATAGTCAATTAAGTTTTCTGGTCGACCTCTGGTGAGAGATGTCTGGGGTACTGCACAAACGGCGGAATATGAGACTTTTGAGACACTGTGTGGCGGCAAACATACCGGTTCTACGTGACCAGCCAGGCATTGTTTGGTCGTTTTGAGCATGCGCGCATTAGCTCAAACCTGACACAGACAATAGTGGATCAGAGAAATGTGGAAGGGCTGCGTAGTACCGTGCTCTGAAATATGTGGCAATCACATATTTCAGAGCACTAATTTGATATTATATTCCCGTTGACAAACAATAGTGGGACTGGACGGGGGACCAGTATGTTTTCTGCGACCAAACTTCTTGAAAGTCTCCCATTGCCAATCCTGCCGGCTATGTTTTTGTACTGTGGGTTATTTAATCAGAGAGACAGTTGCGATGTTCTTGCGCAAACTGGCACCCCACCTATTCATATTTGCCACCCTATCCGGTTCGTAAGTGACTTCGTCATACACGTGGACGCACCACCGATTGCAGGCTCCCATTGGTCGAACACTGAAGTTGCGCGTTGATTTCCGGTTACACGGTTCCATGTTACTCAACCCCGCCTTAAAAGACGTGCGCATTCCTTCACTAGCCCCTGGTTGTGTAGAATTCGAAAATGATGCTGACTGGCTATTCAGAATGAATATACATGAACGTAAAGTCAATAATATAACCAGTGCTCTGGAAATGTGTAATTGCCGAGCAGTCGGAAACTGAGTACCTTCGTCAGGGAAGCAGATTCAGTTCATATTTCTGTGAACGTAAAGTCAGTCGCGTGCTTATTTCAAAAGCTGCGCTCGCGCCCACGTATTCTCTTGCACGTTGCACACGCGTAAATCTGCGTCGCTTATAAACACTTTTAGACTAATTAGTGCGCTTACAGCTTTAAAGTTAGGTAGTAAAACACAGTTGAAGCCTGAGACAGAGCCGAAGTTGAGTATTTGAAAACGGCCTTATACTATAGAGTACCTAAGTGCATACGTCACCCGCACAATTATTATGTAAAAGGCATTAGCGCGAGAACCAACGCGTAAACCAACACGCGCGCGTACTCCATTCGTTTGCACTACACTTTCAGGTTCACACTGCACAGTGACGTCACGCTTCGGTACTCTATACACTTCCAGGGATTAGATCGCATAAGGCATGGTGTGGGAACCAACAGGGTGCGGCAACATTGTACCCATGGGAACGAGGTTAGGAGTCTGCAATCGCGTACGCGTGTAAGACGAGTACCCGCGCAATGAGCCAGTTCGTTATTCCAGCAGCGCATGCGTGGCTATTAGGAAACATGCGTGGACGCAACTGTCTGTCCTATTGGTGCAGCCACTCCCTGACCCACACGCGCGCTTTGTTCCTGATAGACCTTGGCTTTTTGAAATACCGAACTCAGGTTTTTGAAATACCCTGACTGAACTGGCTCATTATCATGTGTGTCAAAGGCGCGAGAACCAGCTCCATTCATTTGCACTACACTCTGGTTCAAAATGACGTCACACTAAATGCAATTCCACATAAATGACGGGTTGAAACATTTGTGTTTAATTAGACGTTTAATAAATTATCAAATTAGACGAATAGGAAACGCCGTGATGCTTTCAAATTTTAGTTATGCATTTTTTTTCTCTTCTTGTGTTTACTAGTTCGCTCAATTTCCCATAAGGTTGTCATAGACACAGCCCTGGTGTGTTTTGAAAGCATTTGTGCATACTGATCAATTTATCGACATGTAAGTCGTGGAGGAAAATTACATCCAGGACCAAGATAGAATCGCTTTTTTGCCCACAAGTAATGTTCCCTGTTGTTGAAACTTTTGCCCTAATTGAATACATGTATCTGTATGTTGACAATGTCCACATGGACGTCTGGTGGCGATGTCACCGCCAGAAGTTAACATCCGCTGTGTGGACCTTCCGTAAGCTCGACTGCAATTAGATTCGACATCAATCGTAGTCTTGCCTGGGACCAAGACCTTTAATGTTCGAACATCAAGCTACTCTGTTTTGTGTCAATATCAAATAAAACAGTTTGATGTTTCTATATATAACGACAGAGCAATATGTGCCAGTTCCCAAATGTAGGGACCTAAATGAAACTTGCGGTTACACTCCGTTAAGTTAAACCACTACGTTCCGCATATAAATCATCCTTTATCCATGCAGTCAGATTATAAATTCAGATTATAAATGATCTTATTAATTGTATAAAGAAAGATGGGATTTCAAGCTTATTACAGTGAAACAAAAATATTAATACATGTATATGTCCATGAAGGAGTTCGTGAATGCATAAACCAGAAAAACTCACGAGCATAAAAGAGATCAATAGCTTTAGTTGCGGAGCCTACACTTTTCAGACATGGATTTGGTTTATTTGCTTGTTAATTTTTGAAGGGAAGGGATTAACATGGAGTGGATAGTCATAAAAGAGGAAATATACGTATCGACTAACCATAAGACTTCTCTTGATTTTAACAGTAAGGGTTATCCTCCCAAATACTTTGATACGTTAGGCGTTAGGGATCGCATTTCAAGTGCGCGTTATACTTTTTTGGATGAGGGAAGTTCCTCGCGCGTGTCCGTTTGGGACTGATCATGCTCAGGACAACCAATCCACTGAAACGTCTTTGAAAGTGATGGATGGTCACGACTCCAACAAACAAAATGTTTGCTCCTCTCTTTAGGGGCAGCCTTATGTCCATACGAATACGGCTGCATGAAAGCAATATAGGCCTACTTCAATTCAAGGCACTCACCATACGTGTCTTTGGTTCCTGAACAAACCATGCATGTACCCAACTGATTAGTTTTCTTTAACGTTGCCAATAAAATTGCAAGTCTGAATTTAAATTGAGCTCTAGTGCTTGAGGATATTGTCCATACCTGTTTTCGGAAGTTGACAAGGCTTTATTTTTTGGTTCTTCAACAACGACGGACACCCTCAAGCAGTCGTATTGTCTTGATCTGTCTTTATGAAACAAGGACGAGTGTAGTGACTGCCCACGCTGTCTCGGCCAATATTAACATCGTGCGGTTGCATCAAATTGTGCTGGTTTAGAAAACAAGGAAAGCCATTTTCATCGACAATTAAGCATACAGTAAATAGCATGGCGTGCTACAATGTGGGTCCTGGGCATCTCTAGAATACGTGAATCCACGACAGGCATTGCAGTTCTAAATAATGTCGCTATTGAGCTGAGTAGAGCAGCGTGGAGCAGCGTTTAATGGAATAATATGAAGGGGACAGATGTTAGCTTTGCCCCTTTGGCCCACAAATTCGGCTGTAACTCATAACAAAGTGACTGAAAAGCCATGAAATTGTCACCATTTGTTGTCAGTACCAAAGACAGAGAACATATCGGATTGATTCACCGGGCATCTACGACAGAAAGCGCCACAAGCAAAACTAACCACTTATTTTCATAAAACCCTTAAAATATTGTTGTCAGGAATTTCCCTCACTGTCAAATCTGTATGCCTATAGTAACGTGGGTTTCTTACACTGCCGTCAACTAAAATTGGCAGGAGGTGATTTATAGTTTTGTAATCTATAGTCTATTTGTGCATGTTCTCCTGCGACCTCCTTCGTGGGAATCACATGAATTTGATATACCGGTAACGAGTGGTTTATGTAGATATTTTCTTTCTAATATTTTAACTGTTTGTTAATTTTTGATTACTTTATTGTATTGGAGACTACAAACACCAGACCAAAGGCATTTAGTGCAAAGTTTTACTCAGAGAGTCTTCGGGAGTCTTCAGATCAGGGAACTAGACTAGGATTAAAACGTCAGGCCCTCTTTCCTTTTATGATTTATGTTCTAGTTAATAAGCCACTTGCGAGTTAAATTTGAATAAAATCCGGTACACTGTGTTATCTGATTGCACAGGAACGTAACAATTTGAATTCCCCAGACTAAAGACACTGTTACTATACCTCTTGATTCGGGGCAAGCTTTTGCATTGCGACCACCATCTCTGGAATGGACTGGTTCCTTTGTGCCGTTCTTATCCATTGGGAAAAGTGTATTGTTGCAAGGCGACTCTTATGTAACTAAACAAAAGCTTGCCCGAATCACGAGGTATAGCAACAGTGGTTTTAGTATGGAGAATTCAAGTTGTTATGTTCACGTGAATTTAAAGAACTCAGTGCACCAGATTTTATTCAAATTTAACTTACAAATGGCTTATTGCAGCGAGCAAGCAGAGTTCGTTTGTTAAGTAGTGAGCATTATCTGGAATAATTTTTTCTCACTGTGAAGTATAAATAGCATTCTCTGAAGGGGAATATCGGTGTGTTCTGGTACATTGTTTGTTTTAACCGCTACGACCACCTGCGTCCCCCGGGAATGACCCATTATCTTTATGATTTTATGCACTTTTGGTATAAAGCAGCGATGAGAACAAATAACTTTCAGAATGGGAACATGCTCATTTTGTCAACACATTTACTGGATTAGAATGAAAGGCCTGACGAACTCAGGACTACTCTGATGTTGATAAGACAAGCTATAGCAAATAAATCTCCCTTCAAACGATAAATGCTTTGCAAGTTTAGCGCTGGCGCTTCACCCATTGCATCATTGCTATTTTCGAAGGCATTACTTAGCTCAGTCGATCCTGCTTTGGGGTGAAACTGCAACGAAAGCAATTCAACGGCACTCGTGCAGCTCAACTACAGCGATCAAAATGCCCTTTTCAAAATTTCCAGTTGGCAAAATTCTGAATAAAAAGTTTAATACCGTTTCTCGTATTTTTTTCTCTCGTCATATTTGCCAACCCTGCAAACTGTTCCAAATATGTTGCTCTGACCACAAAATCAAACACTAACTATTCCGTTCAAATTTTCAGTGTTATAAACAAAGAAAGTTTCTTTAAAAACTCCCACTCACTTGGCATGAGGAGTTGTTGAAAAGGCTGCAACTTCAGTCATAATTCAGTCGTTTTGTATTCTCAACATTAATTGGGTCATCGTCTAGAGTTAACCAAGGAGATTTCTGACACACATTCGGACAATCACAACCAGCGTTTTGACAAGCTACCTGGCAATACTGCTTAAGGAGACAGTTTTTAGTTGAGTTTTCATCATCCGGGATATCGCTGATTCTTGTTGAGGGCGCTCTGGAATGCATAGTTATTAAGGTTTTAATTAAGGTCTTGGACTTGTGAATTCTTTGCTATGTTGGTCTGTAATAGAGCATTATGCTCCCACTCGTTTCATTCAAGAATGAGGGGACCTCATAAATTGACCTTATCTGTGTGCAACGATAATTTTGGAGTCATATTAGCCAGCGGCCAGTGGCCCGTCTGTGCTTCAAGGCAGACCGTAGCTAACAACTTGTGAGAAGTGCCTCCCCTCTTCTCGTTTCATGAGATGTGGATGTGAGACGGTCTGCCCCTCCGAGCCATTACCACTCGTTCCGTGTTATTACCGACTCGGTCGATAAGGTTCCTGCCGCTTTTCTGGGGTGTACAACGAGCGTTATCATGACAAGCGAAATTCGTTTGCCACAAAAAAGCCTCCGGAAAGTTGCTCACCCATCTACGAACCAAAATAAAGACGGGTGCGCTGCGCTGGCAGAACAGATTGCAAAAAAGATTCGGTCAGACCAAAATGCCCATGCTTCGTAAAGATCGATACTGCCAAAGTGTCGGTGGCGATCAAGTCATTCCATCAAAACGTACCAACATTTCAATGCTTTTAGCTGTTTCCTTACATTGTTTTTTGTGAATGGTTTTCAATTTGATTGTGCGCATTTGTGTTTCAAGATGACTTTGAAGATGTGCCGCTCCACAGAACGTAGGCCTATAATTCTTTTCTTGTGATTCTATCCATAGTTAAGCTCGGTGATGCGGGTACAGAGGCATTTCCAGCTTTTTTTTGGGGGGGGGGGCAAATTCCATTCACTTTCGGGCTCGTTCAAAATGATAATGGGGGAGAAAAGTACCGTCTATTAAATATACCGATTAGTTTCTTTCCTACGAACCTATGAAGTAATCTCAGTTGAAAAAAAATAATATTTTATTTTATTTTAACTTTAGCTGGCGAGACAGAAGATAAGACCATTGCAAGACCCATGTTTTCCCACTGGCTAAAATCAATTAAGCTAAGCTGTTTTCAGTTGCATCCACACCTAACACGCGTAGCTAGTTCCCGAGACATTTGCTCTTTACACGCTGTGTGCACGTTGTCGCCACATGCAGAGCCTCGACCAGGCAGCATTCCACACTAAATATCGCTGGCTAAGTGATTCACGTGATGTTGCGCAGTAATTTTGCGCGTGCTTCGTTAGTTCTTATCCGATTCGTAAGTGACTTCGTCACAAAGGCGGACGCGCCACGATTTGCAGACTTTCATTGGGCAATCGCTGAAGTTGCGCGTTAACTTCCAGTTCCATGTAAACGGCGATCAATGCATGTAAGGAATGCATCCGAATCTCTTGTCTAGAGCTAGGTCTAGGTCTTCGCTCCATTGGAAATGTGTGGAGACGCGCAGACAATAGACCTAGCCGTAGCTCTGGAAGCCCGTTTCGGACACGGCCTTAGCTCTATGTCGACAAGAATATAAGATTAAATCAGTGCTCTGAAATATATGATTGCCGAGCTTTCGGTAACTGAGTACCGTCTTCAGGGCAACTGAATCTGCTTGCCCTATGCTCGATATTTCAGAGCACTGATTTAATCTTATATTCTTGTCGATATTCTGATCACGGTTCTACGCAGCCTTTCCATATTTCTCTGACGCGCAACTTCTGCGATCGTCCATCCACTGGGAGCCTGCGAATCGTGGCGCGTCCAAATTTGTGACGAAGTCACTTACGAACTGGAGAAATATGGAAAGGCTGCGCAGCGCCGTGATCGGAATGTCGACAAGAGTGTAATATCGAATTAGTACTCTGAAATTGCCGAGCTTTCGGTGACTGGGTGCCTTCTTCGGGGCAAGCAGATTCAGTTGCCCTGAAGAACGTACTCAGTCACCGAAAGCTCGGTAATCATATATTTCAGAGAACTGATTTAATCTTATATTCTCGTCGATATTCTGATCACGGTGCTATGCAGCCCTTTCACGTTTCTGTTAACTCTATGTGCAATGCACGTGTGCAGTGGGCGTGGTTTAAACTGAAGTGACGTCACACTTACAAATCGGATATTTTTAAAAGCTGCGTTGACTCGATTCTGACGCAATTGCACAAGCTGCCAGATCGAGGCTCTTACATGCCTATGGTTGCAGCGCGCAAAGAGCGAATCAATAGACTTCATTTCCTACACAAGGGCAAGTAGAGTAGTCAAGTGTGGTACTGGTGAGCACGTCGTTTGAAGACTGAATCAAAGTTGATCTGACAGCGTTTATCTGGTTACGAAAGTCGCAAGTTTTTATGAATAAATGTTACTGACGCAGCCTGTTGGCTTCAGTTTTCAGTGACTTTATCCCGCTATTGAATTTTTAATTGATCTATGTATTCGTTACGGATCGCACTACTAAAACAAAGAAGTGTGCTTAATTATGCTGGTAGATGTTTCCATCAGAGGGGAAAATCACGTCTTACAAGTTCAAGTAGTAGATATTCGACCAATTTTATCACAACGGGTGGTGTGCGTGTGCAAGCACATCTCATCTCATCCAATATGAAAAAGCTTTACGGCACCTGACGCACACGCGCAAATTTAGAATCCAAACATTATTGACTGTAACGACCGGCAAATCATTGTTTGCATTTTGTGTCTCGGGGGAAACTAGAGAAACAAGACAGGCTTGGAGGGTTTAGTCTTGCATGTTGTTTGCTCATCGTGCCTCGGAGGTACTTTATTTCGTCCGGGGAGACTGCCGTCGTTATCTCTTTGTGTCCGTAGGATTGAATTCATCCTTCCGTCGATCACAGGCGATCCTCAGGCGGAAGGCAGACCAGCTCTCTGGTATCCGTGCGCCCTGATCAGTTCTCCTATCTCGGTAGAAAATCTCTCCCTCAGCAATTGGTCGTATTCTTTCTCGTTGACTGGTTGTCAGGTGTCGTGGTGTACTATTTCCACTCTGGGATCATTGTCCGCAGTTGCAGCTGTTTGGTCGGTATTGAATGGGGAAAGTTCTGAATTCAGGGAATACACTTCAGTGGAAAACACTTCCTTTCAGCGACCAAAGTGTCACTTCGTCACATGCTTACTAAGCGCATTAGTAAATCAGAACAGATGCCTACATTGAGCAGGTAGCAATTGATGAACTACAAGAGGATTGACTCAAGGAATTGATTCTCATACACTAAATCCCTTTACAATTAATTTTGATTATATCCAACTTGTTTTTGATTTAGCACGCAAAGCGAAGCAAACCGACAGAACGAACCAACGTAAGACAGTGGATCGATCACAGGGAGTGCATCACCTTCACTTCAGTAAGTGGTCAATACTATACCATGGAGGAATCCCAAGCTGATGGGTGGATCACTTTCAGCCAGTCTACAAACTCCAACATGCTTATTAGCTCGACTGCCGACAGCTCTGAGTCTCATCAATGGACTACCATTAGCGAGTGGATCAACTCCAGCGAGTGGATCCACCATTCTAATAGGTGGACCACTGCCACCACGGAACAGGCAGGACCTCAACTGTGGACCAATTCTAGCGAGGGATTTACTGCTAGTGAGTTGATCAGTGCTAGCGAGTGGATGACCTCCAATGAGGGGTGGATCAACTCAACCGAGTTTATGAGCCCCACTGTGGATTCACACGAGTCGATGCCACGTCAGTTTCCCCCTTCTCCTGTCTACCTATTCATTCTGAAATGTATCTTCTGCGCCACTCTCCTCTTCGTGTCCTTTTTCGGCAACCTACTGGTGTGTTATGCTGTTGCGACGACAAGGAAACTGCGCAGTTACAACAACTACTACCTCGTTGGTCTGGCAATAGCTGATCTGGTCAGTGGAGGGGTTGTCCCTGCAGTGACTAGTGTCGTCTGGCTGGTTGAATACTGGCCGTTTAGCGAGGCCCTGTGTACAGTGGTGACGTATATCAAACACGTCTTCCTCCATACTACCTTCTTGATGACTCTGATCATCAGTATCGACAGGTATCGGGCCTTGTATTACCCCGTCCAGCACGTGAAAGAGAAGACCCTGAGACACGCCTGTCTGATGATGTCGGTCGGGTACGTCATCCCGGTCTTGATATGGACACCTCTGGTGGTGGTGCTACCGTACGTCGGATTGACCCAGCGGGTCCGTCCACCAGCTTGCCATGCTTCCTACGGCTTCCACCCAGCACTGCTAATCCTCACTCTTCTTTCTCTGTCCTGGGTGCCCATCATCTCTACAACTGTCTTCTACGCTCTCGTTTACTGCGCTATCATCCGTCGCAGTCGGGGGCAGAAGACGCAACCGGCGAAGGAAACCATGAGTACCAAACATCCGACCGGCCTTAGACGGTATCCGAACAGGAAAGTTGGGAAAACATCTCGTGTTTACTCGCCGTCTGAGACTGCCCCTGTGCCAGGAAATCCAGGGGCCGAACCATCATCGACACCACCCAGTACCGACTTTAAGAGGTCCTCTGGTGTGTCCGTCGGGAAGGTGAATCTGGCTTTCATGGAAGGAGAGGGCGGCAGTTGTGGATCTCAGACAGAACCGGTGCAGCCAAATGGTGTTGCATCTCTCCAACTTCAATCCTCTTTGACCTCGAAGCCACACCCAGTGAAGAACATTAGCCGTAAGGCTAGTCTGATGAGTTTGAGGGCGACCCGAACCCTGACGTACATCTGGGCAGTGATGCTGGTGTCTGGAGTGCCGTGGTCTATATACGCTATGATAGTGGCTGTAGATCCAGCATACACACCAGAAATAGACGTAGGGGTAAGAATAACATATCTCTTATACATTTCTGTAGCCCCTCTTGGGCACAAAACCTGCATATGCTATTGACCTTCGCGAACGATATTACAATGGAAGAATAGTAATCACACTTGCAATGTATAAATTAAGTAATCAGTTATTCAAATTAAACTTGACAAAGCACAAACCTGATCCAAACATTTTGTTTCCGGCTCAATCATTTTTCTCCATAACTCTTCACAAAAAATGTGAGTCTGCTAATTTGTTTACCTCTTTGCCCTAACAGCCTAAAGGTCTTTTAGATCTTCATTTGGTCCGCCACAATGAATACACGGCTATTCAATTTGTCCTATTTCATATTTTCTTGAACCCGCAGTTCCTGGCTTTTCTGGCGCATCTGAGTAGCGCGGCTAATCCCTTCTGCTATGCCATCTGCAACCCGCTATTTAGGAGAGTCTTCTACCGTATTCTGTGCTGTCGTCTCTGGGGGAGACGGAACAGATCCACCTGAGGTGAGCAGAAACTGAACTGCGTACTACTGGGTGAAGTCACAGACACATTGAGCAGACACGTGCCATTCCGTGGTATACGACCCCTGATGAATCTCTGTCATCTGATTGGTCGGCAGTCCTAAGGCAGTTTGAGATCCAAAGACGCCCGGTGGCTGCACCACAACAAATAAATTCCCTTGGACAGCAGTGATAAATCCCCATACTTCAAAATTATTTTAAAAATACTCACAACTCTCACCGGTGTTCAGGCTGCACAGAAAAACTGTTCGACGTGTCCCCTTTCATTTTCCTTTCCATTTTGGGTGGTTGACGATGAAGCTTTGAAAAATTCTCACCCGAAGCAGACCACCCCTAAAATGAAGAAAATGTCCCTACCCAGAAAAGAAGCCATTTTGAAAACCCATCCCTCTGCAAAACGGCCAAATAGTGCTACTTTCGCACGTGATTGCACCCAAATTGCTCAGAATTAGAAGCTCTAAGTCCGTGCCAGAGGTTCCATGCAATATTTCTTCAATTCCCCAATTTCATGGCTCTTACAACTTCCTAATGAAAATATTTTGAGTGTATAACTTCTATTAATGAGCTCGGCAGACGGCTTTTTTGCCTATTTACGTGGGTGCACTCCGATGAGCTCAAGTTTTGTACGGTGAAGTCAAGTTTTTTGTGCGCTCACGGTCGTCGCTAGAGCGTGTGTAGGGAGTCACTCCTCCACTGATCGGTTCTGTTGGCATAATCATGGTGTTGTGGGCAAGATTGTAGGAGGAAGGGGAAAGGAAGGGTGGAGGTCACGTGTCAGGTCGGGGAACCAGACTACTGTTACAATCAATTTTAAGTGACGATAAATTTCATGATGGCACCCCGTCCATTTAAAATGACCGAGCGATGCCTATGTGTGTGCTTAACTGAGGTCTGGAGCCCTAACATGGCTAGGTATAGAGTCCATTACCTTGTCTCCAGAACCAAAGGGAAATCAATGCTCCAAACTACTTCACATGTATCTTCACAGTAAGTTTACGGTGAAGTGTTAGACGATGTAGCATATAATTATAAAACATGCATGCTGTGATGATCTAAATTAAGGGTGTACACTCTTTTCATGACTTAGGTCTGTCGGCAAAATATTTTCAAAAGCGAGGTAACTGGCCACTTTGATCAAAATATATGGCAGAGACGCTGTTCTGTGTTTAAATAAATTGTCAGGAGGAACATGATCATAAACTATTGTCTCGGAAATGTATGAACCATCAATCACTACACAATAGACTTACATTGCACAAACATTTTTTAAATGACCACGTAATGTTTTATGTTTCTAATTTTCTTAATATATTTTTGGATCAATTTTGTTTTCTTTGCAAATTGTCTTGATAGTTAATGCTGGGATTTTCTGGAACAAAGTAAAGAAGGCCGGATTGTCACAGATTAAAGAAAAAAGTCTGGCTCTTCTGCTTTACAAATAAAGTCAATTATTACAAAGGCAAATGGTTGCTAGAATAACATCCAAAAGGAAAAAAAGTCTTTTTTTAACTGACTACCGTTAATATAATTGCATGCTGCATTCAGTATTTAGGTTATGTGAGACACTGTGTCGATGATTTACATTTCAGTATGTTAAGCCTTTAGTTTGCGATGGGGTATAAACATACCCCCAGTCTAGTTTGAAAGAAATTTGAAAATTGTATTTTTCTGTTTCACTGTTAAGTAATGTAAATCCAGCTTTGGTATATTAAACGTCGACTGATACCACCTTGGAGGACTTTACACTTTGTCTTCCATGTGTGCTTGTCGTTGAATTAATGTTTAATCTCTTGCCAACTCGGAGCTACATGTCAGCATTGTGTTATTACAGAAAACCAATACCCGTTACATGGTCTATTTCGCCTGTACGAGTCAGTGAATTGTACTTTTGTGTGTGCATGTATGCGTGTGATATGAACTGTGAACTTTATTTTCACAGCAGGAAGTATATATGCTCGTATAATGCTCGTCCATTTTGTTTATAATTTGGTGAGATTTTCCCACATTAGTGTTTGAAAGTGGTGACTTTTTGCAGCGATTGTGTGGTGTGACAATTTCAACAATTTCACAAAATAAGGTAGGTCTCTAATACACAGCTTTTAATACAACAATGAAACTAGAACGTCGTGCAGTTCATAACAACTATGTGATCCCGACATTGAGCTACCCCAGAAAGCAACATAACAAGCCATACCGGATCCGTGTGTATGTTCTACTTTTCATTGATTTTCGGGGCCATATTTCAAACAAGGGCAAGTTGTGTTTTTAAGTGGGACCAAATGTCAAGCTCTGCTCGTCATAAAATCCTGCTAAGCAAATTTATGTGGTGTCCCACACGTGGTCTGCGCATGGAAACTTTTTTCGATTAGGCCTACCAGCTCTTCAAGTTAGCCGTGTCCGAATTACTTCACTGTCGCCTAAAATTACATGTGAGTCTGTGGCGGTGGTTGCAGCCACTTCCCAGAGCTGTGCGTAATTTCAAGCCGCACCATCCAAGTGGTTTTCTGACACGGCTTATTAATGAACATATACGTGTAAAAATAATCTGTGATTAGATGTTCAAATGTAGCTCGGAAAATCACAGATGACCCCGGGAGAACAATTCACAGGCATGGCCTAACATGGTGTTCCTGCGCATGCTTTCAAGCCGGTTTGCGTGAGGAAAAAGGATTTTATTCTTTGCGTTCTTGTAGGATGGGCGATAGCAACTCCGTAAAATTCGCGAGGATACTGAACAAGAAGAACTCCATCAATCAGTTGCCGCACTCTTTTAGTCTTTTCGAATCAAGCATAGGAAGAGTTGGTGACGCATGCCATCTTTAATGGACCCCGTAGGCACTTTGGCTGCAGCAGTAAATGCTTCCATAATTTAATCACATCCTGTATGGCGTCGCTTTATTGGTTTATAATATCTCTTGATAAGAAGACACGCTCATGTCTCAATTTGATATTTCTAAAATCTGTGAATTCTTTCGGGCGTAAAATGGTCACGTGGGATATGCTTCACTCTGTGAAAACACGCAATTTTCCGGTGTGAATAGACCACTGTCCATAAATCCCTCACCCCAAGAGTCCCTGCTCTAGAAAGGTGAGAGAGAAGATGGAAGCAAACAAAGACTGCATCACACAAAACTTCTGTACTTAAAGAATTTCGTACCAGAAGATCCATCAAATAAACTACAAATATCGAAAGTTTCGAAAGTTCACTTTTCTGGTTGAAGACTTGCTAAATGACACGTTTATAATGGGTGCAGTGTTTGATTAACTGCTCATTATTAGGTAACGATGGCATACACGTGTTCACTGAAGTCATACTCAGTGGCGTGAAGAGTGGCAAGCCAACTGCTACAGCGAACACCGACGGAAACCAAAATGATTGAAGTACTCTTGACAGACCTTATTTTTTTTCAGAAAATTATCACCCACCCGAGATCCTGAAATATCTATGCGCGTTATATGCACGGACGTGTGTAAGAAACGAAAAAAGTTCTCTACATTTGCAAGTGACAACTGCCAGCAGACGTGTGGGGATGCTGAGAGAGATGGAAGTGTGCATGCACCTACAATGTACGAAGTCGTGTCTTGAACGCTAAGCGATACAACATTAATACTTAAAATGTTGTCTAAACACGTTGTTTATTTTTGGTGGATACCGGTAATTGAGTAATAATCCACTCTGCATCCATACATTATACGGTAAATCAGCTTAAATTAACCACTGACAACTAATTGGCAAGGCGGAAAATAATGGAATTTACGTTTTAAGCCGCTATAAAACAGATTACGATAAGCACTCCATAATGTAAAAAACACGTTCACGTCTAAACGCACCCCGTGTTCAAATGTTCAAATGTGTTTAGTTTATAAACGCGTCAAACGTGCTTGGGATTTACAGTGTACTGGGGGGTGCTCGCAAATCCTGTCGAACACAAACTCAAACATCGCCGAACGCAAGCAATAGTTGTAAACAGTTGTTGTTGTAAACAGAAGAACAAAAAAAGCACGAGCGAAAGGGGAGGGGCTGGAATGGATCCCTAATGCAGTTTGGGAGATTACAAAAGTGCTCAACAGTGAGACTGAGCGACTGATAAAAATATTGGGGTTGGTAGTCCAGAGCATTTTCGTGGAACTTGACGATTTTCACCAACTCTTTTCATTTCTTTTCCACGTCTTTGCCCTTTCTCCCCTATTTGTCATCTCCATTTATATGGGGAAAGGCGGTGACCTTTTCCCTCCTATCTATACAGAGTGCTTGATAGGCTTTATAGGCCTACACTGTACTCTTGCACAATCCTCATTATTCCCACAAACAGTACAAAAGATAATGAGGGAACTGTCTTTATTTGGCCCAAATGAATGGGATCTGTAAAGACAGAGGACAGCCCATAATCTAGGAATCCAGTTGCTTCTAGATTACATTTCATTAAATTCTGGTTCTGAAATCAGCAGTGTTTTTAGTGCATCAAAGTCACTCAGCTCGCCACGTCGTTGGGCCCGGTCAATGCTGTCTTGCGTGGGAAAATGGACATGCGACTTCAGCTGAGGAATTTCGTAAGTAGGCTAGTCAGAGTCAATCCAAAGACAACTTTTGGTTATGTTAAGTTAATTTTTTGGGTCACTTCTGATTTTTTTTAATCTGCTTTTCTTTTGAATAATTAGTTATGATTATCTTACAAAAATCAGGAGTCAATCTTGAGTCAGGATTTTTTTTAATGGAAGGTGCAAGTATCGCTTGTAACAAATTGGCGTTTTCAATATAAACAAATCGACTTGTATTAATGAGGCAAGTTGTCCCCTGCTTCTAATCCTCTAGGGAAATCATACATCTTTGATCAGCGATGAATTTTTGTGTCATATTTGGAACGTATAGGCTTCCTTACAACACACCGTCTAGTACGCACAGTTTAGCTACGGTCGCCGCTTATTTCGTTCTACTTTTAGAAAGTGAGCTATGTCAGCATCACATGTCAAGTGCTTGACAGCTGGAAGTTTGTGCCGGGCTGTTTAGCGACCAGACTTCCTTTTCTATGTTATTGAAGATCCGATATGTAAAAATTTCCCTTAGAACTTGGACGGGTCAGAAATGGCATCGGAGAGACCGCGACGAACGGGTGTGAACCGGCCGAAGGACGAACGGGTCCCACTGCTCGGTGACCAAAGATATCTCCCGCGGACTCACCACGAAATCGGGGTAGGTGCGGACAATGGTGCACTTGTTTACGCCCCAATGTGTTACAATTAAATGATGTAGCACCTGATCCAACATGTTGAGACTATCACGGGGATCGTAACTAGGCCTGTTTTAGGGGATTGTGCATTTGGTGACTCCGTTCCCATAACTGAAGGTAGGAAGAGTGTTTTCTAAGTAGGCTTAAACACATATCGCTCGACCATTAATGTTTGGAAGCGGAGGGGGGGATGTCAGAGTGTGCGATACATACTGCGTTGTCAAGCTAGCTGTGTTTGCACGTTTAAAATGTTGAGAAATACATATAGCCTATGTACTTCAGGGAGTGATAATATTTTGCGAAGATACGATTGTGAAGTTGTGGGACGAATAAAGTGTCTGTTTTCCATGTACATGTAATTTGGGGATATATTTATTGCAAAATGGTCGAACCGTCATATGATTAGTGTGGTTCCCTGACCACGGATTTCCCTGACGTCTCTATATAATCTTAACGAGAGTAGTCAGAATTATAGGGATTGGTATTTTGAATTTGAAAGGCTGATTGTTCGGTGGCATGCGGCTCTACTCACCCTTCCACATTCCCGTTGCCTCTTTTCAAAGTGAAGACTATTGTGAAGCTGATGATTATGATGCAAATTCGGTCTTTTCATTTCTTGGCTACGCACAAAGACCAATTACCATATAAACATGTACAAGAGCCAGGGTCTGCCTTCTTTCACCATGTTCGCTCGGGCGTGGGCGGAGAATAATAGCTGAAAAGCGGGCTGAGGATCTCAATTTGTACGGCATTTGTGTCTAGCCGCCTCCCGACACGAAGGGATTAACATTAAGTAATGTGTGACCAGATGCCATTAACATGCACTTCATGAAATAAACAAAATATATGCCATGGCTATAGACTTTTTGACACTTTACGTGTCGTTGGTGTCTACTTCTGTTGAAGCAATGGAAATAGGAACCAGACTAATCAGTCTGTACAGTATGTATACATTTCAGACTTTCTTTCCTTTTAAAAATTTTCAAGGGTATGAAATCTGCCATGTGTGAAAGAAAAGCAAAGCATCAACATAAAGAAGCATACGGTAGGATATGATTGAAAAATAAAGGACAGAAATAAAGATTGAAATGCTGGGTTCACAAATAATGAACTCGCTTGGCGGCTTGCATTTCGAACAAGCTACTACAACACCATGATGGCCTTATGGAACCCAAAACATTATCCCTAAACTATGCTGAACCCAACCTAACAATATCCAACAGTGGGCACTTTTTGTTAGATTTTGTTGATGTGAGCAGTGGACAAAAGGCCTTTTGTTCAAGCTGTTGGACTCTGTTAGATTCAGGAGGCTTCACACTTATCGTACCTAGCTGTTGGATATCATTAGATTCAGAAGGGTGGCAGCACAATTAATAAAGTTAGGGGTGAGGGGTTAGTGTTAAGTGATGTATACCAGTAGATTGGCAGTGTACCGGTAACTATGGAATTTGGAAGTCCTGTCATGGCTGACGTTACTGTAGTCATTACGAAACAAACAATTCGTTGAAAACATGAAGTTAATGGTAACAGAAGGTCCGTGCGTTAATGGTTGGATGTGAGGAGTTGTAATTATTGTAAGGCACAGTTTCGATATGAACCCATTATCCAGTTTATCTGCATACAATAGACCTCTGTGTTATCCTTTTAGTTTAACCGATTGTGAAATGTGTGATTTGTGGAGTTCCAAGACCTTTCGCGTCCGAAAGTTTACTTACACGTACGTGTACCATCACAAGTAGTGCAGAACACACAGTACACATGATGCCAGACTTTGGGGAATGGGTGTGTGTTTCCTGTGCATGAGAGAGTGGAGCTGAGCCCAGCAATTTGTCTCCCGTATCCCCTTGGCTCTGTGTTTCTGTGGCATTTGTGGACCCTTGCTGAGATGAAGGATGTACCGGGGTAAGGTGTTTTTGCACTACAGCCTGGGTTGAACTCAACCCTGCGCGAACTCATGACCGCAAGTCAAGTCAGTCTGAGTCTCTTCCCTTGGAGAAATTGTTGTCTCTTACTCTCATGTTTTCTTTAAAAAAAAAACAGATTGAGCATTCAGTGCAGGGATCTGCAGAGGAGGAATCAAGAGGCATGGAACATAGCCAGTCTCCAGCATCCAGGCTTCGGCTCCGACGAACAATGTCATGGAAAGATATATACACTACGGTAAGATACAGTGGATCCTGTCATACTGAACACATACATGTAGGCTACATGTGCACAAAATGTCCATGTAGGCTTCATGCACCATGTAGAGGGGGCAAAAAACCAGTAAAACTCAAAAACAGAGTTGGTTTACTGGGTACATTTCACACTCATTGTTAGGCAACATTTTGATAGTCGGGGCGGCTATTAAATCTACGGAGAAGAAGACTCAGACCCAGAAATAAGGTCTGAGAAATCTGTTGATTGTACAGAAAAAGGTATGCATTTCACTCGAAGCCCTAATCTTGAATTTCCTGATGCCTGGAGTTTCAATCCAGGGCAGTATCAAGCTATGGCCTGTGGTGCATGTACATGTACAGGTACATGTAGATGGATAAAAGCAAAGGGTTCACTTCCATTGTGGTTGCATAACCCAATTGAAAAAGCCAACCGGAGGGTTAAAGATACTGCTTGCAAGGCAAATAAAGCCTGCACTGCTATTATATGGAGAATTGTGTTGTATATTTTATACACAATATGAAAGCATCCACCGACATCCTTAATATCAATTTTGACCACTTCATCTCCACCTGCTGCAGACATTCATCTATATCACCCAAGGGTTAGGGATCCTCATGTGCTTAGATGGTGTTGACTTGTAACAGGTAGCAAAGTATAGCAGTACATTAGAAAAGATCAGAAAGTTTAAGGCGAATGAAATAAATATGGTAAGCAAAAAAGAACAAAAAACAGCACCAGCAATATTTTTCCATAAACATGATAATAGGTGCAAAATATGACAGACAATAATTTCTTGAAGCTGATGTAAACCATTTGTGAAATGGTCCAAGCACAAAGTTGACAAGTCTGTAACCAATTAAGAAGTTGAACAGATATTTCTTACTTCTGAAAAGGAGGCACCTGCAAAGCACAGACCTTAGAGTAAGCAGAGGCATCCAAGAATGCAGTTATGATTTTGACCTGTGGTTGTAACTGACAATGCCTAAGTTTCTTTGAAGCCTATAGATGGGAAAGTTCTTTCATTTTCCCTTCGTAAAAACCAGAGTGCAAACAAAATGCAGGTACATGTTCCGGTACATGTGGCTATTTTTTATCAGTTTCCAGCTCCCCATGTTTATCAAAGTTTATAAAAGAAACTGCTTTGTAATGCATGTATGCGTCACAGCTGCAGAGTCCAAATTCTATCATACACGTACAATGTCGATGTCGACCATGTGATATGATTTATGGATACGTGATGACATCGGTCAATTGCAGCAAAGGACTACAGTTGTTGTGGTTGGTAGCCAAACAAACTGGCAGGGGGTACATGTACATTAATTTGAATATTTCAATGCAAAATTCATTAAAAGGGAGGGAGCATTTTCTTTTGATTTAAATGAGAACAATTGCACTATGGAGGCTTGTTCCAAGCAGAATCAAATGAGAAGTGACAGAAACCTTGCAACGAATCAAAAGGGGCATCATTCATTAGAAAATTTAGCAGCAATATACACTTTCAACAGGAAAAGAAGTATTATTCGTCTTTTCGTAATTTTTGCTATTCGTAAATTTTGCTAAATCGTGGCTGGAGATACTCGTAGACATGAGAAGCTATTACAATGATTATAATGTACAACTGTGTGTGTTATTGCAACTGATTTTGTATATGGTTTGTTCCTCAACAAACTGCCAGTCGGTAAAGACCAAATATTAGGATATTCAATTGAATTGAAGGTCAAATATTTGAATAGTAAATTATTCAAATTGACTTGGCCCTATTTTTCAAATTATACAGAAGTTCGCACCCTTATATTCTGAACATTTACATGTAGGTCAAAGGTACAGGTTTATGTACATGTACATAAACCTTCACTTCAGTTTAATCAAGACTCAGGCAGCATCTTAGAAAGAAGGTGACGGGTGACTCAAAACGTCTAATGTGGAACTTTGCTACACATATATGTCCATCCATCATGTTCCCATCAAAGCAAAATAACCCTTCACTTAAAACATAATGCGGGCAGCATCTTAGAAAGGTGGGCGGTGACTCAAAATCCGAAGCATCTGGAGTGTGATTCACGTCAGAAGTTTTAATCAGAATGTTGTGAGACTGGGAGGGCAAGCAAAGTCACTTGGTAACAGTCTGAATTGGGTTTCCTTGTCTGAAAGGATTTCATGCGAAAGGATATAAACTACTGCCAAATTGCCGAGGAATCTGGCAGCCCAGTCTCCCTCCAAGAGGTGTTTTGTAACCACGGCATTGCCATAGCAACAGTGTTTGACATTGCTCAGCTTGGCTCTCTGCAAATATTCCCATCTCGGTCTAAATTGCATCAGGCATCGCTTTAATTTTGGCCAAATAGTCAGTGTTGTTTCAGATCCCAATGTGAAAGCAAAACAGAACCACAATGAATATTTTACACGTACCTCACACCAGTAACACCTTTCAAAAAAATAATGTTTCCATTCTGAATGAGTTCACATGATTTTCACTACCAGTGGGATTGCCTTGTGGTGTTCTCAGCTGCGTAAATACACTAGTTGACGGCTTTGCATACATCCTGTAGACAGTTTATGCATGTACATGTACATGTATATGAACGTGCTGGTACAAACACTTTAAAGGGGATGTTGGGGGAGATACTGGCACCAGCACTCAGACTTGTGCAGAAAGTTGGTTAAAGTGAATCATTTCTTTTGCTTTAAACTGGAGCAGCTGTGGTGGTTGAGTTGAGTTTTGTTGTTGGTAGACCATACTTGTTCCTTGTACAGTACATGTATGTCGGGAAGCTCATTGGGTCACAGTGGAAAATTAGGCAAGTTTGGCACCATGCCAATTTGATGCCGAAGCGCCCTCACTAAATAGAAATGTACGCATTTTCAGTGTTGTTTGTCAAAGTGGTTTGGTTGTGCACTGAGCTTTTTATTGTGATCATTTCTAGAAATCTTTGATCAGAGGTAATATTTAGCAGTGTTCAGAAACCAGATTTATGTCCATAAACTGTTCTATCCAGTACCAAGTATGAGACCTCTATTTAAGTTTATTGTTTGAATACTTCAGAAAGCCTCTGGGAACACATAATCGGAACCAGAATATTTCGCTAAGCAGATAAATGCATTGACATTCTGCTGAGTGGCTTTTGTGAAATTGATACTAGGTCAACGTAGCAGTTTTTTGCTTAGAAAATTTTACATGAGGTCCCTGATCACCATAGCATACATGTATGCATTCATTGTACGTGGTACCAGTTGATATACATTTAGTTCTCGGCCATATTTCATGCACCATGACCTCACTGGTGACAAGTTTTTGTGCCAAAAAAAAGTTTGAAATTAGGTCAAACAAAATAATAGTGTTCTTCCTGTTACATTGAAAAAATATACGTTGGGTAAGTGGTTAGTCTGTATCTTTTTTACAGCTAAATTTTTGGGATAAAAAATGTGGAAGCACGAGTGAGCGAGCAGGTGCGATACATAGTTGAGGTGCCAGACTGCGTTTGCGTTTAATACCAAATGATAGTTTACGTACGGCAAGCAGACGAAATGCACAATTATATAGAGGCATGATATGAAACTCTGAATGGGCCCCACATTATGCGTGTGGCATGCGCTTGCTGTCAAGCTGTAAACATCACTGGCTTTGGAAATAGCCTCTGCCCTCCTTGGGTTGACCTCATTAACCAATGTTTGTTTACTTGGCAATTGTGTATCTTTTAGACCTTTCATGCATGTTGGATTTTATTTCCGTTTCAAGCATGTGAGTTTGCAGAACTGCTGAATTTGTCACATTTTATCTGTGCAAATCCATCATGTTAAAGACAAATAAATAAGAATTGGTGATGAATTGATTATGTGTAGATCACAACAATTCCAATTTCGTTTTCCCACAAGGATACAATCATCATAGAAATTGCAGTTCCCTAGAACGAGAGCTATCTCCAGCAACCAATAAGAAAAAAATCAATTTTCAACCCCCACCCCGACCATGATTGCTTGTGTTTAATGCATAACCACACTTCAAGCACACACACTGCAAACTCTCTAATGGGCCAAGACAAGTATGGAACACGTTTTGACATCCACAATTGCAATGTTCCACGTACGCATATAAGATAATATCAAGACACACAAAGTTCAAAATGAGATTTCTAGACTTTCAGTCTTGTTCTCATTTTCCCTCAAGAATCTTATTTTTACCAGTTGATCTGTCAGTGAAGGCCCAACAATGGTGCATACATCCTTGTCTTGTCTACCCCATCTGGGGTACATGTACATCCATTTTACCCTTCCCGTTGGCCCACATTTTGCAGTATTTTGTTGTCATTTCCTTGTATTGTAACATTGATTTATTTTGTAATTACTAATGGTAAGATATAGAGATGATTTTAACCATCTGAACCAGAGAAAAAAGTCAAAGACTTGAATTAACTTAATTTACAACAAATGTACCAGCATGTGTATGAGTCACTAAATTGAATTGAGAGAGATTTCAAATGACAAAACTGTGAAGACGTTTAAGAGCGTTTGTTGAAAATTGATTAAAAACATGTTGTTAAGATTTGATTTGTAGCCACAGTCATTGTCTCTGAAATTTGAACTTCAGCATCAAGTTCAACAGTTGCTGAAACATGATTCTTAATATACATACATAGACATGTATAATGAATGGGACCCACTTTGTGAAAATGCGACAGACGTCACAAGGGCCACTTCATACTTAAAGGCCTAGTTTAAATCAATGCACAATTGTACACTTGAACAACACTTTTCACCAACATAGTGTCCATTTTCATTGTGATACCAAACTGAGTGACAATGCATCTAACAAAAGAGCTTGTCTTGCTTGTTCCAAAACAAAATAAATCTCTGAGTGAGACAACGAATTCATCTTCAAACTTGACATGCATATTCACCATTTTTAAGTCAGCCTGTACTGTTTCACTCGGAATTGCTTCACATACAGGGATGCTATTACAAGTACATGTACTGTATATGTATGCACATGTATGCCCTGGAAGCTACTTGTAAATTACATGTAAATAAACAGTGTAAAACAAAGAGTAATGGGGTATATGGGTATATATTGCGTGGTCTGTTTCCGTGGATCGACCAATCAGGATCAAACATTCAACGCACCGGTAGCTTGGAGATGAATATTTATGTATCTTGCATTTACATTTCTGCTGATACCCTACAGTAGTTTGGCCAGTGTTTTTAATTTGGCCAAGCAAAGTAGAAGTGGAAGGCTAAGTACCATACGTGTATTGTGTATTACAATACATGTACATGTACCTCTTTTAGAGCTCTGGCCTTCCTGAGCATTCCTGGCAAACTAAACACTGAAAACACCAAGTACAATCCGTCAGGGAGAGTAGGACTAGATGGATTATAGTGCTCTGCATTAAACGTGGCCAATGCGCATATGATGACACCTGTATTGGCACGTACCATGTACCAAATGACCAATCCAAGTACATGTATCTTGTTTGTTGAGCGTAAGTTAGATCTGTTCCTTAAACCCCTTGGGCTTTTTCCATATTTAACAGGATGCAAGTGCCCCAGAAGAAATAGGAACAACAAAGCTGTTATCCGCCAAGTACGAGGTATGTTTGCTTTTCTGCAGTCAGATGTGGACAGTTGAAATTGAAGTCAGTTTATGTAGATTTAGACGTTATTGATAAGTGAACTTGGGAGATGGCAATCCAGTTTGAAGTGGCTTTGGGTTTGGTCAAGTGGGCGGATGCTGTGTGCAGTTTTAATGGACTGTTACGTCCTGTATGATCTTTTGTCGGTAGTTGAGAGAACGTCAGGGATTTGTGGCAAGTAGGTCTCTCGGGGGTTTACCCTTGACTTTGCATTGTGTTGTGGATCGAAAGAGTTAAATAAGTAAGAAAACTACACCAGAACCGAAAATGTCGGCTGTTCAAACTTGGGTTGTTTTTTTTTTAATTAACTTAGTGTGGGTGATAACAATTATACACCAAACATAGGGAATAGAGGTAGTTGGAATTGCAAATGTTGCTTTAAAAATATTTTCTGTTGTACGTTCAAGTTTTCATTGAAGGAAACACTGAAAAACAAACTGATTAGACGGGGGGAGGGGATTTTCAGATCACAAAAAGTTTGGATAGCCCAAGAAATGACTTGGGGGGACACACTTGGACCTTGGGAAGCTTTCCGAGTCAGACCATTGAAATTTTCATGTATCATAATCACCATGTCAAAATTGTGGAGTCCATTTTAAAGAGGAAAGGGGTTCGGCACCTTTGGGGAGTAGGTTTTAAAAGCAGGGTTTACTTCTTGATATTCGGGACACAGGAAATTGTAGCGATCTGATACGGAATTCCTTTTGGAATTCTTGTTTATTTCAAGAATTTTATGACTATTTCAGTACAATTGATGAAACTGGAATAAGTTTTTATAGATAAGTCAGCCGGAACGTCCTTGTAAACTAAGCAAGGTGGACAAATTTAGTTACCCACTTAGTCTGAGCTGATGCAGAAAACCCTCCCTCCCCCAGGCTGCACTTGACATTTATCATATTAACCTTGATTTCATCGGCCAGTGGTTATACAGAAATGATTGAAAAAGCTTGACATGACAGAGCTGCAGGCATTGGCCTCTTTAAGAACTTGGGCACTAGGACTTGCAAGTTCCTTTTTCAGGAAATCTCTAATAGTTCTTTCTCTCATGTGTTGCACAGAGCCTTGATTATGACGAGGCTGAAAACTGGCTGCACCTGAAGGAGGAGAAACTGCGTGGAACCAAGGTACCTGTGATCCCTCACAAATCTTGTATTATTGACCTTGATCCTGATGGAGCCATGCTTGTCTTGTTCCCAGTAGACCAATCAGCAACAGTAAACTTCACATACTGATAAAAGGGAACAGACTATTGTCCCTTCCAGCCTCAGTTTGGTTATATTGCTTTGAATGGTAGACAAGAAAGATGGAGGTCTGTTACTCTCAAAGCAAGAATCCATCACTGGCTCCTTGGCACAAAAGAAAGCTGACTTTTTCCCTGTGCATTTGTGCTGATTGTAATAGTGTGATCAATACCTGGATATGCAATATCCAATTGAAAACAGTAGGAACTTGGATGTTTACAAATTCTGGCATGAGGGAAGTGCACGTACATGTATGCCTTTTAGTTTAGCAATTGCAGATGAACATTAAAGCAAACCAGAATGAAGCAAGCTGTTTCAACTGGTGCCCGAAAACAGAAAAAAAAATTAAAAAACATGAAATATTTTGCATTCAAGCAGTGATTTGAGTCGGGGTCCATTCACTGTGATCAAATTAGTACAAAAAAACCTACTTGTAAAATGGGCCAGTAAGTTACCATCTACATGTAATTGGCACAGTTTCTCAGATGGTTTTACATTTTTGCAATGCCTTGAGCACTCCACATCGTACTTTGTGTATATCGTTATGGAGGTTGTAACTCGATTGCGACCAGAGAGTGATCCATTTTAATGTAAAAACTGGTGAGTAAATTTTGCTCTACCCAACGTGTTCCATCCATTGTTGACTGCAAAAGAAAATGACAACTTTGTAAGAACATAAAGTGCGCTACTGTTTCGTTTAAGCTTAGCTTAACAACTATAAATGGCTTTGGGTGTAGAAATTTATAACAATATGGGAAACACTGTTAACGGGACTGGCACCCTTTAATGTGTTTTGTGTCAGTAGGTGGTACTTCTAGTCAAGTCTCTAATAAGTGCATTCCTTTTGTGCTCTGGTTCCCGGTGGTCACGTCTCTCCAAGGAAATGTAAAACCGTCTTCTTTTGGATCACCAGGCATGATTTGGACTTCAGTCCTTCCTGTCAGGCTTTGCCCACTGAAATTCAAATCAAGCAGCCTCCCCGGAAAACAGATTTTGAAAGTTGATAGCACCTCATTCAGGGACTAAAATAAAAATCAAATCTTCGTCATTGTTGGTATGCCACTGATGTGTTTGCATCCATTGATAAAACTGCACTAAGAGTGCATTGGCATTGTGTATTGATCTTTCAGACTGGCGTCTGGAGAATCCTGGTACCATGCTCTCACCAAGATATTGTAAAAGATTGTGAAATACCGTAGTCGTTAGAGCATTTATTTGTTCATGCTGCCGACACGGACCAAACTACTAAAGTGAAAGTGATACGGATCAGAAACAAATCCTTATATAGGTACGGAAATTGTCACATAACATGTTGTGTAATCATTTGAATGCTGTGAGACACAAGTGCTTCCTGAACTTCAAAACCGACTTTCTATTGAAAGTTGTTCGGGTATATAAATTCCTTTCGATTTGTTCATAAAGGACGGCTGTGCTTTATTCAGATTTTGCGTGAACGTCCTTTAACCTTCAGTGCCTACAAGGCAAGGTTTTTTTGCTTGGAACCTTCTCAGATCTGCTAAAATCTGACCAGCTTGTACTTTATTGCATGCTCTGTGTTCATCTAACATCACAGGGACATTAAGCACCTACCTGTGTATGAATAGGAGTTCAGTTCACCAACCTTGAATCTTTAACCCAAACAGGAAAGGGTTCTTAGCAGACTTGGATGGTCCTGGTTTGATTTAATGTGGAAGGAATCAGCATGTGTGAAAAAAGAAACAAAAAATGCATATACTATCTCCATACAGACTGGTTTTGGAGACTAACCAATACACTCCTGGCAAAATTCGTTATTTATGAACGTGATGCTTGTGCAGTGGCATGCCATGTTTGGTTCATCTCCAGTGTCCACATCACCAACACTTCAACATTTAGTTTTAGTTTTAAGAGTGGGGTCTAGGGCTGAGTCAGTTCGAACAATTCACTATTCGAATAGTCGACTTTCGATTCGATGGAATATCCGAATATTCATTCTTTACCGACTGGCAGATTGTTGAGGAACAAACCATATACAAAATCAGTTGCAATAACACACACAGTTGTACATTATAATCATTGTAATAGCTTCTCAAGTCAATGAGTATTTCCAGCCACAATTTAGCAAGATTTAAGACGTATAATACTTCTTATCCTGTTGAAAGTGTATATTCCTTTCAATCTTTTTAATGAATAATGTACATTTTGAATCGCTTTAAGGTTTCTGTTACTTTTCATTTGATTCTGCCTGGAACAAGCATCCATAGTGCAATTTTTCTCATTTTAAACAAAAGAAAATTCTCCCTTCCTTTTCATGGGTTTTGCATTCAACTACTCAAATTCGAAAAATAATATTTGAATATTCAATAATCGATCAAATATTCGCTTATTCGGCACAGCCATAGTGGGGTCCACAGATTTGGACACAAAATGGCTGTCATGTATACGTGCCCTTGTATATGTATATGTACATGTACGTGTCCGCCGGACAAAAAGTTTATTGTAAGAGAAGTTGCATTGGTAATTCCTGCACCCTAAACTACTTGTGTGTGGAACAGATTACATGTGTCTTGTACTTTCATTTTATTTCTCTGTGTATAGAGATTTAGTATTGCTAGGAAAGGACTGGCTCGTTGGTTTGTCATGTTCTTGATTGGTACCCTGACTGCAATGGTAGCTGCCACTATTGACATCCTCATCAGTCTCCTGGCTGGTTGGAAGTATGGTGTTCTCTCTAGTTGTATCCTTGGAACTGAGCCAATGCAGTTTGTACATCCAGGCTCAAGAATGAGTTTTGAAGAATTTTCTGTTTATTGTTCTCTGAAGCTGTACTCAGTTTATTATTCTCTGAAACTTTGTGACCATTTGTCACAAAATTTATATTATAGATGATTCAGCATGAGAACTTTTTTGATGTTAATTGTCAGATTTGTTTGACATTAACTCACAAAGCGAGATTAACCCCAACTTTTTCAAATGTGGCAAGATTCAGTGTGATGTAAACAGCATCTAGAAGGTTAGGATTAATTACCTAAACATGATCATCCTTGCAAAGTGTTTATTGATCATTTCATATAATGATATCAAATATTTGGAACAAAGTAGAACAAAACAATCTTGTTTTTCAGTTTTGAACAATTTCAATCTTTCATTTCCTGTTTCATTTTGTGAATGATTGTCAATTTCCTTGACTCTTAGTGACTTGATTACAGATCTGGTGACACACATCCATGGCACAGATATCTTGGTGCCATTCATCATATGGCTGGCCATTGATGTCTTCTTCGTGTCTATCGCAGCTGTCTTAGTTGCCTTTGGAGAGGTGGGGCCAAGGAGAGTTGGGGGAGGGGGCATTTAAAAAAAAGTCTTAACTGCTATTGTGTTTTTTACAATGCTGTTGCAGTGCCACAAGGTAGCCATACTTATGTCCCTGAGTAAGGGTGTTTATCGCAACTGCATCTCCCCATTTAGATACACATGGGAGTGGCTATTTGGCTATTCCTTAAAAAAAATTGATGAAAGTTCAAATTATTTTGCATTTGTAATCTACTGTAACCAGCACTGTACACCTTGAAAGTATTCGGGTGGATCCCAAAATGAATTTAAGTCTATCAGTGGCTCAAGGTTAATGAAATGTATAAATACGAATTAAAATTCACTGACTCGTTTGTTAGAAAATGGCGTTATTGGTTTTCCACAGCCTGTTGCTGCTGGGAGCGGCATACCACAGATCAAGTGCTATCTGAACGGCGTCAAGGTTCCGCACGTTGTCCGCATACGAACGCTGGTCTGTAAAATGTTTGGCGTGATATTCGCCGTATCTGGGGGACTGTCTGTTGGAAAGGTAATACATCCTTTTGCACGTTGAGCTTTGGAGATGTTGGTCTCCTGGAGAGCTGAACAGATTTGTCTGCTGGGTGCAAATTAGTTGAAGGATATCAAGCATCTCATAATAGGTACAGTAACATGTCTTCCGCCGAGAAAACTGTGCTCAAAGAAATCTGTGCACTGGATGACTCTCTGATTATGGATCCGGAACTAGTTTCCTCTCAAAATGTTAGGAATAATAACATCCAACTACCAAGTAAAACTACATGTTTGTCTGTGGGGATAAAAACTATGTCACATGAAGCCAACATTAATGTTTTTTTTAATATGATCATGCTTTGTGAAATGCCAACGGATTTGGGTCCCCGAAAATTGAGTCTCGAGGCCATTTGAGAAAGATAAAACTGAGTTCTTTGTTTTCCTGATGAAAATGGACGCAATGTTTTTGAAAACCATGAGGGTTCTTATTGATTCACACGTTGTAAGAGTCTTTCATAGGCGCCATGGAGACTTGTACATCTCACTTATGATGGATCATAGAAGGTTTGAAAGTCAGAAATGAAGCTGACCCAAAATGAAGCTGAGCTATGAGTGAAGGCTCTGGGTTGTAGACGTTACAAGCTGTTTTGGGTTGTTGTCTCAATGCAGGAAGGCCCTATGATACACTCGGGATCAGTCATAGCAGCGGGTGTGTCTCAAGGCAGGTCAACGACATTCAAGAGGGATTTCAAGGTGAGGGTTTCACAGTAGAAGTTCCAGTACACTTGCAAAATGAAGAACCGTTATTGGATTATTTGAATGGTGAACAGAGCTTGGGCAAACTTCCCTTCTTAATAACCAAGTTGCATTTTTTTAACAACAGGTATTTAGGTATTTCCGCTCAGACCATGAAAAGAGAGATTTTGTTTCGGGTGGGGCCGCGGCGGGCGTGGCAGCAGCGTTTGGTGCTCCTGTGGGCGGAGTCTTGTTTGCCTTGGAAGAGGGTGCAAGCTTCTGGAACCAGTCGCTGACATGGAGAATTGTAAGATACCAGCTCTCTTTAGTATGGTGTCAAAATCCTGCCAATAAAAATGAATCCGACAACCATCCACAAGCATGTAATTGTATGAGATTAAAATTGGTTGGTGTATCTACCAACTTGGCTACTTGAGTCGGCAACTGGTTGGAAACAGTTTGTGGCTAGAGTCTGTTTCCTGGTTAGCATGGATAGCCTGATCAGGGTTCTTATTTTACCTCCCTGTTCTTGGAATTTCATGCAGATTTGACATTGAAAAAAAGGAGATGGTAATTTCAATATATGTAGAAATAGACGAGGAAAAAAATGCTCTGTTCTCTAGAATTACATGAAAAAGCCTTGTGTGATTAGGGCTCCACCTACAGCTTGGTAGTAGTTTCTTAAAGTTGCTACTGTTGGAGTTTTATAATGGAAGCCAGAAAAAAAGTCATTTTGGGCTGTACCGATAGGTCTTGCAACTAATGGTTGGCCGTACTACTGTCATTCAATAGTAAAAGCAAAAGCATGTTAATAAAGAATGATTCAGATGTGGTCGTAAAACACGTCAGACGTGCATCATACATTTACATTGTCAAGTTAACGACGCCAGCCAGCAGGAAAACTCTGGACCTTGGTGTCATTGTTTGTTACCAGTAGCTGTACATCACCTGACAGGGAACAGAGAATTTGTTATGACATTTGACAACAGCTCTAAAGGAGCTCATTTGCTTTCGGATTGTATTACACATTTAACCAATTATCCCACCTCTGGATTGTCCATGATGGAGTGTAAGCAAGCTTAGTCTTTTACGTTCTCCCAGAATTTTTTCAGCTGTTTATCCTCCAAGGATCTCAAACTTGTTCAATTCCCATTACCTGTCAGGTTTGACAAGCTGAGTGTTTCCTCACTATCCATTTCGGATCCTCCCCAGTGGATTCTTCCTCGTAGACTAGTTTTCACCCTCCAGTTTATCAGACAGAATTAACTTTGATAGGCTCAACAAGGTTCAGCTTCCTTGTTTAACATATCCGTCACCCTGCCTCAATTTTAAGCTGAATACAGAATTTTAGTACTGTGAAATGCGATGATGCACATATCCTCGTGAAATTGATCCTTGAACGATTACACTGATTTCTGCCCTGTAGTTCTTTGCCTCCATGATGTCGACATTCACCCTCAACGTACTCCTGAGTTTTTGGCATCGAGAACCCTGGAATCTGTCCAATCCAGGCCTCATTAATTTTGGCCCATTTGAGGTATGGTTAAAAGAGAAAAGGAGTTTTAAGATATGTAGTGTGTGAATTAATGTCACTGGCACTCAAAAGAGAAAATCTTATCCTGTGTCTGTATTTTGTCCACATTAATTTGCGAGTAATTTGGTTTGAAATTGGAGCTTTTAGATGACTGTGATTTTAGTAGGTAAGGATTTTATTTCCATTTGTTTTATTTAGTCCATTTTGCCAGATATATATGTATGTATTCCAAACATGCTATTGGCCTCAAGCTGGACCAAGTGAGGGCACAATTTTTTTAGCAATGGAAGTGCCTTTGGTCAAAACTGAACTTTGCTGGTTCACAAACGACTAGATAATGCACCCGTCCCGGTTACATCCCGACCAACAAACTGAAGCCTCTCGACCAACACGGCTCTTTTTAACCAATGAGGTGGTGCTTCTGCTTAAGGCCGATAGAATACCAAACAAAAGGTCAGAAAATCCCCACTGTAAATCACTGTTGGCCTTTGAAATGTATGAAACTTAACCCCCCCAACAAATATGCCAGTCCTTTTGCCTCTTTAAAATTTGATTGAATTTGTTCTTCATTCCTCTAGGGTATCATGTACAACAGCTATGAAATACTTGTGTTTCTACTGATGGGAGTTATCGGCGGGTTGACTGGTGCATTATTTAATTCGATCAACTACAGACTGTCAGTCTTCAGGCTGAAGTAAGTATCTTTGTTGGCTGCCCTTGAACAGCAAGTACAGCAATGATATCACATGCCGATAGGGCTGGGATGTACATGTAGAACTGCAGTCAAGAATCACATCTTAGTAATGTTTCACTTGATGCATAGGAAATACTAGCAGACTATTCTAACCATAGACTTTGAGAATACCAACTTGATGTTGTAGAATTTGGGAAAGAATAGCCCAGTGGCACAGTTTTAATACAATCCACCTAGGACAAAGTATTGCATGTACTTTGAACATTTTGAGGCAAGGAAAGTTTATTGTGACAGAATAATACAGTGACGTTTTTTCCATTTGAAATGGATGCGTACATTCATGCCAAATGTTAAAACTGTCATTACCTGTGCACTGCTACTTTGATTAGTATGTTATTCAGATATTTCAACGATGTAGTCATCGAAAGTTCTCTACATGTGTTCAGAGAAGGTTACTTTACAACTTGTGTTGACTAGTGTGTTATTCCAGTCTATGTAGAGATATCTTTCCTCATTTCAGTCCTTTGGTCGTGTGTAATGATGACACTCCCAAATATTTGCCAAATGTCCTAAAAATAGGGTCCATTAAATGTATCAGTTGTCAAGATATTGACCCGTCTGAGCTCTGTTTTTCTCACCGCTTTTCGTTGTTTTTGTACAGATATGTTTACTCTCGATACTCATGTGTGATAGAAGCCATGGTTGTTGCCGCAGTGACGGTCACGTTATCCTTTCTGTGTATTTACTTGAGTGATGACTGCCGGCCCATTACCAGGGACATGAAGAACTCGTTACAGGTGCTGTAGAGCCTTTCTGAAGATGGGTATCTGTAGAGATTGATGCTAGTTGTTTACTGTAGTTCATGTTTTAACTTTCTCACACGTGTATGGATTACCTTTCTAAAGTTTAATCTCATATCAGGTTTTGCCGTTTCGGCTTGCTGAGTTCAGTTTTCTAAACTTTGTCTCCCGGGAATTGTCTTGATCCCTGAAATTGTCTTGAGACCTGAAATTGTCTTGAGACCAACGTTTAAAGTGTTATTGTGTGATTCTGTCAGTGAATGTTTGAATTAGATTCTAGAGCAATAGCAAGAGGTCAGAAACCAAAAGTCAGAGATGAATCCAAGACTTGGAAAATTGACTGCAGTTGATTTTCACAGTAGGGGAGAGATTACTATTTGTGTCACTTCTGTAGTAAATGAACCAATCTTTCCTTTTGAAAAGTAATTCACAGTTTTATGACACATTTCCGATTGTAGATGTTTTGCAATGATGGAGAGTACAGCGCCTCTGCCTCCTTGTTCTTCAACACGCCAGAGGAATCAGTCAAGAGTCTTTTTCACGACATTCAAGGTAAGCAGCGCCCTCGCTTGTTTGTGATGCTCCAACTGCTGCAGGGCTAAAGATAATGTACATAATTCAGCATGTGTGCAACCGGGTCCCACAGAATGAGTCTGTCGGCCATTTTTGCCCAGTAATTCTGTTCTATTTTGCAAAAAGGAAGAGCAGTCTGAGCTCTTTGTTTTCGTTTACCTCTCAGTCTGGCGTCCTGATGAAAATGGACATTATGTGGCTAAAAAATGTTTAGGGTTCCTATTGATTTGCATTGTTCATGATTCTCACAATCACCACTTCTTCATTGTTCATGTATGGTGACGTACCACACTAACCACAATGCACTTGGAATGTCCTTAGATAAACTCACTGCTATCACGTACAACAACTCTCATGTAAACCTGAACATTCAAGAAATGTAATAACTGCTGAGGAAGGCAAAAGTGGTCTCGTTTGCCAAGCAGTCTCCATTTAATGACTCAGGTCATTGACCTTTCCAAGCCATGGAAATGAGTGGAACTGTGCGCTGGTTCAGTTTCAACCACTTTTATAAAAAAAAAATGGACGTTTTTGTGTGGAGTGGGAGCATGGCAATGTAAGGAGTACAGCGATGTCACTTCTAATAGCTAGCAGCTTATCCAGATTGATTTACGTGACGATCAGACTTGCTCTCCTTATGCCCCGGCAAAAATAGCCCATGGGGTATTAATTGCATTGTGGATTTCCTGCTTTTTATCAGCCATAATATTATTCTCAAGTCGCAAGCTATACCATCAGATTTGTTGTCAGTCTACTATTCACGGCATGCAGGATCTTACAACGTAGCTACACTCTCTGTGTTCTGCATTTGCTACTTTCTCTTGGCGTGTTGGACCTACGGCGTGAGCGTTCCCAGCGGTCTCTTCATTCCCTCGCTACTGACCGGAGCCGCTTGGGGCAGGCTCGTCGGCACAGCCATGCCCTACATCTTCCCTCATGCTGTGAGAACCAATTCTGAAATTCTGTTAAACCAGTGCTGACTGTCCACATACGCAACAACATTTGATTGGTTTAACCCCCACTGATGCCCTGAATCAATGCCAGGGAGGTGTACACAGATTAACCCCAGTTTGTTTAGCACAGACACACCGAGTCCAAGATGTCCGTGAAGGAGGTTTGTGTATTACTTAGCCACTGTACATGGCTGTTATCTCAGCAAATATCACTCAGTGGCAGTGCCCAGAATATTGCAAAATATGAAGTTCAAGAAATATTGCACAGATATTGTCAAAGTGATTTGTTAACAGTTGGCTGCTGTATCTCACCTTTTTGAAAGCCAAAACTTTCAGCCCAAATAACACTGTCCGCAGATTGTTAAAATCCCCAATAACTGAGCTGTCTCTTTCAGTTCGTTACGTTTTTTTCATTGTATTTGTGTTTTTTCCCTCAGGTGCTGTCTTCACCTGGCATATATGCATTTTTCGGAGCAGCAGCTCAACTTGGTAGGCCAAACAAAGAAGAACTTCTTTTGGGTTTTTCGTTTTGGCAAATATAAGCAACTAAGTTTTGTCAGCTGATGAGGGTATTAATTTTGATTGAATTTGCTGCCTGTTGCATAGTAATGAATTTTGAACTTATGTTTCCAGTGTGTCATACTTGTAGGCTACGACAACCTGAGCCTCGTTACGTGGAAGTACATTTTCTTAGAATATGAAGCAGTCTTTTTCGTAAAGAGAGTTTACAATTCTTAAGTCTGTCCAAGCCTTTTGGAAAAAGATGATGAAATGCTGTTGGTGGTGGGGTCGATTTGAAATCAAGTGGGTAATTGGCTGGGTGTAATCCACCTTCCCTGCGATGCGTAGGCGGTGCGGTTCGGCGAGCAATTTAATAACAGGCGGGAACAGTCAGTACAACCCCACTCCCCGGTATGCATGTCTGACAATGCCCAAATACCGACTTGAACAATTTGCAAGCCCTGTTGTGTACAACATATGGGGCTTGCTACCAAAATTAGACGGAGCGCTCTGATTGGCTAAGAATCCTGATAACATGAATATTTATTCAGGGACAGTTTGATTGGTCAGTTGAACACTTATTAATAACAACCACAGTCTCATTCATTGAAGAGGGTGTTTGCATTATCCTAAAAAGATGATTTGCCATAAAAGCATTGATTCTCTTACCAGAAAAAGATACCGATAGTTAATAGATTTGTTCTTGAATAGCTATGTATACTTTGTCTCTAAGCGGCGGATTAACCCCTTCTGTCTGAGAACCGTTGACAGCTGCAGCTTTGTGTGAGGATTAGTGCATACCACACATACATTCTATTCATCATGCAGCAATTCCACAAAATTGTTCCGGGGTTGACAAATGAAATCCCCCTCATCCTGTGTGGGATTGGTACTCTGTTCAAGCCAGTCTCAGGACAAGGGGAAAACTCACTTCATCAGCCCGGCTTCTCCTGAGAACTGCTGTTGTTTTTCAACCCGCTCCCCCACAGGCGGTGTCGTGCGGATGACCATCAGCCTGACAGTGATCCTGATGGAGGCAACCAGCAATATCACCCTGGGCCTACCCCTCATGCTCATCATGGTCCTGGCCAAGTGGGTGGGCGACATCTTCAACCATGGCCTCTACGACATTCACATCGAGCTGCAGAGCGTGCCGCTGCTTAACTGGGACCCGCCCCCTCTCAGCACCACCATCCGAGCCATGTGAGTTTGTCCTCAGACTTGGCTGAGTTGCTAACTCAAAATGACTGAGATATGAGTAGCAATTACTCATGAATAGCTCACCTAACTAGGATCGGCAGTATTTATACTAGAAATGTTACAAGTAGTATACTAGAAATGTTACATGTACTAGTTGTTACAACTTTCAGAGGCTGTTGATTTTCCACAGGGAGGTAATGGCTCACCCAGTAGTGACCTTCAATGTCGTAGAACGAGTTGGGCGTATCATTGATGTCCTTAAAGACCCCAGAATGAACCACAATGGTTTTCCTGTGGTCGACCCATATGTTCCAGTAAGTTGAAACCCCCCTCTTTTTTCTCCGGAATGTAATTCAGTTGAATACCTCTATCATTAGATTTAAGTTTAGGAAAAGTGCAGCTGTTAAATCTGTTTATGTGACCCACCATTCAGAAGTTGGGCTGAAGTAGGCCATTTTGATAATTTTTCTCCCCCATTTAATTTTCACACGTCAAAGTCATCCAGGGTAAAACGTGTATCTGCTGGAAGCTTTGGTAGTGACGGACAGTGAAAGTTGTGACACATGCATTGTGCATTGATGTACACCTGTGGTATAATTCTCCAGTTGATTGCTTATGATTCTGCAGGTTGGCTTTGAAATGACTGGTCACATTTTAGACTATATTTCCACATTCATTAAATTATAACAATGCTGTGCTGGCAGAAAAATGCTTTACTAGGAAGTGGAGAGACTCAACACATTTACCTTGAACCTTGAACCAGGGTTGTGGGTAAAACTACACTGAAAAGTCGGAGGATTTGTTGGTATTCCCCATCTTTTTTCTTCTTTGTAGAATGGCCTAACCTTTGGCATCTTCAGGGGAACAATACTGAGGTCACAGCTCATCATCCTGCTCAAATGTAAAGTAAGTTTCTTCTTGGTGTCATGTTGTGCCTTTTTGGGGGGTCCCATTGCTAACAGAGTAGTCCCACTTCAATTGTTACATGAATCGTACTGCGAGCTCTTTTCTAATGACAGCCATTTTGGATTGGAATTAACTTGTGTGACTATCACCTGCTTTCATGAACTGTGCTGTAACAGATTTGTGCCATAGCTGGGCAATATACTTATGTTCGATTTCACAAAAAATTGCTTAGCTGCTCCACGTCTTTTTAACCACTTGCCGCCAGGGTTTCCGGTACTGGACACGTATTCTTTATACGCGTGGCCGGGGTCTCCAAAATCGGACAAAGGGAACTGGGCCTTGTAACAAAAGACTGTACTTGTAACAAAAGACCAGGCTGCTGGGCATTATCAACATTTTTCGCTCTCAATAGTGGAGATAATCCAGCCTTATTTTGAAACAGTATACCACGGTTTGGGGGATTTAGCGCGAGCGAATTACCACCAGGGACAAAAGCGCTCCACCACCGCAGCGATGAGCCACACAGTACCGCTGCACGCTAATCTGGCCCCTATTGAAAAGAGGTCAGCAGCACACTGTGCCAGTTTCATGAACAAAAGAAAGTTACATAACACTGCAAAATCCGGGCTCTTTTTACAAGGCAGCAGGCCTGGCTGAAATACTCCAGCGTCAGTAGATGTTGTCTGTCACATTAGAGTAGAAACCAGACAGTCCTTCACATGGGTGTAAGTGTCCAGTAAATGAAGATTTTTCAAAGAAGGAATTTAAAGAGGAATTTTTTAAGAATTTTGAAAACAGAATAAAAATGATAATTACCCCGCCCCAGCATCATCAACATTGATAACTTCCACCGGCACAAAATAGATAATATTAAATTTCTTGAACGAGGACAAAACAGCATTCACGACAGCTGTTTCCAATATAAAACCAGTCCTCAAACAGTCATTGAATTACCACTGCTGCCAATTTGAAAAAGTTTTCGCCTTTAAGTTTTTCATAACCTTCTAAAAAAAGTTGTACGTTTCTCATATAAGCCTTATGTTCAGCAGTGTTTAGACTTTGAAAATGATGAGCTTGTCAAATCATTCATTTTTGCTTTATTCGACACATTTTATGCCACCTGACATGACGCCATAATTTGTTGCGCAAGTAGCGGACTTACACATGGCGGATGTTTCGTGAAATCACTCTTAACTTGTTGTGCAATGTACGCAATAAAATGTGGCGTAAGTGACATGACACCATTGCGCAGTTTAATTAAATCGGCTGCAGATATCAATACATTTCAACATTGTTAGACCCACCTGGTACTTCCAAAGCAACTTGGTCTCTGCTTGTTCTTTTAACTGTGGCCCTATAGACATGCAGATAATGTTAGACCAGTCAGCCAGATATGCCAGTACTCCTTGCAAACGACAGCAAAGATTCCAAATGGACAGACTTAAAGGGGCCATTTGCATATCAAATGGTTTTTTTTTTTATGCACCCAACTCCCGTCTGTGCTTCGTATTCAGGCATTCAGCGTCTGGCCCAACCTGTACGACCCCCATGTCCCAGTGAGCATTGAGGACTTCAGGGACAATTACCCACGCTACCCGGACGTCAACGATCTGGAGATATCGGAGCTGGAGAAGGACTGCATGATTGACCTGAGGCAGTTCATGAATCCCTCGCCGTACACAGTATCTAAGGTAATCTTAGTGGTCTTGGCATAGGGGAAGAGGGGGAACTTAAACTCCTTCAGTGTAAGGGAGCAAGGTGAATCAAGAGCAGTGATTGACCATAGTCTGTCAAACTCTGTTGTTGTGCAAGCTAGTTGAGGAGTGGAGTGGCCTGCTGAATCATTTTGGACCAGCCTACTAGGGTTGTTTGCTACAGTTGCAGGAATCATGGGAAACCTTTCTTGTACTCAAGCCTTTTTATTTTATTCATTTGTGGTTTTTGTTTTCACAGGAGGCTTCCCTTCCCAGAATTTTCCGCCTGTTCAGAGCTTTGGGTCTTCGCCATTTAGTGGTAATTGATGATTCCAATAAGGTTAGTAAAGTCAGTCATGCTTTTTTGTTCTAGATTTTTGCTGTGTAAAATTCATGGAAGCATTTACTCTCAAGGTTTCTTGGAGCAGTATGTTTCACTGCCTCAAATAGTTGGAGTTTAAAAAGACAGAAATTTCAATTCTTCCCTTGACTTGTCCAAAGCAGTGGCCTGAGAGGCAATCATTTAACCTCTGTTTGGATTTTCACTGTTTTCTGGGTCATAGGTCATTGGCATCGTGACCCGCAAGGACCTGGCAAGGTACCGAATCTGCACCAAGAATGGTAAGGTGGGCATTGAGGAACTACACATATCCTACAATTAGCCGGGCACCGGGAGGGTCTGTCCCTAGACCTTACCTTGGTTGCCAACTCTATGCTATACATGCACTGATGCTTAAGTGGACACCAAAGGCCCAGCAGTCTAGGTCATGTCAAAGGTCAAACAGACTTGCAGCTGCATTGACCAGGTTCCTGCCTGTAGAGGAATGAGTTTTATTTCCATGGAAACCACAGTTTTAACCACAGTTTCTTTTTTTTATTTTAGAATTATGTAAGAATTTGTGACAAAACATCTGAAATTTTTTAGGGGGGGGAGGAAATATGACTAAATTTGAAAATTAGCAGGCAGTTACTTAAGAAAATATCACCTTCAAAAAATAGAAACTTTATTTGAGCTCACATCCATTTTTGACACATTCAAATGTCGAAGCCCTTCGACAGAATAATTTGGGCGATGCTGCCAGACGCGCTGAATAAATTATTGTAGTATTGATGTAGATTGAGTTGCTGTTTGTAGGACATGCACATGCCCTTTGGAGGCATTACACGGGCCTTTTACCCTTGGGAAGTTTCAAATGCCCACGAAAATACGATTGTTTCGAGTTGAATCCTGAACAGAATTTCCCGTTTAAAGACATGTAAAGAAGCCTCTCTGTGAGGTTGCTCCTTGTCTTGTCGTCTTGAGGTTTGGGCTTTTTATCCTTCCTTCGGTATTAATGACGGGGATTCTTTGTGGTACTCTCGGTAGTGGATACTACCTTAACCCTAACACTCCTCAGTCCTCCAACAGGTGAAGGATTGAGGAGGGTTAGGGTTAATTTTGTGTTTATCATCAACCCTACACACTAACCTAGTTTGTAGAAACGTGCAGATTTTGATTTCTTTATGCCAGTCATTCTGTGCAGTACTTAAAAGGAGAGTTTTAGTTGATGACTTTTTTGTCAGGTGAACTGTTCTAATAAACAAGCTTTAAGGTGAAAGTGCTTGGGTTTTTAAGGATCAAAATTCCAAAACCATACACAGTACATTCCGTGTTTCTGAACATTGTAGTATGTACAATAGAGCCTATGTAGATCCTATTTACAGTGTTTTATTTATATGTAGCGTATGTACATGTATCACTTTTAATGACCTTTCACCCCAGATTGTTTTAAGTAATCCTTGACTAGATGGCAGTAATGTTTTTTACTGTTTTAACCGTCTGTAGTTGAAAACTTAAAATGTGACATTAGCCGAGTAATGTGCTTCTCTTTGAGCTTGAGCTAGATTCACTACGCAGCAGATATTGTGAAAGCACATAGCAATTTTTTGTTCCTCTGCCGAAGAATTTTTTTCTCCAACATTGCCAGTCAGCAAGCTTGAAACTGTTGCGAAAATCAGGTTGGACTCTATTTGACGGTGTTGATATTCATTCTTGATCTAGGTTTTGCTAGCTGTAAAATTTTTAAGCCATTGTACAATGTTTATTTATGATGGACGACAGCCAAGCAGCCTGCTTAAAGAGAACAAAAGGGTGGTTTTGTGGCGTTATCTGGCAAATAATACATTATTAACCACTTTAGTACCACACATTTTTCATCTTTTGTTCACTTTGTTCATGGCCTTTTTATAGATCCCACTTATTGAGATGTAGTCCAGGTTGTATTGTGGTTTGATGACTAGCAAAAGGGTTCATACACAGACATCGCTTGACATCCTGCACACAAATCCTGTGAGATAGGTCTGAAAAATTGTTTTCAAAGTAAATAATATTTTCATAAACTGCAATGTTTTCCCCGCTAACTTTGACTTTTTGTATCATAATATCACTTTTCTAATGGCTGATAAACCACTGCAGGGGAAACTTAGTGGTGTCAGTTTATGGAAGTTTTTCCAAGGAGTAGTCTGATTTTGTAAATGATCACAGGTGTCGTATAAACTATTAAGCTTTCGAGATTTCAATTTGGAGGAAATTTTAAGTGGGATTGACAACAGGCCATGTATGTTACATGCAATAGATTTTTCTTTCAAACTTGTCAAAACCTACTTCACTACATCCCTAATATTTACAACTTTTAGCAATTTAAGTTCTCTCTAAGTTATTTTAAGATTTCCCATTACCACAAATCAAGGAGTTGTTAAAATTACAGCTTAAAGATGCCTCCATTATTTGTTGTCTTAATTATTAAGCAAACGGTTGCAGCTTAAGTCTATTTTCTGTGAGAAAGTGAAACCGTGTCCAATGGTCAAGGTGTTTACTCTTTCAAGGTTTAATTCAGCAAATGCATGTGCATGTGTCTTCAAATGTAACATAATTTTTCAGTTTCTTGCAACATTTTATGAACTGTCACCTATCCACAGGTAATTAATTTTTACGATATATATTTATATAGATTTTAAAACGATTTTCATTTGAAAATTGACAGCTGCTTCCTTTTATTAAAGAGTATTGTGTAAACTTGCTGTTTCTTACACACCGACAATGAAAAATCATGTAGGTCTCTGTAATTTTCAGTTGTGCAGTCTTTTTCATTTACATTTTTAAACATGTTCGTGACGGAATGCATGATTAATGAACATCAAAGTTGGCTTGACTGTAGTATATGATTAATATACACCTACATAGCCCTGGATTGAAATATTCTTTTGAAATCCAAAGAAATACACATCTCTTACGATGAATTATCCAACTATTTAATTCAGCCTCAGGGGTGTCATGTTGAACACAGTACACTTACTTCTGGGGATTAATGCCAGTAACCAGTCGAGCAGTGAAGACGTCTGCACAAGCGTGTAGGTCACAGATTTAAGTCCCTCTCAAGTAAGCTTATGAATTTTGTGGCAAGCTCTTAGAAAACACTCTGAATATACATTACACATTACATTGATTACACATCAATGTAAGGGCATAGATCCATGGTATAAAAAAAAAGAAATCTCCATTTTTATAAAAGTTGTTCTGAAGTACCTCATTTGTTAAAAACCAACCGAAACGTTCCCTTGAACTGCACAAATCCAGTGACTGTAACCGTAGAACAGTTCCAGGAAATCACATTGGAGAAAGCAGGAAGTGAAGAATTAGGCCCCAGACAACAAGCCAACACTGATTTGAATTGATTCAGTCTTCCAGTAAACTGCTGACACATACCTGGTTCCACTTTCCTTACATCTCAGCAGGTACAGATCCAGGGGAGGGGTTGTCCAAAAAACCCTGCTCTGAGACAACAATTTGAAAAAGTGAAGAAACCAATAAATTATAACTAAAGTAAGCGCACCAATACCATTGTAAACAATATATGTCATGTAATGTTTCGTTGTTGCTTGTCCGCAAAACAAGACATTAAAAAAAATCACTGGCCTGACCCCCTCCTAGAAAAACTGGATTCGCCCCTACTTGACAGAAAGTTACTGCTGTCTATATACGAACAGCGCAGGGAGAAGTCTTGATTTATACAATACAGACATTGAAGATCACATGAATGTACATGCACTTGCATTATAAACGCTTAAACAGATTTTCACTCTGGAAAGCACACCTTGCTGCTCAAAAATCATGACATTTACTTTGAAACCAAAACAACTGATAAAAGAAGACAGGGAACTGATGGCAAGGTGTTAAGTTGCACTACAATTTCCCAACTGTATCATTTTAAAGTCTGAAAAACAAATGCTGAATGACAGATGTTGGATTTCGCTGAATGCTTTAGTATTGTACATTAATTAATACCACAGAACTTTGCATACATCTGGTAATGTTAAGGCCATGCGATGCAATGATGAAATTTGTACACACATTTGACAGTTTAGGAAATTACTCGCATAGAAATTGCATGTACATGTAATACAACGACCGAACTTGGTGAGATGAAGTTGAAAGGCTGAAAAGGGTTCCTATGATGTTTAAACATTTGTTAGAATGCTAAAATCCTCCCTGGATTTTCTAACATTCCAGCACTAGAATTTGCATGTTGGAAACCTGACGATTATCCTTTCTGGCAATTTCGTTTATTTCAAAAAGCAAGTCATGAATCTTGACTCATGTACATACACGGCTGCGCCACTTTGGACAGGCTAGTGCACAGCATATTTCCTGCGCAGAGTACACAATTGTCACTTGATTTGAGTAACATGACTCTAATGACGCAAGAAAACTAAACCCTGACAATGAGCTGACCACATACAATACATTGTGACAAACTAAGCACACAATTATAATGCAAGCAAAAACATTTAAGTACACAAAAGTTTGAGAGCAAAGGTGGCCACTACACATATTAACCCTCCATCTCAGGCAAGCAACTTAGACTGAACAAATTAAAATGAATTCATCGTTTGCTATCACTGCTAAGATTTCGCAGCTGAAGTGTGACGAGAAACAAGAACCTTTGTTTCATTGGCCCAAAGCCTCAGTGGCCAACTTTACATTCTTAATCATGAATGTTTCTCGCAGACATTTGCACTATTAAAGATAGTCACAGCACACTATACAAGTCCTGGACACACTAACAAATTACAGTAAAGAGCACCACATTTAAAGTTAATAATACTATGATTTCAGACATAATTCAGATTCATGGTAAGAACCACAAAGTATTACACATTTATTCAAATATAGTCGAAATTACTTCCAAGCAGGGTTGGAAACCACCAGAAGCTGAAAAGTGGTGGGGGCAGGTTTTTTCCCTCATTGTATCCATTCTCTGTCCTTCCTGGTCTTGGTTCAAGAAGCTTACGTTTGGAATGAAAGATGGCCCTGTTATACACATTAACCTGTATCACTCATGAATGGCTATCTACTGTGATAGCAGTTCATGTGTGATAGCCAGTCAGTGTATGATGGCGCTGTCTGAACGGCGGTGCATTGCAGTCCATAACACAGCAGCATCTTGCACCAAGACTACTGTTCCTCCCTACCACAAACCATAACATATAAATATAGAATATGATGTCATGTCTACAGATTACCCCAAGGCCTCCCCTTGTGTGTGTTATGTTGTTTTTCCAGTGTATAATGCACATACTTCATGTATGTCACACAAGGACTAGAATTTTTTTTTTAATTCTGCACTCAAGGGTAGAGTGACTTAATTTCCCACGATTTTCCACAGATTTTTCTTCATATTCAACAAATGCTAAATCTCAAACCAATAACTACTCACTCTTATTTTCATCCCTGATGTTTTTTTTCCAAAAATATATTTTTGAGTTTTCTATTTTAACTTGTTGCTGACTCAAACAATAAGCATACCTATACATATCCAGTGACTCAGTCGTCAAGTAGATGTTTACAGATTGGTTTGTAAAGTAAAATAATTAACAGACAATACAATAAAATGAATTATGACAAGCTATTTCAAAGTGTGAGACGTTTTACAAAGAAATAGCAAAGCAGAGTGAGCAACATTGCTTTTTTGAGCGTCAGGAGCGAAAATTTACCTCTCACTAACAAAATATAAAACTAACACAAATAGAAAATAATGAAGCAATGACCTGAAATATACAATTCTTAGAACTTACAGGGCCTGTTTCAATTCTAGCAGAATTTTCTCAAACAGACATTTTTCAACGGCTTTGAGAAAAGATTCTGCTGGGATGAAAACGTCTGGCCCTGTAACTTGTTTAAAGTACAGAGATAAAATGTCAGGATATCTTGTTAAAATGGAAAAAAAGAATATGAGCGTCGAGTGATGAGTTGCTAATGAAAGCCAACACAACAGACTCCATTGGTAGCAACTGATATGAACTGTGCGTGCTTGGAAAGATAAACAAGAATCCAATCAGATGCATTTCTCTGTTGCTAGACGGCAGAGATATTGCATACCTAGATGAGCACGGGGAAGTGTTAAGCTCAAAGTAACGGTAACCAAGTGACGATTTCTCCAACCGTGCCTCAGAGTAAACATCGTTACTGTTATTGGCATTGGTTTGGGGGCTCAAATGGCAAACAGCTTATAAGAGTAAACGCCAAGCGTGTGTGTGTGTGTGTAGAACTGAAACACCATCGCTCAATTTTCATGCTGTTGAGAGAATGTTCCAGTCATCTTTAGCACAGTGACGATGAGACAGACCTCAACTTGTTTGAATGATACATGCATACTGATGAGAATATTAGCTTTTTTCCCATTTTTGGACATTCCACAGTACACTTTGGAAGCATTCACATCGCTGCATGTACCTCTGTAGTCCTGAATTTCCTCACTAAACAGTGTAGCACAATTGGCTTGCAAAGACTCAACTATGTCGACAGGGCTTTTAAGAAATACCAACTTTTCAGTCTTTTGTGGCAACCGCTTATTTCTGCATCCATACATGGAATGACCAAAATGTGAATACTTCTGAATTGTCCTTGACAGCATTTCTAATTAGACGTGAGAACAGAACTGTCAAGAATAAATCGTTTGTAAGGTTCTGCTTCCAAAGATTTCTGTCTCTAGGCTACTTTCCCTATGATTAAATTCCCTTTTCCGAATAGGAAAAAAAATGAATGCAAGGAAATCCAAGTCATTCTGCTAGATCAACCCTATCGACATGCCCTATGCCTCCAAGTACCCTTGAATGATGAGAATTTGCCCCGATGATAACCTGTAAAAAGGTTCGGAGGCCAACCTTTACATCAACACTCAGGATTACATTTGTACTGCTACACACAAATGCAAAGACAGCACGTACAGATCCTTCATTCATTGCCTGTCCTTAAAAACAATACAGATAAATAATTGAACAACATGCTAAATGGGACAGGATGCAGACACAAATGAAACTTTCGTTAATTACATTTGCATAGTGACAGAAGAAGAACAGTTTCCATGCACACAAAAACATCCTGATCTGGAACACTGACCTTGCTCCATTTACCTTGTCTCTTCATTTTCTTTTAATACTCTTGTTACTCCAAAGCAAATTTGCCATTGCAGTCATTTGAGATAGCTGGTCTGAGTAATTTGTAATGAGTGTTATTCCGTTTCCCTGGCGCAGCAGGACTAGGTGTCACAGAGTGTCTTGTTCCTATAATCCATCCACATTTGCAAGCTTTTCTTGTTATGACCGGTAATTGCTCTAAATCTTTTTTTGTGCTAAAAGCATGATCAATAACATGCTTATCTTTCATTGACATTGAAATTGAAATGTCAACAAGTGCTAAACATCATCTGCAGGTGGAAATTCATGTTACCACGGCAACATCTTCACAGATCATCCGTGTACATGTATGGATCAAAACGCAATGGGTTGGAACCCATTGACTGCAATAGACAGCCTTCCTGATGGAACATTAACCCTAACACTCCTCAATCCTTCACCTGTTGGAGGACTGAGGACTGTTAGGGTTAATCTTAGAAGACATGGCGTTAAAATAAAACGAGGAATTACTGGACTCTAAATACACTTTACACCATGTAATCCCTGTTCACTGGGCCCAGAAAACCCTTCATGTACAAGCTCAACTCCTGGGAACGTATACAACCAAGGCACTACCAGGTTGTCATCAACCACAAATGACCTTCTCTGCCCTCACAGGAACCCATTTATACTCCTCGGGAGGAAAGAGGTAGAATCCGTGAGAATAAATGGGCATGCTCCAGGTCACAACATATGCCCCATGGAAGGATTTGAACTCTGACCCTATGATTGGTAGTAACACACCCTGACCACTAAGCTACACTTCCCCATCTGCCCATAGGTAATGACAATCTGACCACAGACTGTCGCATTCACAATATTTCCAAACTTTTTCTTGAAACTGGAGTTCATGTACAGTACATGCATATTTAGTAAACTTTCCACAAAAATACAAAATAATGGCAATACAGAGTATAACATCTACCATTACAAAGTGTCTTGGGGCCATGTGGTTATGAACGTTTTCCTGTCAAAGTTTCAGTCAGGCTTGTTATGTATTCACTGAATAAAAATGCCCAGATGAAGACAACTCTCAAAGAGAAAGCTTCTGTTTTACGAGTCAGACAGCATCACTAACAGCTTAAAGGTACTCATTCCGACAGTGAGAATGGAATATTTTGCCACAACGTCTTCTTGTGGGTACAAATTCATCACCTCCCACAACTTTAGTCAGATGGATTAAGCAATCCTACAAAGGAAGACTAACTCCTGAAGGTAGTTTTGGTTTGCTGGTGGGATGTCACATGTAAAAAAGGCAATAACAGTGAAAACACTACAATTTTTACGTCTTGAAAGGCCTAACTCCTCAGAATTTTGCTTTTTTTAACTAAATACATATATTTCATAAAAAAGTTCTTTACCTTGAGGAAACCTGTTCATCACTGTAAAATATATCATATTGAGTGTTTATGCTTCGAACAACAGAAACGTGCTGAATTTGAAGCAGTGTGTTGGTTACCAGCCAAACTGTTTTGTACCATACATGTACATCCCTCCCAACTGGTACTCTGCTGCTCTCCAATTCATGCATAAATTCCCTTTGCAATATTTTCTGCACATAAACCAAAATTGGTCTCAGAATGTTCGTTCCTGACAAGCACTCCATAAGTTCCTGCAAATGGAATGTAAGCATGTGTATTTCTGTGAGTAGTTCTTGATTGTCCTCCATCGCGAGAAAAGTCTACAGCGTGCAGATTCATAATTCCTTACGGGCAATAAGACCGCATGTCCAGAGCGAGACATTTGACCATGATTGGAAGTTTCCATGCAGCACACAGGTACTTGCTCTTCGCCTCTCAGCACACATTTTAACCGGTTTGCTTACTTTTCGTCTTTGCTGGTGTCAATGTAAAGCCGTGCATGCATCCTTTTTTTTGTGACAAATATCCAAAGTGAAAGTGTGCAAACCAGTAATGTGAAAACCAAGTACTCACAGCTGACAGCAAACTTGGCGCTTTGGTCAAAAGGAGGTTTCGAGGCAAAGAGCCCACATTTCCAAAGACACTAAGATTTGAAAAGCTGAAGGATCAGAGGTAGAAGGTGAACCTTGGGAGTAATGCTGAAAAATACTGGCAAAGTGAACGTTAATCAGAGTGAAGCTGAGAACAATAAAACACTATGTAAATACTTACCGATTAAAAAAAATTCTCCTTATATTCTATGTATCACTGCATATGCACTTCTTCTTAAACCAAGAAGTTCTTAATTTATGAGTTTTACATTCTTTGTTTTGTTGATTAAAGCAATAGTTATGTACAGCATATTGTAGACATTATAAAAACAAATAAATTCAAAGCAATAAAATTTGAAATAATTTTGCTAGTAGGTAACTGTACATGCATTAGTTTAGGACCCTGTGTAGCATGCATCTTGAGTTAATACACATATTGCAATTTTTCATCTCTTTTTCTTGTATTTTTTAGCTTGGTCCACCACTGTTCATGGATTCTGAGAATTGAGGTCTGTGTAAAATCTCAAATATTTCTTTGAAGAGTTTCTTATATTCTGGTGGTCCATTCTCAAACATGGAGTCCACTGGGCTAGCTTGGGCACCCTTTGTCGGGGTACCAGCCTTGTCGAGTGTCTGGACCCCCGTCTCGGCTCTCTTACGGAGGCTGAGAGCCCGAGGACGGATGCTCTCGTCCCTTAAGGAGCCACAGCGGCTCCTGAGGAGCAGGGCACTGTACTTGTCCATCAGGGTATTGTACTGGGCATTAATCTCTCCCAGCAGGGACACACCCTCTGTCTTAGGGTGACCCATGAGCTGGTTCAGCCTCTCAGCACTCATAAGCCCCTCCTCCTCTGATATGGCCCCCAGTTCCTCCGGTGTCCCAACCACACCCCCTACTTTCCCGGCCTTGTCGCCCGTGGCTAATGCTTCAAAGTCTGCATTGATCAGGCTGTCGCAGTACTTGCACACAGCCCCGTCAGCACCACTCAGCGACTTGTAGTCCTTCTTGATGTTCTCCATCTGACCCCTGATCTCCAGCTCCTTAACCTTCTCCTCCAGCAGTCGGTTCTCTTTCACCAGCACCGTCAGCTCAGCTTCAGCATCATTAATCTGCCCCTCCCTAAGTGTCAGCTTCTCCTGCAGGCTCTTGACTGTCTGATGCATATTCATGAGCTCTTCGTCATGGAGCATCTCCGCACTGGCTGTGCCAAAGTCGTGACTACGGGCACGGCGGAGTGGATAAACGCCCGTGTTGGCACCCAGGGCATCCAGGATCTTCTTCTGTCTTCGACCTTCTCGGAGTCTCTCTCGCTCTGCTGCCTTGAGTTGTTGGATTTGTGTCTGCTGGTCCTGTGTCTTGGCTTCCAAGGAGTCAATGATTTCATTCATTCTGTAAATGGGGAGAATGAAGAAGGTTCAATTCAAAATGAAAACAACAGCCTGTTGGATGTGAGGTTTGCAGGTGGCTTCATCACGTCCTATGGGAAATTTACTAAAACATGTTTTTACTGATCTGTCTTTTAAACGAAACTTAAAATAATGTCAGCCTTTTTTAAAGTTCTTTCTAAATACGTGTACATATATCATAGACATGTATTTTGTACTTAACAAAATTCAGATCTTTTGACTCACTCTTGACTCTTGATGTTAAAATTTTAAAATGTACTTTATCCAACTTTTTCAAAGTTATGTTTATATTTTGAATTTGGACAACATGAAAATACACCCAAGGAAAAGGGATTACGATGTGCAAACTGACTCAACCAACCCCTTTTTTGTCTAAGGGATTTCTCGATTCCCTAGAAAGTAAAATGAAAAAAGAGGACGGAACCTGATCCCAACTGGAAGTGTTTCTTTAATTAAACATCAGTGAGGTTAAGTTAGAGTGCAACAAGTGTGTTCACCAACGTGTGAAATATGCATTAAATCTATCCAACAAGAAGTCAAGTATAATTCAACACACACTACAATAGGTTATGTCATGTCAACATGATTATACAGCTGATCCTTGTTGTAAAGAGCAAAGGTCAATCCAATCTATACAACTTTTGTCAACAAACCAGGTACAGGTACTAGCAATGATTTGGGTTTCATTTTTTGTTTCCAGGGGAGTGGGGGAGACTTTCCATAAAACTTGAACAAGTTAACCTTCACATCCCCAAGAAGTTTCACTAGGAGCAAAAATGTGTCATTTCTACACTAATTTACTGAATTAAACACTTTCTGCTGAAGACACCAAGGCTCCTTACTTCAATGAAGGAAAAAGACAAGTTAAACTTCTGGCTAAACTTCTAAGCACATAGCTTAACCTAGGGTGTGTTTCATATGCATATCAAGTAACATCTGGGATCTCTTTTTTGGTACATCCAATAGGAAGTCACTTAAGAACACTGGCAAATGTTTCCACAATTTACACGTAAATTAGAAAGCTCCCCTAATGAGTTGATTTCAGATTTGTTGAACAAAAAAGATGTGTTACCTTGCAATTCACTGGTATTTACACTAACTCAATCAACCCAAAAGTGATTTTCAAACACTGAAAATTCAAACAGAATGATAAAACTGTGAGAAAACCGCACGATGGCCAAGGCACTACTTGATCAAAACAGCCTGAAATAAACCAATGACAAAATCAACAGAGGTTTAAGAAATAAAAATATCTTTTGTTTTACTTATTACATTCATTGTGGAAAGTGACAACCAATCAGAAATAAAGCTCACTGTGAGGCTGACTGTATTACAATTTACATCCGAAAATGCTGTGCTTTTGACCGACAACTTAGTAAAAACAGCGCAGAAGGAAAACTTCTACAGCTCTATTTGAATGATCTGACCTCGAAAGATAAGAGATGAAAATTGATATCAAAGGTTTATAATAACATGAACTGTTTTGATACAACAGATAATGGGCTACCATAGAAAGCTACCAGTTTCATATCAGCGCAAAGCACAAGTCCACTTACCTCTTTCTTCTATATTTTTTTAGGAGGGGTGGGGGACCACGTATATCTTTTGGGGATGAAGACTGGCCAATTGGCACCTTACCATGTTTCCTGATGACAGGCAATATCCAAGCAGATGGAAAACACCAAGGTGTCAATATTTATGAAAAAAAATTCTTTGTTTATTAAGACGATAAATTTGAATTGTTCCTTGCCCGTGTAAATTCTCTATTTATTTCTGCATTTTTTTTTTTACAGGGCAGCGACAGTGAGGTCATTTACATGTAGTTGGGGACCCGACACAATCCTCAAAGTAATCTATCCATCAGTGGGTTTAACTTTTTTGAAAGAAGTGGAAGCATTGGACACAGTAAAACTCAACAATATTTTCCACTTAAACGTCTCCACCTTACATAGAGAATACAATCACGGTTAACACTGCACATCCTCATTTGTTACAGCTCAGAATGGTTAGAAAAGAGAAAGGTCTTTCTGGAACCAGACTTTACTGGCTACGGCTTTAGAGAGGCACTTCAGCAAATCAATGGAAGACACTTACAGCCACATCCTAAAAATGCCCAGTTCGGAGACAACCTAACCACATGGGGGCCTTACTTGAGGATTCTCTGCTGAGTGGTGCGTAGGTCATGCTGCAATCTCTGGTTCGTCTTCTCTGTCTCCTGGGCGCTGAGGTCCAGCTGCTCGTAGATGTGGGCCTTAGACTCAGTCACATCTCGTAAGATTTGAAGCTGCTTCTCCAAATACTACAGACAGGGAAGATGGTAATGAACAATAATTTATAATTTGCAGTATTCTGTAACACCATCAGCAGTCCCGATTGCCTTGCCGTGGCATATCCAGCAAGGGGGCAAGTTATCCCAAAAGAGGCATGTTGCCATTTTTATTCTTCTAAATCAAAGCCCCAGCACTTTAGACATGGTAATTCTAGTATCATCTTTTGTTTGGGGGGGGGTGTTCGATGATTCTTTTGTAGATTAGAAAAAAAATGGACGGTTGCTTTAGAACAAAAAAAATCCCAATTTTCCCCCTCTCAGATGACCTGGATATGTCACGGTTGCCTTGGTGTAAAGACTATGAGGCTGCCTAAGTCCACCCAGAGCAAATGATATCGCAGTATGAAGTCAATAGCAGCAGTCTTCTCCCTACGCACAAATGCCCTGAACACCTCCATGAACAAAATGGTGAGAAAAGCTCTGTGTGAAGTAGCAACGACCAAAGATACTACATGTACATATACATGTATGTAATTCTATTCAAATTCTTCATTAAGGTCAATGTAAAGTGAAAACAGAATCTCTCCCTCAGAGCAGCCTCCATTAAAAGTAGGCAAGTGTTTGGTATGCAATCGTGGGTCATACATGTACTTGTATACGTATAAATTTGAGTGAGGCTCATTTCCACATAAAATAAATGTGACTTCTTTGTCAGATGGCATGATGGTCAGTATATGTACGGTTATTTTCATTCTAATCTATTTCTGTTTGCTGACCGTGAGTTTCCTAACATTTTTTTGGCCAATAACTTGTATATAGTACCGAAGCGTACTGAAAAACTGAGAAAGTGCAGTGCAAACGAATGGAGTACGCGTGCATGTTGGTTCATGCGCTGGTTCTCGGGCTTATGCCTCTTACACACTAATTGTGTGCGTGACGTATTCACTTCGGTACTCTATAAAGAGGGTTTGCCTACTGAGTAAGTACTCTGTACAGCACTGAGCAATTTGCCAAATGTCAATGGCTGATGTATGTCAGGTCACAAGGGGTCGGTGAGGAGAGTGCCCTACAGGATGATGTAGAAAGGTTGGCATTACAACAGACCCGTAACACCTCTACCAATTATCTCAGGAAAGCTGGAAAAATTAATTTTTTGAGGAAAGTTTTTTGAGGATGTTTCACAAAAGTGACATGGCTACTTCACGAATTTAGAGTACAGAAAGCTGCAATCATTAGTATTCCTTCCCCTGAACACCATGACATGGGAAAAATAACGTCAAGAGATGGGACATGATTGACAAAGTACCTGCCCAAACCCATGACCGGGTAAAAGTTACAAGACAAAGAGGAAGTCGATGCCATACATGTACGACACCCTGGATAGACGCCCTAATGTGAGGACAACTTCATAGACAATTTACATTGTCATATGAGTGACTTCACCAGTTTCACTGACAAAATAAAAGCACGAACAAAGGCTTCTCTGAGATAAATGGAAGAGAAGACAAGTTGAATGAGAAATCCCTGGTGTCAAGAGCTAACTAGAGAGGTGGGAGGTACCATGGTAGGGCAATATACGTCTGCTGCCCTTTGAACGGGCAGCAGACGTATGAACCTCGAGGAAATTTACATCAACAGGTACATGTACTAAGTCTCCAAACATTTAGAAATACATTACACGACCTTTTAACAGAGTCGGAGTTTATCCAAATAGGAAAGGTTACACAGATCATGCAAAAGGTTAACTTTTCTTTCCTTCATCTCGTACACATTTCCCTCTATCGTTTTTGCTTGCCACTTCCTTTTTAGCATGGAATCAGGCAACTATACGGTGATTTTCATTTTCTTTTTAAATCGATTCTTGTTTCCTGGTTGTGAGTTTCCAAACCAAACCAACAAAATTTGAAAATCAGTACTGTCCTAATTTTTCAGGGATCAAAATGAAAGTGCAGTTTGGATGTTGGATGATTTTATGCGAGAAATTTTTCACATTTTCATTGACTAATACATAATAGGAAAGAAGTACACGTACATTTACCCACATGTAAGTCAACACCATGCTTTTAAGCTTCCACCATCCCCTCAAAAATAGCAGAGCAGTATCTCTCATCACATCTTTGTTTTACTGCAATGGCACAGCTGAGTCCATCACAATTCACTGCAAGTCCTTGCAAATCCATCACCACGTATTCAGTCTTGACCCTAATCGTCCTCAATCCTCCAAAATCCTTCTGGCGGTTTTGGAGGATTTTGGAGGATTGAGGGAGAATCCAAATTTTTCACCCCCCACATTGGAGGATTCTGGAGGATTGAGGAGGGTCCCTAGCAGAAGGGCCTGGGTGTTGGGGTTAAACCAAGTCCACGTTATGCAAATGACCTGTAACAAAAGCATTCCTCTGCCGACCGGCTACTGAATGATTGGTCTGGACATGTGACAGGACCTGTGATGGACTGGACTACCGCGCTGTTTGATTGTACACATCCATGTACGGTACATGTACCTCCTTTGACAAGCTGATCACACTTACCACAATCTGCATGGCCTGCTCTTCATTCTCTTGCTGCGCTGCCAAGAGATTCTCGTCCAGCTCCTTATTCCTTTCGAGTAATGTCTTGCCCAGTTCAGCTGCAAGGTGGAGATCTTGAGGGATGGAAGCCAAAAAAAGAAAGACAAACGTTATGCTACATTGTGTATTGTACAATAAAAACTGAAAGAAACAATGTGGTATCCTGACTCCACTGCAGCAGCTTTGTGCCAAGTCCATTGGATTCAAGAACAATTTTCTAAGTACAGTGTTATTCCTAACAAAATTTGACAATTTTCTCAGTCCAAGATTCATGTCTTTTCAGCATTTCTGCAATGGCTGACCTTAATTCGGATGATATTTGATAAAATAATGGAGGATGGATTCAACATTCTTTTCAAAGTGATATACTTTACATGTTTTGCTGGCTTCCATTTCTCATTTTAAGAGTCCAATCTCTTTTAAAGGCCTTATTTAGAAACATCTTTCTGCAAAAGTTGATTGTAGGTCACCCCAAAGGGGATTATTTTCCACATTTGTTCTTCACGTAAGACAAAATTTTCCATTTTGCTTGAAAAGACATTAATGTTTTTCCCTAAAACTAATAAAACAAAATACAAAATTGCCAGAACAAAGCAAACAATTAAATGACAAAATTTACAAAGGTCTAAGGATAATTTTACATGTAGGACAGATTCCCCGTCAGACCATCATGATAGTCATGTCCCAAACATGAACAGATTTAAAAGGCATGGAAGTGTCTGTTAAATTTATGCATGGTTTTGTGAGGAATGGGGATTAGGTGTATATAGGGAACAGGTTTCAAAGTAGGCAGGGTAGGGTAAATTAAAATTAGTGTTTTGATACTTTATTCTTATAAACTGTGATGGTCATGAACTCATGATGATACAACATAGAATTATTTCCTTGTTGAACATACATGTACATAAATGTACTGAGATGCATATATACAGCCAGTACAACCCCTGAAAGTTAAACGACCTTACTCCTGAATTCTCAAAACAAGTACCAAGTAAAAATGATCAGCCCCACCCCCACCCGTGACCATGCCAATCATCCTGACAGATTTCCACCCATGACACACCCATTCCAATTGATCTTTTAGACCGGCTTCGCAACCACCCTCCCAGCCTGTACGATAACCTGAGTGATCACGGGGAAGTTATGACATTACTGAGTCATCTTCAGATCCACACAGCAGGCGTTCCGAACGTGCATAAAATAACAAAACAGTAGCACCATACACATACGTACCGTTCTCGTACCAGCCATCTGCCAAATCAGTCCCTAATTCTTCGTCGTCAAATGATCCCGAATCTGCCATGTCGTCGCCTCCTCTGGGCATTCTACTCGAGTACACACTAGACCACATCGGTCTTATCTCAAAACAAGTCCAGAAACTGTCAGAATCCGTGTCAAAATCGATGAGACCTGCTAAATGTTTACCTTCCGTTTGGGGTACCGATCAGATCGAGTGCTCAGCCTATAGGCCAAGCTAGCCTTATGTTACGTTTAGGGCCGATCTAACTGATGATGATGTGGATTTACCGCGTGGCAAAGCAGCAAGTTTACGGTGAACTTCAATAGCGCCCTCTATCGACATGAAAAGGGACTTTGCAGCTGAGAAAAACAGCTGTATTTAAAAAAACAATAATACTAGCTCTATGGAAAAAATCACAGTTTTCCCACGTTTTCTTTATTCCGTAAAATGAATCCAAATGAATAACCCTAAACAGTTCTCTTCTCAATATGCGGCCCCTACTACCCCCTTCACAGACGCATGTTGACACATTTCTGTGAAATTTGATGGGCAAATAAATCAATAATTTTAAAAAAATGTTTCATTTTTCATCGTGAAATTAAACCAATTCATAAAGACTCGTTACAGGAGGTGTCGGAGATGTGTACGGGGGCAGATTCAACCAAAGCTCCTTAGGTTTAAATCTAAAGTGCAGCTAATTTTTTTTTACCTTACAGTCTACCTTTACATGTGACAATTACGGTGTAACATTAACAGATTTACCATCGAGGACGGACGAAAAATTTAACTTTTGAGGTTTTCTATCTCAATATATCTAAATACTATGACAGTAGAAACTTATATATTCTACTTACATATTCTACTTGACAATGATTTCCACTATATTAACGAAGATCAATGACATGGATCACCTTATGGTTTTCCCGCAGTCATTCTTTACACAAATTTAATATACCAATTGCAAGTTCCTCCCGCCACACGCTCTGTGTACACCGCGCTGTATTTCGAGTGATCTAGCCAGGAATTTTTATTTTACAACTTTGCATCCAATGAAATAAATCTAAGGCTGGTAGATGATGGTATTTGGGCAATAGAGGGAAATGGGTGTGACCCAGGGCGTGGCCGTTGAAATCAGAGATTGCGACTTCTTGAGGCAAACGCGAGAAAGTACGGAAGACGCACGCGTTGCATAATAAAGTTTCCATCGCGTGCGTTCAGAAGTGTTTACTTGGAAATTTCGAAGAGGGGAATCAAAGTGGAGCAGCACACCCTTGAACACTGCAGTGAGGGAAAAACACATAAAGTAGTGAAAGGATTTTGGCTGATATCATGACTACTTATTACAACAATCCGCCGGCAGGGACATCTGCCTATGTCGGTGGTTCTTTCTCTCGGGGCTGGACCGGGGATTCACGGGGCGAAGTGGAGGCGTTTATTTGGAGATGTAGACAAGATAATGACGGGAATGTAAGCATTAAATGTAACTGATGACATAAGAAATATTTCATATTATTATTAACACGTGCTAAATATATTTTAATCGCCTGAACTAACTCAGTTATGTACCTACTATTTGATTTTTTTGGGGGGAGGGTAAGGGACAGTAGGGTTATTTCAGAATATTGGTTTACCTACTTAGTTTGAAATTACTTAGTTTCTCAAATAAAGCCTATGGGATTCCATTTGAGGTTAAATTTCTTTTCTTTTTCGTTTTTTCAATTGTCCTTAGTTCTGGTATAAAAACGACAATAATCGCGAGATGGATTCAGCGTCCGTGACAATGTTCCTCAATATGCTGACTGATGTGAACACACGCTGTCGCGTGATGGAAGAACAACTCACGGTAAAAATTCGCAGGGAAATTTAACACCAAGCTCTGATGATAAGCACTGGCTTAACTGTGGGAGGGTAGGTCTCCCCTCTCCCAGTGAAAATCTTGGCAATCCTCGCTAGTTCTTAGGATCCCAGTATTGGGGACTTTATGACATACTCTATGTCTGAAACTCCAGAATAGTCTCCGAAATCACTTTTCAATCCGTTACTTGTGTAAAAGGCAGATTTCCCATGGCTTCAAAGTTAATTATGGATTGATACACACCTAGTAAGAAGATGAAAACTATAAAGTGACACTTTTTTTTTTATAACGGGGAAGTGTCCTAAAAGCAAGGATTGCCAAATTCTGTGCCCTTTTAGTCTTCCCGTCCGGATTCCCCATTTGAAATGAACAATTTTGAAACGCACACAGCGTCTGTACAAGCCCAAATTGATTTGCTTTCATTTTTTCCCATGAAAAAAAGTGTGCAGCCCTGTGTTTGCCCTCAGAAATTTCACCCTGGGTACCCAACTGTCTCTTAAAGTTTTAGAAAGACTTAGGGGGTTAGAATTATTGTCTGCAAAATAAAGAGGAACATAACAGTCAAGAAAATCAACAAAAATTAAGCTGGCTGTTCGTCGTGTAAAAAAGAACTTCCTCTGATTTTCCAAACTATGCTCGAAAACAAAACAACGTGAAGTCAAACAGCCTGTTTTTACTTGTGTTACAGGATCTTCAAAAACACGCACAACGCGTGACCTCCCAGCTGGACTCCATGGTATCGCAGCCAGCCAAGAGGGCCTCATCATCGTCCAATTCCTCCTCCGGATCGACCTCCGTCTCCACTGCTGACACCTTGAAGGCCATACGGAAGCTGCAGTGGAAGATCTTCGATCTGCAGAGGGAGAATGAGGCACTTAGGGCGGTGTTGGAAATGCAAAGGGCGAAAGAGCAGAGCGCAGAGGCTGAAGTTGATGAGCCTCCTCAGCTGGTGAGAGTCTTGTTTTGCAGATGCTGCTCTCATTGTAAAAAGGTGTGAAAAAAATGGTGTATGTTAAAAGAATTGTAATATCCTTGATTATTTTTTTCCTGGGGGGGGCTAAATGAATTTTCGTAAATGTGCAATTTTCATGTCAAGATCAAGGGTCACTGAAAGTGCCATCTATGAACTTTGTATCAGAACCTCTGTCCATAGTTTCAGGCCAAAATAGAAAAGACACAACGCAAAACCCGTAATTAAACTTAACATTTCCCCGACACGTCTTGAAAAGTTCATCTTGAAAACACAAGGCCGGTGTTTCCACTCCTGGCAAGCTTGCCTTGCCTTCAAGACAACATTGACTTAAAAAGCATAATATGTGCTCTTTTATGAATTTTAGGAAGATACAGAAACATCACCTAAATCAGCAAAGAAACCAGCATGGGCACAGCCTGGCATCATGATCAAGACACCCCAGAACACACCTGTTCCGGCCATGGTCAGAAACAGGGGGACACACTCTCAACAAGAGCACGTGCCGTCAGAGACTGCACATGCAAGACCCTCAGACACAAGAATAGTGCTTTTGACGAATTCAGAGGATGGTTTAACCAGCACCGAGGATCATCAACAAGAATGTTGTGAATGCCCACAGGAAGGTGGCAGATGCCAACCAGGAAACAGTGTTCATCATTCAGAGGGTGGTGGGTCCAGTGAACTGACCAAAGATTATCAAAATGAAGCTTCTGGTTCATCTCATGAATTCAGTCAACCTCTCGAAACAAAGGATACGGGACAAAGAAGTGGCTATCAAAAGCAGCTGAAGACAGACTCGACCAAAGAGTCATCATCTACACCTTCAAGGTATCCATACACACGTTGGGTATCATCGAAAAGGAAAAAGACACAACTAGGTGTTCCACTGGGTCGGCAAACTTGGTGTTGGACATCTCATCATCCGAGGCTCTTCCCACAAGTGTCCACTACACCGTCAGCAAGAACTGAAACTTGTTTGGCACCAGAGCCAAGGTATCAGTCTACTCCAAGGAACTCTTGCTCTGTTAATTCAAAGGATGCAGGCCAGAATGTTGGCCAGCCTGAAAAGCCTGCTGGAACATCTGAGACATCTGCCAACCACTGCCAATGGCACAATCCCCGTGAAGAAGGCTTTAGCGATTACGACCGGCATCCCTGCGCAGAGCAACTCACTGATGTCAAGCTGGAAGATTTTACCCTGTATGCCTCGCCAGAGGATATTCAGCTGGTGCAAGGAACTTTGGAGCTGCTGAATTCAATCAACAATTTAGAATACAGGAAAGACGGAGAAGCATGAAAACAATTCCCAACTCCAATGAAAGTGCCTGACTCCAGGAAGCATCTGTTGTTGAGAGAATGGAAGCGAGTGATTGAAGAGCTGACAAATTTCTGAGGCACTCCTCCAATGCCCTTTTTAGACTTTGTGACCCTGATCAGTTCAGGTCTTCCCAAATTGGCCCAAAACCCAACACTGTGGTGAAAAAGCAAAGCATTTGATTAAGACAAATTTGAAATGGTTGGATTAAAAACGTGGCAGACTGTTCATGGAAACACAGAAAAATGAAGGATTCTATTTGCCAGTTGACTTTCACAGTAACAGTACCTCACTCTTAATTTTTAAAATCAGACTTTAGTCACTGAAGCAAACCTTTTCTGTGTAGAATGAACAAATCTGAATTTCAGTTTGTGCTGAATACACCTCTTTTACCACTACAAATCAGCCAGAGAGCACTGACAGAATTAATAATTTGATTGAAAAAAGCAAATTTGAAGGTAATTACAGATACTTGTAGCTACTGATGGCTTTTACTGTGGCATTTAAACAAATGTTACATTCCACATTTTGAAATTTGTAATAACCATAGAAATGGGTACAGTGGTTTTCAACAGGATCCGTAAAAATACAGCAATTCATGTAAATTAAAGTAGGCAATTTGTAAATCCAAGATTAAATTGTAACTGTAAACAGAAACTCTCAGATTTAACTCTTCCGAGTACGTGTACTTTGTACGTATTACAAAGGTAAAGTTTAATGTACTGAGAACAAGTCTTGATGATGCATGTTCACTGCAAATATTTATTAAATCCTGTATGCTCTCAGTCCAAGATCCCTCCTGAATCCACCAAAATCCAATAAAATCCTACACAGTACACAAAGCCAATGGCACAATCTTTGAATTCAACTTTACGGGGCTACCCAGCCGTATGCAGAAGAGGGGCTGTATCTTCTTTGACCCTTTGTCATAACAAAACTTTTGCTAGATTTTGAAGGATCATGGAGGGTCAGGGTTAATGGGCACATCTGAAATCAAATGACTTTTGAGACAATTAATCCATCCCTATTAGTCAAGAGTCTGTGTGTGACGTGGGATGCGGGATGCAGAACGCGCTATGCATGTACCAAGTCCATATATGGAGATTCTTCTGGACATCTTGCACATGGAATACACAATAAAATGGTAACATGGGGGTGTTTGGGAAAATGGAAATAAAATTCTAGCCGCAAGCGAGGGCACCATAATTATCAGTATTCATTCTCCTGAGCAGGTCTTAAATGCACATTTAAGACTGGCCAAGCGCATATTTATTCCCTTATTAAAAAGATACCTTTAAAAATTTTAACATTACGGGGCAAGCATCTAAAATACCATGTCTACAATCTTCTGAGTACATGTAATCTTTTTTAAGCAAAAAAAGGTTAAAAACTACAGTCTTCAAAACTCCCACTCCCAGAGATATCAAAATAGATTTACAATGACTGGTTTTAAATCAAACAACATTATGGCCCTAATAATTCACTACACACATCGGCACCACCATGCCCTCATTGCAATTGGCAATCTGCCCAGTGACACATCAAAATTTGAGTGGGGGATAAGATTTTGTTTTGTTTTGTTTGTTTTTTTGAACAACCTACTAAAATTTTTCATCCACAAACAATTATCCTTCCATCATTAGAAATGCTAGTACTGTTTCCAAAATATCGGTGCTGTCAATTCCTCACAAAAATGAGATTACTTACTACCAACACTACAAACAAGCAGGGTATTGGGCAGAGCATGTACTGAAAATACCTGCACAAACTTGGGATAGATGTATGTAAAGTACATGTATTACAAGTCTTTTAATTAGTCTAATCTGTAAATGTTGTTAAGATCACTTTCAAACACACATTCCTCCATATATTTTAGCTTCTTCTGAGTAAATACATGTATTCATAACCAAAAAGTAGCACAAATTATATTAAATTGTAGATTTTAGTCTGTTCTGAGTAAATATTTACAAGCCAAAAGGAGCAAAAATTATATTTAATTGTAGAGTTTAGTCCGTTCTCAGTAAATAAACAGTATATTCACTGTAAACAGGCAACAGAGTCGCACAGAGTTACATACACTTTTAGAGATTAGCCACTTCTGATTAAACATACAGAATATTCATTCTTGTTAGAAACGGAGCAAAAATTGAATAAAAATGTTAGAGTTTAGCCTCTTCTGAGTAAATATATACAGTATATTCATATATAAGCAACAAGTAGCAAATAAATACAATGATAAAGTGCACATACAAATACGCACTGTTGAAAAGGGTAACTTTTCCTGCTTTTCTTAACATAAGAAAATAGTTGCCGGGCTGCATTTCAAGAAACATTATCTTGTCATGCAAAGAATGATGTTCTTAATATAACTTTTTTTTCCAGCTTTAAGAATACCATTTTAAGCAGTGAAGCATCATTGTAACGGAACGTAAAATGGCCGAGTTTAGCCTCTTCTGAATAGACAGTGTATTCGTTTACAAACAAAACAATAGCAAATATACATAAAACTTAAGTGCACATGTGCAGATAAATGTACATGTACACAGGAGCGTGTATTTTTGCCCGTCATATCCAAGTGTAAGATGCAACCATACAAGCTAGAGAGGGACAGTTCAAGAGTGGCAAGTGTAACACTTCCATTTTTAGCAGCTAACCAGCAATTTTAACACACTCAAGAAGTACTAAGTCTAGCTCCTGTTTATTCAATTTTCAAACAACTCCAAAGTGAAGAGAATTTTGTGTGGCGCATCACCCAAGAAACATCCTATAAACTATTCAAACTAATCATTTTCAGAATACTTTAAAAACTTTTATCGGCTTTAAGTATTCAAGGGCAAAATTGTCACTGAACAATTTATGTATTCAACGTTCATACATGTACATACAGGTGTACTGAGAAAAAAATGACTCAAGATATACAGAGAAAGATAAAATAAATATGTATTTAGAACACATACTGTACACATATATTTCAGATCTTTGCAGTGTAAATAAACGCCCAATGTAAACAGCTGAAAGCAAAATTTTTAATCTGAAGTTCCAATAACTTACATGTAGAAATAGTCAAAAACCACAACAGATTAGAAAAATTTAAACATAAAACCCTGTTAACTGTGCAAAATGGAACCTTTCTAGCAACACCCTTTGCACGGTCAGTGTTGATGTTCTTTGTTCGCCTTGAGTGAGCTGGGCATGTTATATTTTAACAGACATTATTCTTTAAACAGAAAAGAGACTGGCAATTAATCATCTGTAAAATAATACATGTACTGTACATGCCCAGAGAATACTGCAATAGTTTTGAAAACCTGTTTTCTGTCCACTCCAGTAAATTTCTGAACCACTAGGACCACTAGTCCAGTGACTTCTGAAATGACATTTAAACCATGAAATAGTGGAAGTGCTGAAGGTCAACAAAAATGTTGGATATTGTGAATTTTTCTTTAGAAGGTCAATCAATTTTGCCTGCAGATAAACCCATTGTGTTTTGCATGCATGTTTGGTACATAGACAAAAGCGCATTTGTGTTCCACAAGGGTGCCTACCCCATGGCATACTGTGTGCCATGCACAGACAGGCACAAATCAATAATGAGGTTTGTGCTAGCAATTCCTATGCTAGGGATAACGAACAATGCTAGCTATTCCTATGCTAAGAATAACAAACAATGCATGTCTACTTGGCACACAGTTTCAGTGCTCACAGAATTTCAAGAACATGTACGGAAAAGAAACTTCACAAAGCTTGAGATATCTTTGGGGCATGATTGGATTTGAAACTGAAAGAGACTAAGGCTGCATCCGAATCTGTCCTCAAGAGCTAGGTCTAGGTCTTTGTTCCATTGGAAATGTGTGGAGACGCGTAGACAAAAGACCTAGCCGTGGCTCTGGAAGCCCGTTTCGGACACGGCCTGAGACAGTGACGTTTTCTAGATATTCTGGGTAAACGTGTACAGTGTACATGAAAGTATAAGAGGCTGTATTAACACCTAAACCAAGTTATTCAACAGGTGGCTCATTACCCTTTGACATTCATTTCTAGAATGTCACATCAAAAAAACTGGGGATGGAAACCCACAGAGTTTTCACCCAGTTTTTCCTGAACCGTGTACTTGCAGGCAAGGAATACGGGACTGCTGCCACAATTTCTTTTTTTAAAAGGACGGTTGGAAATGAAAACAAACAGCAAATAAAAACAAAAAACATGCACATGTCTTGGCAGGTTACCTACCTATGCTACAAGTTTTCACTACGCAAATTTCCATAGTAAATTTGATATGGTGGTCCTGGAAATTACTACTTGGTACCTTTGAAAAGGCGATCGTATATCAGATCAGCAATGCACTCATTTGACTGCAACAAGTGGGCCAACCACTTTAGAGATTCAGCAACATCTTCAGGGGAACAGTGATGAGCTAGATTATCAGCTCTCAAGTAACCTTCCAATGCCTTCAGGAGATCCAAGAACCTCTCTGCCAGCATCTCCTCCTCCCACTCCGTCTCCTCCTCGCAGACCTCCAGGAGGACGGTGAGCAGGTGGTAAAGGGTCAGCATTTTCATTGACGGCTCAGTGGACAGCAGTGACTTCAGGATCAGCAAGCACTTCTTCCGGCATCCGCCGTCTTCGTCCAGTGACTCCATCTCCAGTACGGCCTCCTCTTCCAAGGAGTGAAGCCAGAGGTTCTCCTGTGGGATGCTGGACAAGGCTGCTGACTCCTGGTAAGGGGTGCCTGACTGGGCAATTACAGTGATCGTCTTTTCCCCCTTCTCAACCTTCATACAGGGAATGATCTTGATGCAAAGCATGTCTGCATAGCCTTTGACAGGATTTTCAATAATCAGTTCAATGCTGCTCCCATTCCACTTGACGTCGTAATCCAATCCCAGCACCTTCTCTTCATCAAGCGAGAGCTGGATTTTCTTCTTCAAGAACCTCTGCAACAGCTCGGGGTTCAAGTAGCTTCCGCTCAGGAAAGGATCCCAGGGGCTGGTCCCAATGCTGAAGTCATCCAGGTTTATACGGCGCACACAAAAGAAGCCGCGCATCTCTAGCACGCTTTCACCAGCATCACAAATTTCCCACATCCGGCAGTCCACTGTGAGCGGGAGAAATAGGGTGCGCTCATCCTGGTGCTTAGTGATCAATCTGTCAGAAGCCGCAGGTACCAGCTCTCCCTCAACGAGACTTCCGTGATTCTTCACAAGGAACATGCTGAGAGGCTGTCTTGCCTTCTCTACAAGGTCCCGTATGGCCATCCGCTTTGCTGAGGAACTTCTGATGACAGAGCGGTAGTACTCATTCAGGTCCTCGACCAGATTGCTTGAGAACTCCCTTTTAGTTCCAGAGTCACAATCTGAAGGTGCTTGCTCTGGGGAGGGTAGATATTCCTTATCTTTCTTCTCCGCATCCCCCTCCTTCACATCACCTCTACAGTCCTCCTCTTCCTCTGGACTCTCGATACTCCCCACAATCTTCAAGGCAGCATAGGCACCAACAGCCACAGCTCCGAGAGCGGTGGCACCAAGAGTTGTCACTCCCAGCATGGCACCAACCTTGAGGGCTGCGCCAACTTTGACCCCTGACCAGAGCCAGGATCCCACCTTATCGCCAGCGGCTTCATCTTGCTCCTGTTTCTTGTTGGCTTTTTCTACTTCTTTCCCATCGTTGCCACTATCTTCTCCTCCTGTTGCCATGATTGCTCCACCAGTTTCAGCTGGTACAACAAAAAAAGAATGACGATGAGATCTCCAGTACCCAAGCTTGCTTATGAATGAAAACATTGATTGGAATTAATGGTGGTCCAATATGATTAGCCCAATTCGCTTCTATTTCAATGACCAATCACACCTCAGTTTTCATCTGCCAGTGACAGGAAAATAACAAGAAGATAGGAGCTGTGTTGCAATTAGTCAAGCTGTCATGCTGCTGACAGTGATTGAGAGAGTACACGTACATGCTGCTAATTTTTCTTGGCGGGGATGGGAAAAATATTCAGTAATTTCACCATTTTAATGAGATACAAGGTGAGTAACCTCCCTGGCAGACATCTATCCTCACAAAGAAGGTATGTAAGAAATTTTGTTGCACAAATATCTGAGGTGGCAGAGTAAGTTGACACAATCGAAACAGCCAAAACTGATATACATTGTATGCAAGTTTGTACATGGCTACAATACAGGCGTTCATTACTATTAGCACCTTGTTCCTATAATAAGGAAAACGAAGTCCACTTTTTGAAATTAACTGACATTCAGACCTTGAGGATCCATTGCTTAATCCTAATAGCTCTAGTTAGGGTAATCTTTGACAATATTTAAGCAAGAAACCCAGAATTTTTTTTTTCCCGAGTTCGACGAAAGACGACCACATCACGCCATTTTGTTTCAGGTCTGGTTACCTGACCCAGCCATTGTGGACATGGATTTCATAAAAGAAACATTTATTGGTTCCAGGTCAAGGAACCAGACTACATTGTACATATGTGCGGATTTGTCTTCGTTCACAGCTCTTCGTCGCGTCTTTTTACACTGCCGTTATACCCAATAATTTGGAGATTGCGAATTTGGGCACCCTGTTCCTATAATAGAAGGGAGACAGGGAGAGTTACATTTTAACTTTTGAATTGACCTTGGTAGATGATTGTGACATCACACTCAATAACTGTAGGGTTTATGTCAAAAAAAGGGTAGGGTTTTGAGTTTTGAGGGAAATTTTGAGGGGAAACTGTGAGTGTTTTAACACGTGCCACATGGTGGATTCAAATTTGCATGGTTAGTTTATCAGTAAAAAGGCACATTTTCTCACAATTTACAATTTGAAATTTTCAAAAAAATAGGGTAAGCACAATAAAGAGTGTGTTGCCTTTGTTTTCTGGGGGGACTTATCAGTTTTGCAAGATTAAAATGTCAAAAAAATGTGGGGTCCCCATAATTTCCCTCAAAACCCAAGGCCCTTCCCCACATGCAGCAAGGTATGAGACGGAGAGAACCCCTCCTGCTTTGTGTTGGTCATTGTCTCGCAGGAATCTGGGGAATTCCTTTCAGACATCTTGGGGAGATGTGTTAAGTAACAATAGTCTGGAATGTGTATAGGGATTGGATATGTTGGGGGGTACCCCTCGGTCTCATTTCTTGATTGGTATACCCTTCCCCATTTTCTTTCTGATATGAAAGAGGACATCACTGCCAATTTAGCAATAGGTGGAAAGGCTTGCGGTAGCACCATGCAAAGGAATATATCTCTTATGAGTATGTAGGGTCCTGAAAAGAATATAAAGGCGATCCCATTGGCTTCTCCATCAGTGACATCTGGTAACCCCTGCTCAGCTCCCAGTCCAATGGGTCCTCTATAACCTGGGACACCCCACCCCGCCTATGGGTCTCCTATACCCCCGGCCACCTCACCCCGCTCCAACCTATGCCCAACTGACACACCTCACTGACTTGCTGGACCCCGTCCCGCATGAGCGCCCAGCTGAATCTACCACTAGCATCCTCGTCACACCCCACTGCATCCAGTCACCTTATATAAACAGCTTCATCATCAGCATCTCTTCAGTCTGCTCACAAGGGACTGAGCATGCAGTTCGAAATGTTAAGTATAGGCCTACTCCCGGCACTTTTCAGAACCACACATATGGGGCAGCGCGGACATCTGGGAGTTTCACAAAAACACGGGTAGCAACTACACTGCGGCCAGTGAAAACAACTGCAATGCGCGCATACATGCAGATAAAAGAAAAGATTGTATAACCCGATCCTTGGACTGGCTGGTGCATGCGTACATCGCCAAGGTTGCTGTTTTCACCGGCACAGTACCCGTCATTTTGCGAGAATCCCGGATGTCTGCGCTGCCCCGTAAGAGATACATTCCTTCGCATGGTGCTACCGCAAGCTTTTCCACCTATTGCTGTCTTTCACCATGAATAGCCTGAAATACCACCGCCAACTTATTTTAGATAGGCCTAAGTTATTTCGAAAATGTAGACTTTGTTTCCTTATTATAGCATTATAGGAACAGGGTTGGTGGTAATGAACGCCACGGTATAATGAGGTTTGTAGGTATTGTCTGAGAGTTCTGAACGTGTGTTGCCTACTACTAAATAGGCATTTGGTTAGAAAATTTCTGGACCTTGAGAAAAAAACAATTAGGCCTTAAAACGGAAGACATAGCCGGCTGCCTGCGCCTTTACCGCATCCTACTATAAACTAAACGTCAACATGAGCAAGGGATAAACTTCAGTTCAGGATGTAAACAAATCGGAGATACACAGTCACAGTACACGTATGACACAACAAAAACACTCACTGCACGTTGTCAAAACCACTCTAGCAGGCTGCCACCAGAAGACTGCTTTTCAGCCACTCATGTCACTTTATTGTCAGAGTTTTGACAGATCATAGAGCAGGATTATCAGCCTGACCTGCAGCAAATTGCTCTGTTGTCAGACCACAGACGGAGCGAGGAGATCAGTCGCTGCTAAGTCGTCCAGAGCAAAGATGCCCGACGCCACACAATCTTTGGTCCAGATCAAAAGATCGATGGCGAACTTCACGGTGAATACACGTACAACGTTGTAATCGCATGAGCGCCATTTGAGCTTTGAGCAAGCGATACGCCTGCGCAATGCATATTAATGCGCAGGCGCAGGAGCTGCAGCAGGCAAGGGCACCTGGGCCCTTTTCCAATACTCGACTTGGGCTCCGTTTCAGGCTTCATTCTCAAAAACCAATCCCCGATTGTTGGCCTGAAGCGTTTAGATTAAATTAGATTACTGTAATTTCTGGCTCTCTTGCATCTTATTTGATATTTTGATGTACTATTTAAATAATTACTGCATTTACAGCTTCAGCGTCAGCTCGTTAAATAACAGTTGAAGCCTGAACGGAGCCGCCGTTGAGAATTGGAAAACGGCCCTGGTGAGCCTGCGCATTACTGTAAACTGCGCAGGCGTATCACTTGCTCAAATGGCGCCCATGGTAGTTACATCTTTTGGGCAAAGTCTAGTTATCCGGCCTGCGCCACGCAATTTACAGCAAAAGTAGAGGAAGTATATGGGAGGCCATATGTGCCAAAATTAATCGTGTCAATTAAAAATTAAAATGAATTACTGAAAGGGACATATACCATGACACAGAAAAAAAATATAAGCTGGTCATGATGCAGCCATTGTTTAAAACAATGAAGAAAATTACTGATGAAGCTGATAAAGCAACATTTGTACATGTACGTCGGTAAATTTTGGCCTCTCATACAAAACAGCTATCTGTGTTTGTAAACAAAAGAATGGTCTACACAATCCAACCATATGATCCAACCACGCCAGTTGTACAAATCCAAAACTGGAATCAAAAGCAAAGCATCCTGTAATGATATTGACAACCAATCATTTCTTGGTGGGGTGGGGGTGTTAGGAGACCTCTTTAGAAACAATGAAATATGAAAGACTTCACTCAATTTATTTTGCTTTAAAGCATATGCTTACATCCTGCTCATCGCATTGCGAAGTATAATTGCGACACAGCTGCACACAAATTGGCTTAATTCCAACAGGTATCAACGACACTGTGTTCAAAGATCTGCACTAAAAGAATACATGAACATGCAACTTCTATTACTCAATTATTCGGGTAGATCATTAATGTTTTGCTGACAAGGGCCTTAGAAATGCTCTGATTGAAGTTGAAAGTATACTTACATACGTTTATAGAATTCCTCATTAAGAGCATTGAGGAAGGAGGGGATTGTGAACAGCATGCCCAAGTCTAATTAGTGTAATTTACGTAAATATAATGAAGTTTTCTTTATTTACAAATCTGTTTTTTTAATACGAATGTCCAATAACAACACTGCTCTGAAATCAGATACTTTAAATAGCAAAAAATTATTATTAAAAGATTTTCTTGATGTGTTTCACGAGTAATCATTTTTTTTTTCAATTCAAATGGAACACTGCATACTCATTACTCACACTGTACAGATGACAATTATAGCCTCCGTCTTACATTTTCTGGCAATAAATTTCCACAAATAAACCTTTTGAAACTTTGTTGACTTCCTAACTGAAAAAAATTGAATTATCAATATACATGTATAACTTTTGAGATTAATGACCGATCAAAACAACAAGCCATCGATAAATTATTGCAAAATGAAGGACTGTATGGAATCTGGCCATGTAAATTATACCATGCCATTTTTGTTTCAAACAAGAAATGTTCTCCACCAAATTTTCAAAACATTGTCCTTAGGTCCATCTGATAAGTGGTTCAAGAGTTACTCATACAACAAATCTGAAATTCGATCCTTGGACTCCAACACATGAGCCAACCACCGCTGGCATTCTGCAATGCGTCTAAGCGAACAGCTCCTAGCTAGGACATCAATCTTCTCATCGAAATGATCTCTCAGTCCTCCAGCTCTCAGATAACCCTCAAGGGCCTTCAGAAGATCCAAAAACCTCTCTGCCAGCATCTCCTCATCCCATTCTGTCTCCTCCTCACAGACCTTCAGCAGGATGGTTGTCATGACGTAGAGCGACAGCATCTTCAATGGCGGATGGGAGGACCTCAAGTCAGCCAAGATCGCCAGACACTTGCGGCGACATCCCCCATCTCTGTCCAGGATCTCCACCTTGTGCAGAGCCTCTTCGTCTCTCAACTGGAGCCACAGATTCTCGTGGGGGTTGCTAGGGGACATCCTCTCGTCAGTTGGCCCTCCTGGGTTCTGGATGTGGATGGCAGATTGGGTTGTGATTGTGACCGGGTGGCCCGCCTTGTCAACTTGCATGTAGGGGATGATCTTGATGCGAAGCATGTCGGCATAGCCGCCCACAGGATTTTCAATATTCAGTTCCACCCCACCTGCATCACATCTGACAGTGCAGTAAAAGTCCAGCACCATCTCGGCCCTCAGCATCTGCTCTACAATTGTCTTCCAGAACTCCGTCAGCAGCTCAGGGCACAGGTAGCACCCAATCAGGAAGCGGTCCCAGGGGCTTTTCCCGATTCCAAAAAAATCCAAGTTAATGCGACGGACGCAGAAGAAGCCCGCGATATCAAGAACTGTATCGGACGCATCAATGAACTCCCACATCTGGGGGTTGAAAGCTAAAGGGAGCATGAGCCCGAATTCAGTCTGTTGACTAGAGGTGAAACTGTCAAAGGCTACCGGTGTTAGTTCCCCTTTGATGAGTCTACGATGATTCCTAATCAGGTAACTGCTGAGATTCTGTCTTGTTTTCTCGACCAGTGCTTGGATGGCCAACGTCTTAGGCGAGGACGTGCTGACATGAGAAGTGTAGTATTCATTCAGCTCATCCACCAGGCTACCCAAAGTTTTCCTCTTTGGTTTCGACAGTTGGCCAGGGCCATCTCTTACAGTTGGGTGAGATGATGGGGACGCTGAGCCTTCCCTTTCCTCCTCATCATCTGAGCCACTGCAGCATCTGTTTCTCATTGGAGTTTCCTTTTCTTCCCTTTGTGACATCTTGACAGCAGCATAGGCACCCAAGGCAGCTGCTCCAATGGCGGCACCAATCTTCAGCCCTGTCAAGAGCCAGGAACCTGAGCCCGTTCCATCTCCTTGATGCTTCCAACCTTTACCTCCTCCCCCAGTAGCCATGGTTACCCACTTTCTGAAGATTTAAAAGAAAATTTCAAAATGCTATTTATTTTGGAGAGATTATAACTTATATTTAAATTTTCAAAATGCTATTTATTTTGGAGAGATTATAACTTATATTTAAATTTTGAATATGTTCCAATATGTGTTCCTGAATGTAATCTTACTTAAGTACATGCTGCCTTTGAAATGTGAAACAGATGACTGAAGACAAGATAAAATACACAAACACTACCGACTTTAATACGCAAACACCAACTTACATTTTCAAAGACAACACAAACCAAAGTGGAAAATCAAGGCAGTGTTCAGTCCTTGTTTTGTGTCAAACCACGAACTGAACAGGACGGCGGCAATCAGAGAACTTTGGAAAAACGGCTTCATTTGACACTCCTTACTGGAAAGAAATTAAGGACTTAAGTCTAGTAATAAGTCTACGTGTACTGTAAATATTGCAACATTCTGGGCGTCCAGTCATACTACTGTGCGCGCGCAACTGATGATGAGGTACATATTATGGGAATCCCCAATCGATCCCGGAAGTATTCACAAAGCTATTTAAAAAAAAAAAAGGTTTTTAGGGATCTGCGTAAGTTTTACGTTCTTGCGAGGAAACAAAACTGTCTGGATATTCTTTAGTTGATGACAATTTAACGATTTCGTTGAATTTTGACTGGGACCTAGATGATAAACTGAATACAGGTTTCAAAGGGGAGATATTGTAAAATGACATCCTGAATGTCTTCGATTTTTGAGGAGATCCCTGGAATTTGGATTCAACATGGCAGCCACCGGAGTGTTGCCGTTCGTTCGTGGGGTAGATTTAAGTCGAAATAACTTCAAGGTAATGGCATTAGAACAATCACAAAGTAGATTTAATGATACAGACGTTAATAAAAAATCTTGATTAACTTCGATGGTAGGGCTTATATATAAGTGATGTTTAAAATATTACCGCTTGAAATACCGGAAATTCCAATGGCTTGCTAATAAGGTTATTACAAGCGAACACCGTGTATTTCCGACACATATTTAGTAGGTCATGGATGCATGGAGCTCTATGATTAGACAGGGGATATAGAAATTGAATTTGGACATTTCACGATGAAACTCAGACCTAGGGCATATAGGGAGGGTAATAAATTTTTCAAATATTTGTTTCTGTTTTGTTTTGAAGTGATAATGGAGAGGATGTCTTTAGAAATATTTTGATATAAATTTGGATTCCATCAGACTTTGCAAAGCAAAGAAAGGTTGATTTGAATTTTAAGATGTTTTGTAGGTGTGTAATGCAGAGCAATCTGTGATTATTTTGTATAGAAAAAGAGAGTGGATTTTGACTAAAAAGCTTAAAATTCCCATTTGCATAAAATATTTGTTCTTATTCGTGCCATATTTCAATGAATTACGTGCTGGCTTCACTTGAAATTTCAAAAACATTGGAAATTGGAAATTTAATAGAGGAGTTACGGCGTGCTGAAAAAGACAAATTTAATCACTATCAAGAAAATGAGTTTCTAAATGAACAGCACCCTCACTGTTTTATACATGTCCCCACCTGGTGCAATTTTGGACTTCAGTTTATTCCCCTTGAAAAAAATCCTCAAAAGAGTCTTAAGCTATAAATTATGACAACAGTAAAAGATATTATTAAGACTCTTTTGGAAGAAAGAAAAGCAAAGTTTGTAAAATTTCCATATCCTGTATCTTTTCAATCATAGTAGCCCCAGACAGTGCCACACCTTCAAAGTTACCTTGTAAAAGTGGGCTGATACCAAAGAACCTCAAGAAGATATAAAAATTCCAACACTGATTTTAGTGCACTACATCAAGTGGTTAAGGACATGCCATGCCAAATAGTAGCAGCTTCACCATCTGGGTTCAAATCTTGTTGGAAAAGAGTTCCATAAACGTACATCACTTTGACATCTGTGCACAAACAAACCCTTTGAGAATGGTCTTGAAAATTCTAAGTGTTTTCAAGTAAATGCTTCAAAATTTGGGTTTTTTAGTACATGTTATCACTTTCTGATGGCTAATAAACTACTGCAAGGGAAAATTAGTGATGTCGGTATGTGGAACTCTTACCCTTTTTTATATTGCACCACATCGTGGATTTTTTCTGTGGGTAGATGCCATGACTGGACTCAACCTTGTTGAATTAAGAATGTTTCCCTCTTCAGCGAAGTTCGTACCACCAGTACATTTGTTTGTGTTCTCGTATACATGTATACAGTCAGACCTGTTCCCTAAGGATGTCGCAGACATGTCAAGTCTACGATGGTTGCGTGTCAACAAGACCAGATTGGAGATGCTTCCAGATGAACTGTCATCCCTTTCAAAATTGGTAGGTTGATTCATTGAATGCCACAAAATAAATCATTTCCAACGCTTGTAAGTAAGAATTTCTGATATCATGAATGGCATTTTTTGATTATGTAATACCAATGTCCTGAATGATAATGATGAGTTTGATACATGAAGAACCATCAGTCTTTAGGTAGTATGGCGTATGATACAGTGATATATCCAACAGTGGGGGGGCCAACTTGCTTCCCCCCCACACTTTTTTCCTTTTCAAAGAATAATTCAAAGGTGAGTTGGAAAGAAAGTAAACGGTATATTGATAAAATATTAGCACCAAAACCGTAAGAAAACAACACCAGCAAATAAAAGCAAGGATGTCGGAACCGTAAGTACGGCTTTTCAATGAGCCGGCTTTTGAATGTTGAATGAGCCCAAAGCTGCATTCACTTTTGACTTTGCCCCCCTGACACCAAAAGCTGGATACGCCACCGTGTGTTTGTCATCTGACATGAGCGAGGATATTATATTCCCTGGATAGGATGCTTTTCAATAGCAGGTTCACTCCTTACCTAGGGCCTGTATTCGTTTGTACTTCTTGGTAGGGGGATGAAAGTGGGGATATAGTGGCTTGTCTCTGGACACAACACACAGCTAACCTCTGGATTCAAACTCTCTGCCCTCTGACAATGAGTTAAAAATCTGCTAGTGGGCCACATATTCTGTTTTGGTCGTCTGCAAGGTAGACATATTACTTAACCAGTATGATACCCCTGTATGTCTATTATTTAAGAACTGATTCATGGAAAACGAGGGATCCAATTACTCTCAACCTCTTGACCCTTTTTAAAAACTTTGCTCCACTACCATGACAAAAAAATACAGTCGCTCTTTCAGCATTCCTGGCATAAACATTCCCATGATTGACTCGCATTACAGGAACATCTCCACATGGCCAGAAACAACTTGATCCAGATCCACGGTGACCTGCCCACCCTGCAGTGTCTACGCACCATCAATGTCAGACACAACAAGATCCGCAACTCAGGGATACCCAATGACATCTTCCGCCTCGATGACATCACAGTTGTCGTGAGTTAAACTACCAACCTGTCGACAAAGAGAAAAACTAAAGAAAACATTAACTGAGATTTTCACTGAAATTTCCGTCCACTGTTAGAAAACTCCATGTCAAAGAAGAAAACAAAAAACCTCCCCACAGCAGAAATGTTCGAAGAGCAGAAAAATACTCATGTAATGCAAGTGCCCTTGACATTCAAGCCATTTGATTAAGAATCTTCATCCATGGAAGCCTCTGGCTACAAACATGATGTTCCAAACCAAGAACATGTAATGAATTTGTATGATTTGCGCTCATTTTACAGTTTTTCACAGTTACATGTATCTGCAGCCAATAAAAGAACTGACCAGTGGCGTTCTGTTATTCAGGATTTTAGTTACAATCAGCTGTCGGCCATACCGGAGGAGCTCGAGATGGCAAAGTCATTGCTGGTGCTTAATCTCAATCACAACAAGTATGTAGAGATTCCATCGCATCACTGAAAAAGTCACTGCTAGACCGTGTCCAGTATAAAGTACTAGTCTTGTGGATCTTCTGAAATACCAGTCCTGACTTTAATATGTTTGGCGAGAGCATACACGTACTTGCATCCTCTGAAATCTACCACGCAAGTGACCAATGACATGATTCTTTGTGCATGTATTTGTACTTCAACTTTGAATGGATATGAAACCCCATGCAAAGTAATCTTGTCTCGACCTTTTTCAGTCGTGCAGAGTGCTCCAAAGTATTCTTGGGAATGTTGGGGAGGGCATATGCTAGTCACTGGTCTTAGAGATTTTCCTTCTTTCTGGGAATTGGCTTTCATCATTTTTCACTAAGAGTTGATTTTTTCTGGTGGCAAAGCAGAAAAAAGCTAATAGCAATAATGTATGAAATGTGCAGAAAAAGCTTTTTGTCGCAGACATTCCAAAAAATTCCCCTGATTTGCTTTTACTTGGACAGTATTTCCAGCATTCCCCAGCAGCTGTTTATCAACCTGACAGATCTCATCTATCTCAACATTAGTGACAACAAATTAGGTAAGCCCGATTTAACAGAACCAATTTTTACAATACTCAAGGACAGATCAGTACAAAATTTTCAGGAGGGGGCAAACAGGTTTATGGGGGGTCCCAAAAAGAAATTGAAATTTGGTCAAGTTACCTTTTATGGCCTTTCTGAGGGGTAGGCTATATTTTGGGATACTTTCAATGCTTTTTTAAGGAGCTTTTTTTGGTTCTTTTTTTTGGGAGGGAGGGCTATGGCCCCTGTTGCTCCCCTCTCCCCCAATCCACCCTTGGCAGTGCTCACCAAAGGATGTTGCTTGGCAGATTCGTTCACTAAGTGTGCATGGTCTCGATAATGAACGCACTGCGACACAAGCCGCTCTATCTGTTTTTCCACCGAAAGGATATCATCTCTTGTTCCTGCGTTCTTGATTATGAACAATAGCATGACAAACGATGATGTAAAATGATCGGAGTCCCTGTCGGTGGTCCAAATCAAATTCTTGCCGATTTCTTTTCTTCCCAACAGATTCCATCCCTCCTCAGTTGAGGCGACTAAGCAACCTGCAGACCCTGATACTGGACAACAATCCTCTTCTTCATGCACAACTTCGGTGAGCTTCCCTCGCCTAGCTTTCACTGATTGAATAAAGATGTATTTTGAAATGACGGGAAAAAGGTGGAATTTTTGTACTGTTGAATTGTATGTACCACCCCCATTGAAATCGTACGGTGTCATGGGAAAGTTTTCTATTCCTGGGAGTGTTAATTGTAATTCTGACAAGTACAGTCGAGCAGTTACAAAGTATGAAGCCTTCTGAATATGACAAAATCCACCATCGAAATTAAATGTCTTTCATAACAAAGTTGAAGCCAGTAAGGTTCAGTCATTGTTCAGAGAGGGATTTCGGTATACTTGCATATGTTATGAAATGGAATCATAGTTTAGGCCAAAGTGTCCGATTGTTTCTACCCATTTATCTGCTAATTCTCGTGGATTTGCTTCCTCACCCGCATGACCCTCTGCCTCTCGTCTTTTCCCCAGGCAAATCACTGCCCTGACCCAGCTTCAGACCCTGCAGCTGCGCAACACCCAGCGCAATCCCAACAACATCCCGCCTCAGCTGGATGCCCTGGTCAACCTGTCCGATGTGGACCTGTCGTACAATGAGCTGACCAAGGTGCCGGAGGGACTGTACAAGCTGGGCTCGCTCAAGAGGCTGAACCTCAGCAGCAACTGCATCACGGAGCTGTCCAGTGCCATGGGTGAGTCTGGACTGAGAGATTGGCCTGCTGGAAGGCATGCAAACCTGCAATGATTTTCAGGATATGAGAACATTTTGAGGACATGCGAAGGATGGCGAGACAGTGCATGCTCATATAGCATGTGATGAGTCAAAATTGTCACATTTTCCATTTGTTTGTATACGCATACAAGTTCATGGAGGGAGATAGGGCCGGAATATCCATTAAGCACAGTAGACACCATAGATAGGGTCTTTGAAAGTTTTGAGGGCCTGCGAAAATACCATGCATGCTAAAACCTTTCTCTCTGGATCAGCGATGTGGGAAAGCTTTAAACTAGCTAATTCATAGTTTTGCTCCACATGAAATGCGAGACACCAGAATCATAACAAACCTCTGGCTGGTTTCTTCATCTTGGTTGGCTGAAGCAAGGTCATGTGAGGGTCAGTAACAGAGACTAGTGCATGAAATATGCCTGCCTAGAGCCTGCTAAACACTCAATTTGGCCGTGGAGGTAAATAATGTTTTGCAGTGGTACTCAACTGCCATAAACAACCTCAGAAAGTGGTGGAACATACCACCTCATAACTCATCGACTGTGACAATTCACTTACTATCATTTGGAGGCAGTATCCCATCTATCCGGGTCAAGTCTCAATCCCCAAATGACCCTCTCCTGTTTTACAGACACATGGGTCAACCTGCAGACACTGAACCTGTCGCGGAACAAGCTGACCTCCCTTCCAGCCGCTCTCTGCAAACTCATCAGCCTGAAGCGGCTGTACATCAGCTGCAACAAGGTAGACTTTGACGGCATACCCATAGGCATCGGCAAGCTGATGAGTCTGGAGCAGTTTGTGGCTGCAGACAACAATCTGGAATCTATACCAGAAGGACTGTGCAGGTGTGTTCCATTTATCCTTGTCATATTTATCGTTTCATGTTTTGGCATTTCTTCACAGCATTTCCAGTCCACAAGATTTGAGGTTGGCAAAGTGTAGAGCCAAGCCAGAGTTTACCTACGTGTCTCAAAAGGCTTGAGAGATTTAGTCAAGCATTGGAGTAAACTTCTTCACGAAGCCCACTCTAAGTCTAAGGACAATTGAAATTAAGCAAGAACCAGATGCTTAATGATGAGCCACCATGTAATAGCATTTCTTATGGTTTCAAAAAAAAGTTAACTCAATGTTTCTTATCTTCTGCTTTGTATCTCTGCTTTTTCCAGCTTGTATCTCTGCTCCAACAGCCTCCTTTTTTTCTGTAAATTCTTTTGTTCTCAAATTCATTCGTTATCATGTTTCCATTCAGATGTTTGTTTCCAGTGATGCTGACAAATGCCATTTTCTTCCATTTACTTGTCTGGTTGTGTAGATGTCCCAAGCTCAAGAAGTTGATTCTCACCAAGAACAGAATTCTTACTCTCCCTGAGGCCATCCACTTAATCACAGACCTGGAGGTGAGGAGCGTTCTCTGAAAACCCTGATTCGTAGACAAGGAGTGTTGTTTACGTATTTCAAGTAACAAATCTTTTATATAGAGCATAAAGCAGGCTGTTGGCAAATTTTTATCTCTGTGTGTTTGAGGCTCTTGGTTTTGTTCATACAGGGCTTGCGTTTCCATAGAGACATGACAGTTGCATCGAAGTTGTTACACAGCATTGTGTTCCCATCAAGCTTGACAGCATTTCATGTGTGATATTGTCTGCTTTCCATGTTGTCAGGCATTTCACTGAAATGTTTTCCTTTGTGCTCTGTCTCAAAAGTAGACTTCATATCCGACTTTGGCTTTCTTTCTGGCCGTAGGTCAATGTTTAGGCCTTTGAATTCCGACCAAATAAAAAGACCGTGTCTCTTGGTAATGTTTGTGTGGTTTATTGTTTTGCCGATGAAACTTCCACAATATTTAGCCAGAATCTCAAAAGGCAACAACCTAGTTGAAACTCCAAAGCCGCAGTTTCAGAAATGGCCAAAGATTCCTAAAATGAACACTGTCTGCTTTTGAAAGGTTCTTGACGTGAGAGACAATCCAGATTGCGTCATGCCACCCAAGCCCGTCCCCCAGCAAAAGGGTAGTGGGGCTGAGTACTACAACATTGATTTCTCTCTCAGTCACCAACTACGACTCGTCGGGGCATTGCCTCCCACTCCCGGGGGAGGCTCATCAGGTATGGACAAACTGTTTCTAAAACATCTCATTGTAACCTGCTTGGTATTCCAACTGTGCATGCCCAGAATGAAGCGTGTCAGAGGTCATTCCGAAACATCAATATGCGCGCAAGGGTGAACTAATCTGTGCTTCCATATGCCAACTGACACACAGACTGAACATGTTTATGTTTGCATGCTTTATTCTTAAATGACCTTACCTTTTTGAAATGCTGAACTTGCTCAGTTCCCCTGAAATAAATATTTTGTGGTTTGTGCAACTATCCAAACTGTTCTTCTGAACTGTATAAAAATATATCGTGCGCCCTGTTGGGCTTCCTCAAGTTGATGTTTGATTTTAAAAATATCAAAATATTTGCCGTAGTCAGTGCACCAAATGTACAAATTTGGCCGCGAGGGCAAATGTCTTACTGCTGCCTTCTTGAAGCACACTTCATTTGTGAGTTAACTTTGAGGCATGACTTCTTCCCGTAGCTTCCAAGGATCCCTTGGCTCGTAAGCTGCGTCTGAGACGGAGGAGACAAGAGAGCATGACGCGAGCGCAAGGCAAGGACGATGCCGGAGAACAAGCTAAAGTCTTGAAGGTAAACACCTGTAAGATTGCTGCTTAATTTCACCCTGAAAGAGGCCTGGAGATTGGATGGGGCTTTCTTTTGCGTCGTCTTGATACCTTTTTTTTTATCGTACTGAGCCCTTTTGTGGTTAACTCTTTTCACTGTACACTCAAAAGTAAGTGTGCACATCAAGAAATTTCACCATTCCCGCCAAATGAATTCTTCCCTTGTTTTTTTCTTGAACAGGGAATGAGTGATTTAGCCAAAGACAAGAACGAAGGGAAGACTCCCGGTTTAGAAGAGCAAGAAGAGGTCAAGTAAGCATGTTGTAGTCGCATTGGTCTTATTTTCCCAAAGTGTAGCTTAACATCCGGTCGGAAACGCAACGGTACGATCGCAGATGATATCTGAAGGTTTAAATGGTGGAGGAAGTGATACGGAGTTGCTTGCAGTAGCTTCATGTAAGATATATCTGGTTTGTGAGTTAATACACAGGTTTTGAAATGAACTGGTGGACTCGATGTTTAGGGCATGTATACTCTGCCTGTCATTAGGATATTGATGAAGGACTACTTCGTCAATAAGTAGTAAGTAGTTTAGTCCGGCTGTGCATAGTTGCACTCCTTGTTACCTTTGCAGTGTTTTGAGTCAGTCCGGATTGTGCAGACTAGTCATCTGTTGTTAGCTTGGAGTTTGGAGTCCGTGTGTAAGTGCCTTTTGGTTAGCGTTGCATGGTGCTAGATTTAGGAACATGTCAAACACATGTGCCAGGGGGCTGCAAAACTGAACCCTGCCCTTTTTGCTCTGCTCTCTCTTGCCTCATCAACCCTCTGTAGACCCAAGAGCTGGTTGGATGCTCTGGAGAAGCCTCAGCTGGACTACTCTGACTTCTTCCCTGAGGAGACTGGACAAGACGAGGGGCTGACTATCTGGCAGATTGAGAACTTTGTTCCCCTCCTGATTGACGAAGGTAACCTGCACTCACCGTGTTGTCACCACTACCCCCTAACAAATTTAGCCTCTGTAGTAATTGTGACCCACCATTCCAAACCTGTGCTGTAGGCTTCTTCACCGCTTTCTGGAAAAGGACACCAGTATACACATAGTGCAAATTCCACAACATTCACTGACTATAAACTACCGAAGGTTTCCTCAAACAAACTTTGCGCTATGGATCACTTTGAAGTATGAAACTTAATGATGGAGAAGAGAAATGTCAAACATTGAACTGACCTACTTGAGCCTTGTTTTGGAAAAGTGGGTAATAAATGTTTGTTAAGTTGGAAATCAGGCTTACGTCTAGCATTTAAACTGTGGTTTAACCGTGAACTCAAATCATTTAAGAAGAGCCATGTTAAAATGCACACCACGCATTTGTTATTTTTTATTTGAGTTTGTTCAGTCATGTAATCTGGTCAAACTTCTTTCTTGACAGCCCTTCACGGGAAGTTCTACGAAGCTGATTGCTACATCCTCTTACATGTGAGTTACGTTTGAAACTCTTGCATTTGGCATTGGAAGCAAATGAAGACTGTGCCCACCGCCTGGTCTTTCTTCTTTTTCGAGTTCTGCTTTTTTTACACGCAACAGTTGGAATCCAGGAAGGCTATATCATATATATCATCGTTATGGATACTCAAAGGTAACATTTTTAATGTGCAATTTTTTTTTCTGCAGAGTTTTCTTGACGAGAATGACTTGATGAAGTGGCAGATATATTACTGGATTGGCAACACAGCATCGGTAAGAAATACAGGTGTTTGAAACCAATCAGGTCGGTACCCTGGGGACCACAAGTTTGGAAGCCATCATTATTTCTACAACTTTGTATCTTGGCAAGACCTAGGGCTAGGTTCCAAATGTCCTTTCATCAGAATAACTTCCTGTGGTATTCTGGGAATCAGACACCAGAGTTGCTTTTATGGGATACATGTGTCTTTGTGGCTTGTCAACCAATAAAATCTTACCTTTAAGTCACATGCTCCATAACCAAATGTTTGATTGTAAATGAGCCATATGATATTCCAGTATTTAGACTGACTTTGGTAATAGGTAACCAAGGGCTGTTAAGCAAATATGGCAGCCAGCAGATTTTTCCCCTTTGTTATCTTTTTTTTTTTGCAAAACAAGCTAAATCTCAGCTAAACCAAGTTTCAACAGGAAATTTTTCAAGTACAACGAATTTCATGTACCTTTTCACAGTCAGCTGCCATTTTGTAGAATTGGCAGTTACAAACCAGTGCTGTCAATTTGTAAAACTTCACTACTAAGACGCACTTTACCTCCATGGTTTTCAGTTGGACAAGAAAGCCTGCGCCGCCATCCACGCTGTCAACCTCCGCAACATGCTGGGCACCCGCACGCGGACCATCCGCGAGGAGATGGAGGACGAGAGCCCAGAGTTCCTCACTCTCTTTGACAACGACATCTCGTACATAGAGGGCGGCACAGCCAGTGGGTTCTTCAGTGTGGAGGAGACGGATTATACCTTACGGATGTACAGGGTGTCGGGCACGCAGAGTCTGCATCTGGAGGCTGTGAGTTGATTTTCCTTTTTTAACTCGGACAAAGTCTTCAGGGGAGAACAATTAAAGCTGCTGCTCCATGTATTGTTTTATCAGAGAGCTTTGGTTTGGGATTTCGGGTGGGATGTTTAAATGTTTAAACAAAAAAGTTCCAATCTGTTTAAAGATTTTTCCAAATGTTTAAACGGAACCGCCCCTTTTTAGAGGTTTGATATTTGGATGGACTCAATCTGGCGTTCATTTTTATTGCAAACAATGCCTGTTATATACTGTTTTTCCCTTTCAGCATCCGTGTACCTTTTGAGAAAAAGTGAATTCTTAAACAATAAACATTGCTTGTTTTAAATGGCCCAACATCAATCTTCCCTTTTACATTGGCTGGACCGTGTGCATTGATGAACTATGTAATTATGCACATATGAAAACACCGAGGCAGGCGGCGGCCTCTGCAAATTGGCTTAACGTTTAAATGCTTTGAGAAAGTTACCTAAACGTTTTTCAAATTAAACGGAAATTGCCACCCTTATTTTGGACAGTTAAGGATGGATTCAGTTATTTGGTAAGTTGTCTAATTTCCGACTTTCCAAGATCCATGGATTGGAACACAAACATATAATAGCCCTGAAGAATCTCAAATACAGTGTGGAATTTTAGACAAGTATGATTTATGCACTCACCATGAAGCTGTGATATATTTTTAGTGCTTTGTTGAATAGTATGGAGTTTTGGTTGCCACAGAGCCCAATGCATTACTGAATAAAAAACATCAGCTGTTTTATTCATTCGTAGAATATTCCTTGTACTGTGAAGCTCCGATTTTTTTCCTGAATGCCTTTTTGACACACCTGTGGATTGTAGGTTGCCATGGAGCCCGAGCAGTTGGATCCTTTTTTTGTCTTTATCGTGGACATTGGCATGAAGATGATGATCTGGTACGGTCAGCACTGCAAGTCCCTCACAAAGTCGAAGACAAGGTATTGGAGACGTCAACAGTCTATGAATGGATTTGCCAATTTTCAGGGAGCAGTATGTCTTGGTTAACCCTGCCCTGAATTTTATGGGAGCAAACTTGGGTCTTTGTGATTAAGTTTCTGTGTATTTTTTTGCATTCATAACATAGTCTCATCGTTCATATCCAATAACTGTAGTTCCTTTTATTTTTTGAAAAAGATATTTGGTAGCATAAGAGTTGACCTCTTTGTATTGAGAGTTTGTGAGAAAAGTTTGCTTGACTGTCACAACCCCCCCGTCACTAGCGTTGAAGACTCAATCACTCAAATGAGCTAGTTGGAGATAGTTCACTGATTTGAATTTTATATTGTGGGGAAATGTAGTTAGAACCATTGGATAGAACGTCTGTCATGGAGATTCTCTTCTCTTTGATTTTGTGGGCCCTGCGTGGAAGAAACACTTGCTCATTGCTATCAGAGACCCTGTGAATAACAGAAAATTAGATGGGACAAAGTCTTGGAGGGATTCAGTGAGATTGTTGTCTGCTCACTTTCTCCTGCGATCAACCAGGCTGTTGGCAGAGAAGATCAACAAAATGGAGCGCAAGAACAACGCCAGCATCACCATGATGGTGCAAGGCAATGAGAGTGGGGAATTCTGGGAAGCTCTGGGCGGTGTAACCGACGACTTTGTCATCAGGGTGAGTCATGCAGTTGGATGAAGTATCAAGGTTTGGATCAGATATTATGCATTTGACCCTTTCAGAATCCGTTTTTAACAGATTTGTTTAATAATTATATTTTGCCTTTAAGGAAGAGTCAACCAGAACAAAAAAATCAAGCCCTCTAACTTTTGATATTAAATCTCTGAGTAATGACAAATTCATTAACCTATTTATTCTGGAAAAAGACATCCAAGGCAGTTTTGAGGATTATTACTCAAGAAAGTGATTGACTGGTTTTGAAGCAGTTCATTACAACCAAACAGGGCCTGGCACGGATGATGGAGGAGGCAAGGGTCATTGTCTAAGGCAGGGATCCAAAATAGCATTAATTAGAGAAGCAAACATTTGTTACTGTGGGCCCACATTTGCTGGTTGGTTATTAACATCTCTCACCAGTATTCAAAACTACCCATGTGACGGGCTGTTGACCAATCAAAGCAGTCCAACTCTAGCAGGCATATGTGAATTACTACTGTAAAAACTTACATTCAGTGCAGTTTCACAGACCCTTCCTGTAAAGTAGATATGACATGTTTGTGATATCTTACCATTTTTTTCTTCAGCCGTGGGTCGGGAACTTTGTGCCTGACAAGCCCAAGTTGTACAAGGTTGGACTCGGCATGGGCTATCTGGAACTTCCCCAGGGTAAGCAAGAATAAAACTTTTTTGATTTGTCAGGAGTAATGTCTTGATGGCAGTTTTCTGATTGTAAGTTTTGCATTGAAGTTAAATTGACGATGGCGTGTGAGATTTTGTGGCTCATTCATTTGACTTTGCGTTTATTTTTCCGCTTGGTTTAATCAGTTGAATTGCCAAAGGGCAAGCTGTCACAGTCGCTGTTGGAAACCAAAAACGTCTACATCCTAGACTGCAATGCCGATGTCTTCATCTGGTCAGTTCCACTCCTCTGGAATTAGAAGAGTCATATGACAAATGAATATTCATAAATACATCAGACAGAGTAGTTAATACTTTTGGACAAGAGCTGTCATTTAGAGTGACTAAGTGTTCAGTACTGCTATGATGGGTTGAGATATATTTGAATATCAAACAGTGTCTTTAGAAATACAAGGCTGAAAAGCATGTAAGGCATGAAGGGTTGTACAAGTGCAGACTACACACATTAAATCTATACATGGACAGCAGTGGAGGGTTTGCGCACTTTCTCATTTACTTCCTTAGTGGAAATCAACATGGTGTACAAACTTATAATTACTTCTCAGGAGAATTTTATTGATAAGCTCCTTGTTTAAGTAAACTTTTTTTGCTCAGCATGCCAGTGTGCCAGGGAGGTTTGAAGCATCAGCTTCTCCAGAATAAGATTCTCTAACCTGAGGTGGTATTCACATTACTTGTTTTTTTCACCTCAGGATTGGCCGAAAGTCAACGAGGCTGGTCCGAGCGGCTGCCCTCAAGTTGTCTCAGGAGCTGTGCAGCATCATCCATCGTCCCAGCTGTGCTAGCGTCATCAGGGTCCTAGAAGGGTAAGTCAGAACATCCAGAGATGGGAGTCTAGGACCGGTCTGACGATGCACTGATCTAACCACAAAGAAAGCAAGTCCAAGCTCTGGAATGTACCACCTGGCACAAGGCAGCAAAACAAACAAAAAAAACACCTGTTCCATGCACAGTGTCACAGCAGAGCTAGAATGTTTCACCCTTTATTTTGCCAGAGTCTTTGAAAGTACTACATAAATGTGCTCCAAAGAATGAATAATTATTTAGTTGATTGTAAATAGTAGTTAGCATCGCACTGCAACTTGTGACAAAATCAAAACGAGTGTTGCACAAAACCCACTTTCCCCTATCATTTCTTCTTGAACCGTCTATTTTGGAGAAGTGCAACCCTTTTAGCTTTTTTTGCATTGTAATCTAGTCACTCACAAGTGAGGTTAAAAACTGTATTCCCAAGTAAGAGGGGATAAACGACGACACAGGAATGCCTCATTTGATTAGCCCATCACTTGACTTGAGACTCAGTGACTAGCGCTGATGACATACGATGATTTGGGACGACATGATCACAATTCAGATTGTAGATGAGTGGACATTGTCTATAGTATATTTGCCATCCCAAACAGAAGAGACAATATTGCAATTTGTTTTTCCTTGAGAACACATCCATACGACAAGTGCATCCATTGGCCTTAATTTGAAACCTCAACAGGAAGTAGAATGGTTACCAGTTGACAGCATACCAGTTTTCTGTACTGAATTTGTGACTAACATTTCACTTTGATGGAAACAGAGTTCAGACTGTCAAGTCCCAGTGTTTGATTGGTTCTGTGAATTCAACAGACTCGGAAAACGCATCCTTTTCCTGTGCTATTTCAAAATTTAATAACTACACTTTCCCTTCACTGACCTAATATTGTGTGTATGGATACGCTGTGTTGTCTCTCTTATCAGACAGGCATTTCTATGCATGTAGCCACTTTGAAATCTTAGCCATCATTTCATATGTAACGAGGGCATTCTACAGGGCCTGCCTTGACCAACACTTGGAAACACAGAGCCTGGTATATAGGTTTTCCATTCGCTTCCTGCAGTCCAAACTTTTATGTGCTCGGGATGATGGCGGTAATCTTTGGCCTTGTTAACTTGTCATCGCAACACTGGTTTAGAGTAATTTAGACTAGTAAGTCCAGCAGACTCAATTTTCTGTAAACCATTGTTCCCAGGTATGAACCCTATTTGTTCAAGCAGCATTTTCCCACTTGGGATGAGATCCTAGCTGTGGACTATACATGCACCGCCGAGGTGGTGCTCAAATCAATGATTGAGCAGATGCGGTAAGCTCCGCCCATAATTCCAACCTTGGCTGCGACCCAATTGATGACCTCCCATCACTCCCACTGACAGCTGCCCGATTGGCCAGAGAATGATGTCAATAGGAGGAGCATGCATATTGATCATTAACTCTTTTCCTTTATGCAGATTTGCTCCGCCTGAACAGTATGAAATAATGACATCTTTTAATTGTTTCGTATGAGTAATTAATTGATCAGTTGATATTAACCTATTTATGTATTGATTTGCATGTTATGTAATCTTGCAACATTCAAAGGAATAATTTTGCAAGAGATTTCATAGTCACCTTCTGTTCATGTTTGGTATAACAAGTGTGGTATTTCCTTTTAGTTAAGTTTACATGTTCATTGAAAGGTTTTTCGCAATGCAGTCTTTCTTGTGATATCTTTTCCTCTGCACAGCACATTACTGTTTGAAATTATTGAAGTGAATCTACTGACTCTCTATCCCATAATTACAAAAATTCCAAGCTCAGCCTGGGTTGTTTTCTGTTGAGCATGTCTCTTACTTCTCTCCAAAGTTAAAAAAAATGCTTCAGTAAGTTTTTCAATTCTTGCAAACTGACAATTGTATTGATTGGGATACATTTTGTTTAACACAGTTGCGATAACTTTTAATGTCATTTGATTGTTAGGGATTGGTTGATTGCATTATTGCCTAACACTTCTTACAGTATTGTTTTTTGCAAAAGTAAAGTTTGAGTGAAACATAAAATTACAGCTATCCCTAACTTCAAAAAAAAGTCAGAAGACGTCTAATTGGAACTCAAGTCAACTGTTAAAGTCTACATTTATTTTTTAGTTTGTGGACTGGACTAACTGCATTTTCACTCCAATATCTGAATGTGGGTTCAAAAACTTCCCAAAGTTTTCCATACCTCCAAACTTGAGGTTCAGTTGGATGTTACACCTACAGTTTTGATTTGTAGTCTACTGACTTGTTTCTGTACCATAACTAAATTTTCAGAGAAACGTGTTGAATTCAGCATGCTGTTGCTCTTAGTTCCTTGGATATTGTTAGATTCAGCTCTTTTCATCAAAGTACCTCTGATAGGTTAAGGACCGATGAACCAAAGGAAGAGTGACGTACAGTCTTGTAACACTTTCCTGAGGTGCTTTTTTCTCCCATTTCATTTGATAGAACTGAGAGTCAGGTCTTCAAGTCTAAGTTCCAAGGCTGGGATGACGTGCTGGCTGTTGACTACACCCGCCGTGCTGAAGCTGTCCTGAAGAAACCTGCTATACAGACGGTAGTCATCTCCAGAAACAATATCATGATTGTTCTTGAATGAGCCAAAGACCCCGTTGTTGTCTCTTATGCACCTCAGTCCAGCCAAGAATGGTTTCTAAAGACGGCTTTGTACAGTCATTTGCAGAAGTTTAAGACCACTGGAATTTCCTTGGTATTTCTATTATGGGCCTGCATTACATTGTCTGATTGAATGATTACATAACATTTGTTTTTACAGTGGTCCATAACCTCAGAGTATTTCTATGAGCCCATTTGAATGAATTTTTTTGCAAAGGCAGGTCTTGAATGACATTTAGTCTGTAGGCAGCTTGAGTAAAAAAGCCAGCCAAAGTCATCAGAAACAGAGGAGGGCATACTAAATATTAGACTGTTAACATTTCAAATTATGGAAATGTAGTCCAATAGCTGTTTAACCAAGATATTAAGGTTACACATTGAAACTAAACCTAAGTTGCAATGATTGATTGGTTTAAGTTTGGTTTTTCTTCAGGTAAATTCATTTTGTATGGGTGGTCCTATACTTTTGCAAATGATTGTAGAACGTGCATACTAACTAGAACGACCCGCAAAATATCTATTCAGACAAAGCAATCTGCTGATTAAGTAGAGGTAGGCACATGCTGCCTTTATGTTATACCAGGTGGGATGGGAACCAGTTTTACAGACGAAGTACCACTGTACCACACTTGATAACTGAACTCTTAAGAATTAAATGTTTGATGGCGAACATTGAAAACATATACTTGTATAAATTTTTTTTTCTAAACGTCTCATTTGCATTATGTTGATAGGATGCATTGGATGGACAGAATGAAATGAAGACCGACCTGTCAGCTCTTTTCTTGCCTAGGCAACCTTCCATGCCCAGCCATGAAGCAGTAAGTGGATTGGACTCTCAACCATATTGTTACTGGGTTTTCATGTGTCTTCTTTCCCCACCACCACTTAACATACCACCAGCACCAAGGAACACAATGGATCATTTCAGCTGTAGACAAATGCTATTTGAGGTTTAAAAACTCTTCTCACTTTTGAAAGGTAAATCATTTGGTCTTTGCTTCAAGCCACGTTGAAAAGCCTGTGTATTTGTTGATAGGCTATGGCTATCCCAACAGAATACAAGGAGCAAGATTTCCATTTTAAAACGGGTTTTACCCTTATGCCGACGTATACATATAACACTAGATACTCAGTGCTTGTCTGAGAGTTTGCGAAAGAAGTCACAAGCTTACTCGGGTGGGACTCAAACCCATGACCTCATGCTTACTTGTGCAGACGTCTTAACCACTCAACCACTGAGCTTGCCAGGGTTGACTAGCTGGTCTGGGGTAGATGAAAAATACATCTTGTCAGATTTCCTTTGTAATACCATCCAAAGGTCTAAACAAGCTTGGACACAAAAGAATAAGACATGGGATGACTGTTTAAAAAAGAGCCAAAAATAATGCTTAAAAGGGGGCTGATTTCCACCATATCATCTGTGACTTCTTCGATTTATGTAGCCGGATGGAAATATAATGCATAACTGATGAATCTCCTGTTAAAAGCAAAATTTTGAGATCATTCATTTGGACATTTGGCAATGTTCTCCTCAGGACCAATTGATGGAAGATTGGAACGAGGATCTTGATGGTATGGAGTCATTTGTCTTGGAAGGCAAGAAATTTGTCCGGCTTCCAGATAAAGAAATTGGTAGGTCCTGATCTGTCTTTCTGTAGCGCTTTTTTGGTATTTCAACATATACCAACAAATAAATTAATTTAGAAAATGAGGCACATTTCAAATTGAGCATTCCAATAAGATATTTTCCATGTAGGTGTTGCATTTCTCATCATATAAGGTGCTGAAGTCTGAGGTCATTTGAACCAGCAAGTCTAGAGTACACACACATATTGGTTCATGCACTTGTTCTCAAGTTATGTTCTAAGACACATAATTGTGCATGTAATGTATTCACATCAGTACTCTATAGCTATTGTATTTGTCACAAGCAAGTTCTGCCCATCTGTACGTCAACCCCAGAGTATAGTGTTTGGGGTTTTGTGATATTCTTTGCAGTGACGACTTGACGATTTTATTCTCTTGGAATACTCAAGAACTGTTGACAAAAAAAAATGACAATGTGAACACCTATTTGAAGATATAACTTGATAGAAATGAGCTGTGTAAAGTATCTAAATCTGTACATTGTAAATAAATTTTGTCCGACTGAAACAAAACTAAAATTCCTTCTCAATTTTTGGGGGGAGGAAGAGAATTTCTGCCAAGAAAGAGTAAAGCCTGAGCCATTTTTGCATGGAGACACTTTCAGTTTCTCCTTTCTTTTTGTTTTCAAAATATTTGTCTTTTTGCCCCAAAGGTCACTTCTACAGCGGCGACAGCTACGTCTTCCTCTGCCGCTACTGGGTCCCAAAGGACGTCCCAGAGGGGGACGAGGAGGAGAAGAAGGCCAGCGAAGATGCTGATGGACACGAGGATGACGAAGAAGACGACGACGACGAGGAGCCAGAGGAGGACTTCCAGTGCACCGTCTACTTTTGGCAGGGCCGGGAGGCCAGCAACATGGGCTGGCTGACCTTCACCTTCAGCCTGCAGAAGAAGTTTGAGTCCCTGTTTGGTGACAAGCTGGAGGTAGTGCGGCTCTGCCAGGTGAGTTTTACCGGGGATTGGCTGTGCTCGGGAGAGCACAGGGCACTGTGATGCAGAGCTTTTCAGCTGATAATGTCGCTCAGCACATTTTCAGTCTTGCTACTCTCGCATGTCCCTAGTTGAACCATTTTGTAAAATGTAATTGTTACTCACATTTTGCCTGCAGCTGTAACTTTCGCTGCGTAAATGATCAGTGACATCTCATACAATAAAATTTTCAAGGGACTGGTTCCCTCCGAACTGATAAATGAAATCAGCTATTGATAACCAGAGGCAGAACAGCCCAGTCTATGGTGTTCATTGTCCTGTGTTCTCAAGATATGTTTGGGACTCTTGAACACAGAATTTTAAAAATATATTTGCTTATCAAAGAACTGTTCAAAAGATAATATTTTATTAATGAGCACCAGAAGTTTCTTCCATAAAAGATAAAGGTAGACCAGGCCCCTGGCTGATCTGAATTGTCATAAATGCTGCATCAGGGAACTTTTGCTTCATCATGGCAAATTGTAAGTAGGAGAGTTTCATACGTGCAACTCTGCTTTCGTCTCTGTCATCCAGCAACAAGAAAATCTGAAGTTCCTGTCCCACTTCAAGAAGAAGTTTGTGATCCACCGCGGCCGGCGCAGGCCCACATCGGCTGCCGACTCGGAGCAAGAACTGAGCCTCAACCCCTCCTTCTACCACATCAGGTCCAACGGAGGCCCTCTCAGCACCCGTTGCGTCCAGGTGCACCCGACAGTGCAGTGGCTCAACTCAGAGTTTTGGTAAGTAGGGTTAGTTCGGTATTTGTAATTTGGAGCTTGAGTTTAAATATATGGAACTTCAGTTGTCACATTGGTAACATCAAGTCAACCTCAAGAGGAAACTGAACAGGTTTACTTATAACAAGTTTTTCATTGAAGAACGAAAACACAGAGTTCCAAAATTCAACATCTTGAATATCAAATACGACTCTGTGTGAATTGGTTAAACCACTGAACTGAGCAGGCAACCAAGCTTGTCCGTGAGATGATCAGTAAGTTTGTATATTTATTTTAAATAAACCACTTCCGCTTCTTTCAACATCACAGCTGTTTTTATCAGTCAGAGCCAATTCATGTTTTTTCTTGATTTTTTTTTTTTTGTTTTGTTTTCTTAGTTACATTTTGAAGGTTCCATTCCGGAACCAAGATAGTAAGGGTATCGTCTACACCTGGATTGGCAACAAAGCTGACCCCGAGATGGCTAGAATAGCAGAGGAGTTGGCGTATGACATGTTTGATGTGAGTTATTGGGGAACTGACCTGTAAATGTCTTTCCAGAATGCTCCAAAAATGTGGTTAGGTGATTCACACATTTTGTTCTGTGACTACTTATATGTCTCTCATTACCATGGTAATATGTACCCAAGATATCATGAAAAAAATGAATTTTCTAGTAGCAGAGTCAGATTACCGCATTGTAAGGTTAAAGTGAGTGGACAGCATTCAGACGAGAGCAATGGCAGAGTTTTATTTAGTGCTGCAAGTAGGTGCCAAGGTTCGGTTCACACTACGACTTTGATCAAAAAAGATCAAACACGAACACAAACCAAGTCTTGTCGCATGCTGGAGTGCTGCAAATGCCTGGCAAAATAAGCATTGTCTGTCTGGAGGTCCTTCGATCGAGCGCTAGTCCGACTATGATCAGCATCCACTCAAAATTCGTTTTGCGCAGCCATTTCTGACATTATTGGCCTAATATGGAATGTAAGGGTGTGGCTATCGGACATTGGCACACATAAAGTTAACTCTGAATATACATAAGCACAATTGGATGTAGTGAAAATCTAGAATTGTTATGCAATGGAACTGCCGTATGTTGCATGTTCTTGGTTGATTATTAGTAAATTCTTACCGCGTGCTCTTTACAACCATGGCTTTGCTTAGCAACCACCATTTCTGGAATGGACTGGTTTCTTTATGCCCTTCTTTTCCATTGAGAACAGTGTATTGTTGCAAGGCATCTCTTATGTTACTAAGGAAAAGCTTGCCCCAAATCATGAGGTATAGCAACAGTGGCTTTAGTATGGAGAATTCCAATTGTTATGTTCACTTTATTTTAAAGAACTCAGTGTACCAGATTTTATTCAAATTGAACTTGCCAAAGGCTTATTGATTTGATTTCATTCCCAACCCTTTGTAGGATACCCACAGCTTCCAGCTTCTCTCGGAGGGGGAGGAGCCCGAGAACTTCTGGTGGGTGGCGCTGGGCGGCCAACGCAAGTACGACGAGGATGCCTACTACATGCATCACTCCAGACTCTTCAGGTGCTCCAACGAGAAGGGCTTCTTCACTGTGTCTGAGAAATGTTCCGACTTCTGCCAGGTTAGGCATTAATTAGGTTAACCCATTCAGAGCCATGCTCAGGATACCCCATATAGTGAGAAAAAGGATAACCACCACATCCTGAATGTTTATACTGATTCAAATACCTTGAAATCCTTTACCCAGGATAACCTTTAACAGTGGAAATGTAATATATGCTGCAGTAAGTGTTGAGTGTCATCGAGGCTCTGTGCTAGAAGCCACGTAGGATTTGGGTATTGTTAACTTGTGTGTGTTTTTCATAACCCTGCGTGATTTTCTTTGGACATCTAACTGAAGTAGTGCTTATTTTTTAAGTTTCCTATTTCTGAGAATCTTTCAGAATAAAAATACTTCTGTATTCTTTTAATGAAGTTTAATGTTTGCAAGCTTTCAAGTATATATTGCACTGAAATATGCTCTATTAAAATGTGTTTTCAATTTCTTGAGGAGTTATGACTGGTCATTAATAATTTACTATGCCCAGGATACTGAGATCCAGTGCTATGTTTCAAATGTCTCAAACTTTCATTTGCTCTTGCAGAGAAATTATCCAAAGAGAAAGTGAACCTACATGGTAAAACACTATAAAACAATGCCTTAAGGAAAGATACAAGTGTTTTTTTCGATCACTGCAATTTTTCTAATACCAGGATGATCTTGCCGATGATGATGCAATGATCCTGGACACTGGTAATGAGGTGTATCTATGGTGCGGTCCCAGCAGCAGTGAAGTGGAGAGGAAACTAGCCTTTAAGAGTACACAGGTAAGCACCACAAGCAGTTCTCAGTGCAGTGCAGTACGTAGAAATTGCCGTGCCTGGGCCACTTTACACTCAGATTATTTGGAAAAGTTGGAAGGCTAAAAAATATTTTGGTTAACAGGGAATTAAGTGTTTTGGTATGGTTTTACAGCAAAACTGAGGTTTAGGGGAAGATAACAGTCAGTATGTTATTTCGGTAGGATTGTGAGTTTATTTAGATTTTTTATATACACTGGTGTATATCTAGCACTACATATAAACAGTGAAGAACAAATGACATGGTTTGAGTAACTAATGTTGAACTGAAGGATAATACATGTGCATTCGGGGTGTCTACTGTAAAATTGGAAAGCAGTCCCTTGGAGGCAAATACTTACGGGTGCACTGTAGTGTGAATTCCTTGGGCTGGATCACAATTCATTTTTAAGCTCAGGTTGTCGTTGGGCAATTACAGCTGATTAGTGGTTCTTCATTGAGTTAAGTTGGTTGTCATGTCAGGCGTTTGGTGGCTTGTTGTGTTTATGATAATCATAGGGTAAATAAATCCCATTTTACGTTCCCAAAATTAAACATCTGATGTGATACTCCAGGAGGGTAGCATGTTTAGCATCGTATCTTTATGATTGCAGTAAATGGGTGATTTATAAATAAATGCAAACATTGTACCCTGGCATCTGAATTTGAACGGCAGTTTCAACACTCCCTCTGAACAGTAAAACCCCTTCCATTAACACTTTTAAAGTACTCTCCATTCCCGCACTTTCATTGAATTCTAGATACAGTGTCTTTTTACAGTGTAGTCTTTTGTTTTTTTTAAATTTAAATCCTTTTGGGCGCAAGTCTGGACCTTGAGGTCATTTGTATATTGTCCTTACCATAGGTGTATGTCCAACACATGCGTAACAAGGAAGAGGAACCCAACCGCAAACTGGCCATAGTCCGCAAAGGCAGAGAGACCTGGAAATTCATCCGTTGCTTCCACGGATGGGGGAACTACAAGACAGCTCCAAAGTGAATTCATTGAGGAATTGGCTGTTAACAGACCCTGTAAAGTAGTTAGTCATCCTGGCTCAAACTTTGAAGCATAAATTATGAATTATTCAGTTGTGGTTGAAACATTTTGCTACCCGGTCGTTGGTTTTTTTTTCCTCGGATTGCTGTGAATGTCATTTTAAAATTTGCCTGGTAGATTTGAATGTCAGCAAGCCAAGCCTGGTAAATCTTTAAGGCTCAGTGGTTAAGGCATTTGCATCACCGTGCAGAGGTTTGGGGTTCGAATCCCACTCAATCCCACTCTGTGAAGTCACCAAGTGTGCACCTTATGCAGGCTTGAAACTCATTTTGCATGTACCTGTAGCTCTTTGTATGTAACACTTAGAACTTGTCATCGCATGATTTCCAGAATTCAGATTGCTTTCAGTGCTGGACCGCTATCTTTCCTATCTAAATACTGTGATCAAACATTTCTGGGTTCTTATGCCGTTGACAAATACATGTTGGTGCTAACAAGGGTCTTCTAATTTTATTGCTTATTTTTTTGTCTTCCAATGGAATGTCCAAAGACTTCTAATCTGAAATCTAACTAATGCAAAGCAGTTAGGCTGGACACCTTCCAAGACTTCTTTCCAAAGTCTCACAGTACTCAGCGTTTGTCTTCTGAATTGAGAGACAAGATTGGTCATTTCCATGTTGTGGAAGTAATTAAATTTAACATGGGCAAGACAATCTCTACAAGTCAGCACACTGGTGTATACAGTACTTGAATTATAGCTGGTGGGATATTTACATTGTGCTCTACATTTTGCCGTGAAAATAGGTAACACGTGCTACTTCAAAGGCTTGGTACCAGGTGTTCAGAATGATGTCTCAATCCAACTTCCTCTTCTTTCTCTTGCTCTCGGAACAAGATGTTTTCGCCAAGTCAACGACTCTTAATTTCTGAGGTGTGATCAAGACTATGAAATATCTTGTTACATTTGCCATGAGACGTTAAAGTAAAGAATTGTGCATTTTCGGCCTTTCTTGGAATTTGAATAGTTCATTCCAAGGGATAGTATGCCATAATTGTACTATCAGTGTGTGTGACCTTTGAATATTTCTAAATTGAAATTCACCATATTTTGTCACGTAGTGCTTTAGCTTCCTACCACTGCTTCATAGGCCCAGAGAAAAATCACATTGTCAAAAATGTGACTTAATTTATTGTTGTACAATACAGGGCGCAATTCTTCAGAAACATTTTTGAGCTTTACATGCATTTGGAAAGATGAAGCCTACATTGCAGTAGGAAAAAGCATGCAAGGCCCACGTTCACTTTCCATCCTTGGCAAGTACATGTACATGTAGAAATTTGTTTACTTGTGGGTAAACTACTAAATTGTTTTGTTACTTATCCTAGTTTTTACGATGTCATTTTCTTGGAGTTTAAATATTGTGCTTGGTTGTTACATATTAAAAGTAATTAGTTCAATAAAAATGTATTTATCATCACGAGTGACAATTAGAGTCCATGCAAGGTGTGTTAGAAAGTGCCATTCCTTCACAAGTGCTCTTTCATTAACCCCGAGTCCCTAGGGTGATTTACAAGCAATCTTCCACATCCTTGCAAAACTCAACACCATGTAGTAAACTGTGTGCATAAACAGTTGGACTCTATTTGTGGTATGCCTCGTCCCACGTGAAACACAGCCAGTATACCAGTGCAGTACTTATCCTGACAGATTCCAACAAACCCTGGTGTTGGAGTATGGCTGGTTTGGGATTGTTAGGGTTCATGTTGCACAAATATTGGAAAGTGAGAGGCCATGAGGAGCATTACCCATTGTCCAAAAACTGTCCACTATGAACGGTGCCGGCTAAAAAGAGGACAAAATCACCCCCTCCTCCCCCATCAAAATGATCTTACTACACCACTGGGCTGAGTGTCGGGAAGAGTGATCACTCAACTGTAGTGTCCTTGACGGGGCGTCACACAATCCAGTCTACTTTCCACACATGGAGACTGTGGTCATAGAAAGAGCATGATGCAATGGTATCCCTCACTGACAACTGGTCTGCATTTCTGTCAAATGCTTTGTATGTCCGTCCACTCACTTTACAACTACATGCAGGGCCCTGAGCGATAGCTTCCGGTGCCCCTTGTGAAGCCTGTAAGTCATTCCTTGATACATTTGCTCTAAGAAACTGTTCTGTTAATGCCGACACATTCGGAGTTCTCTCTCCACGTTCTTGCTTCGTGCCAGATGTACAGTTCCCCTCTTTTTGACCAGCGCTTCTGCTTGTCCCCTCCAATGCACCTGCCAGGTCTCCCTCAGGCAATGATGGTACAGTCCCGTCCGAGGAAGAATGCACTTGTTTTGTTTCAATGCAAGAAGACACTATGTCATCGGGGAGGGATGATTCGGCAAGCTTCTTGTGAGGAGGGTGGGGCTGTATATGTTGGCACCAATCTACTCCATATGCCAGGGACTGGTGTTCCATGTAAGAGGCTACAATAGGCTGGGAATTTCCACCTACGACACAAGAAAAAAAATCACTTGTACATTAGAATCAGTCTCAGTTGTCTAATTTATGCTGTCTGAGGCCAGCTGGCAAATCCCAACAGACAAATTGACATTTGACCCAACGGTTTGCAGCGATACATTTTGGAAATGATTGAGTTTTACACTTCTTCAAGGACTGGACAAGCTAGCTGCCGAAATCAACTGAAATTTCACCTCTACCCAGCTCCATTGAAAATAAGACAAATAAGGCACTCTTGTTGGATAATTCTGGGTCAGATGATTGTGTCACACTGTCAATAGTCAGATTTGATGAAGTGCATAAGCTGTCAACTGTTCATGTTAGTTCAGTTCTGGTCACACTCAATCTTCAGCAATTTCCTATACAAGTCTTGGATAGCTGATAACCAATACTGCAGAAAACAAACCAGTGTGCATGAGCACAGTGCGAATCAAAGCTACTCTTCTAGTTAGGTCAGAGACACAAGCAGAGACGCAAGCGCTACGCAAAGAAAAGTGATCAGTAAAAAGGGAAACATCAATACCATTTATGTTTGCGCAGTCCAGGATGTGGAACCCGTTGTGCATGCAAGCCGCCAGGAGCAAGTGGCCATGGTGAGGGTGCCATTTCAGCCTCCACACTCCCCCGCCGACATTGGTCTGAGTCAGCGGTTGGCGCATCTGTCTGGTATCCCACAGCAACACCAACTCATCGTAGCTAGATGGTGGGGGAGAAACAATTGTCCCTGAGCAAGACAGTGTGTTTCAATTGTTCTTCTTTTATCCAGAGGTAAATGGGAAGAGCTAGAGTTGTGAACACAGAGAGAATTTGAAAACAGCCAACAGGACTTCCCAACCATGAACGGCCTATCAATCAAGGATAACAACTACCTGACTATTCCCTTTTGTATACCGTATAATATTATTTATAAATAACAGAGTCTTGCACAATCATAATTACCTTCCTGAGGCTAGGAGATTCTCTCTGTGTGCATTACTATGCAAGCTGCATACGCCCATACTGTGACTGTCAACAAAATTGAATAAGGTATGCAATATAACAAATAGTTTGTGGCCAAATAAAAGACAGGCACAAAAACATCAGCACACAATGACAGGATTGTTCACTTCCAGTTGAACAAACCAAACAAGTTCCAGTCTGCAAAAGTGACACTGGAGAGTCTATTTTGGATGTTGCATGTGCATGTTTTGTTGGGTGACTGGATGCAACAAAGGAAGGCACAGTTTGATGCCAAACAAACTTCAGAAAATATTCTCTAATACAGTAGTGTACCTCTTGCTGATGAAGAGAGGTTTGGAGCAAGGTGTCCTTGTGTCCCATCCCTTGAACCGGCAGTCATCACCACCTAACCAGAGACAAAAAGTAGACATGCAAATGGGAACTCCAACGCAAAGCAACGGTAATTCCAAGCTACCGGAGACTGCACAGTATTTTGAACATGTAAGACATTATGGAAGCGATAAAAAAAAGGAAATAAATCTACCTCATTTAACTGTGTGCTGAAGTAACAATAAATATATAGCAAATCGAATATACATATTATTTCAACCATGGAGAAAAATTTGCTTGCGATTTGAAGGGTTCCATATCAGTGAACCATTTGCAAGGAGGAGACAAACATTCGTTGATTCACTTCTTTTAAGTAATACTGGCCTGGCTGGTTGTTCCTGAATCTATCCAGAAACTGCAAAGTCCTTGTGTTAGCTTTGGGCCACGCAGGGTTATTGTTTTAGTAATACACTGCACTATGAAAGGTTCTAAACACTTGACGACAGCTGTGCAACTATTCAATTTTGATTTCATACTTTGTCCAGGAACTGCATGGTATTAAATCCACTATCCTTTCATTTTTATCAAGCTCAGAGACTTGGGGGGAGGTTGATTTACCGGAGTACACAACGTTTGGTTGCCAGTAGTCAAAAGCTGCTATCCATGCCTCAAACCCATGGGCCGGCCAACGAAGCATGCTCTCAACACTTGAGGAATCGTCACAGAGCCGACACAACGTCAGACTCCCCTTAGAATCACTGACAATGACGGAGGGAGTCTGGCTAGAAATGAAAAATGAACAACTCCAAAGCACATGCACCGTGTTTGGTTTCATGTCACCATACATAGAAATTCAGGGGGAATTCAACCAGCTCAGACATCTGTCCAAATCCATACTGTTACATCATTTGTTAATTAAACACTAAGACAAGATGTCCAATGCCATGTCAAGCATTAATATTGTACATAAAGGGAAAAGTCCACTCGTTTTGAAACGTTGTCCAATCAGTCCCTCGTCAGCTGGAAGTACATTATCATTGTGGTTCCTCAAACTTATCAAGTGCACAGTAAATAAACAAATCTGTCTTATTCATCATGAAAAAAAAATCAGATATCATATGCCCCGAGCCAAATATCATAGTGCTACTAACTCAGTTCAGCCACAATAAAATCAGTTTTCTTCTAATTCGGCATCAAGCAAATACCCAAAGATGCCTACCTGTGATACTTGCCAGTGTTCCAGTCCAGAGATAAAGCCAAGCAATTGTTATCCTGACTGACTCGATGACAGGCAGTCGGTTGTAGTGTGAAGCCACCAGCCTAAAACACATAAATGTCAAGAAAAGACGATCTTCATTATCCTCATAAGTGTCTGTCTGCGCGAAATGCATAAGCTTGCATTTAGCCTTTCACACACAACTCGGAATTTTAAAAGCCGGCCCTGTACTTCAACCACTGCAGTACCCTCCAATTAAAGTGTGTGGAATGATATAAACTGTAGATAATAAACAGTAAGTATGGTGTTTATGGCTGAGTTTAAACATCAATATACCAGGCTAAGGCTTTCAGCAAAGTGGTAAATTCAAAGGTACGTCTTCTCTCTTTATTCCTGGTCATATTTTCAATGAAAAATCTGCTCCGAGCGGAACAAAAGAGGGCGTATTTTTTGGTACTCTCTGCAGACGCACACCATGAGGGGCGTAAGTATATGCGCGTTTGACGCAGACCACGCCGAGTACGTGAAACTAATTTACTCTGGTATGTATGGTCTTTGTGTACACGCAGGACATGTGCAAGAACCTGCTTGTAATCACCTGTCTTTCTTTTCGCTGAGTGGGGGTGCACTTCAGGTCGGGGCGGATATAGCAGTCAGGTAAGGTCCCAGTCTTTTTTTCTTGTGATTAAATACGCTTTAAAAGTGCATTAAATCGGAGTTCATTACACTCTCTGTATCAGAAGCCAATTTTACAGAGGTTTGTGTAAACTGAATCAATACAAAGAAATGACCAAACAAATTTGTCATGACAATGCACAACATTCATACACACACTTGTTTTACATACCAAGTGTGGACATTCCTTTGTTTTCCTGTGGTTAAGGTAAATGCTCCTTTTTCTCCCACTAGGATAACTCCTTCGAGCTGGATTTCCAGCTGGATTTTTGATGATGATTTCCTGGACTGTTCCTCTTCATTTTGCCACAGATAACCTTGACCCCAAAATACCTCTGAAACTGTTTTTCACAGAGGAGGAAACATTGTGTGGACGTGTGCAAGTCCACACAATGCCATCATACCCTGCATTATGTGGACTTCTTTTGTGCAGAGGTCCACACTATATATGACACGCCTGTACACAAAATCTTACTAACTTTACACAAATCTGCTTTTTGTAGAAGTTTCAGGGAAATGGCCGTTGAACACAGCTAGGATTAAAGATTGAGGAATTTGAACACCATGAGCTGACTAGTTCTGCTTCTATCCAGACACAAGGTTACTTCATTTACCTTTGAGTTAAGAGAAAGCAGTTGAAGCTCTCCACTGGCGTTAACTATACCCAACAGTGGCTGCTCTGAAATAACATTGTGGCACCTGAAAAAAAAGAGATACCAACTACGCGTGCAATTTTTCTGGAAATACAATAATATTGTAGACAGATTTAATAAATAAAACTTGATTTAAAGAAGTCATGGACCTCACCTGGACACCTGATGTTAATTCAATTTTTGGCAATCTGCCCAACGAGAGCAAAAAGTCCTTAAATTCAAAGTACCCACTCAAAAGATTTGTCTACATACAGTTTAACCAATTTTTTCTTTCAATGTACCACTTCATATCCAATATTGCTGCCATTTCAATCCTCTGCAGTTCTGCCAACGAGGCTTCCTCCGTATCTTGATTCAGATGGTAGAACCGTATCTGGCCTAGCCGCTGTCTTGGCTTGTCGACCTTTTCAAAGAGATCAAAGGGCAAGATCAAATTGATACTGCTCAATTCAAGGTTCTCTCCAGTACTGTTTGGAGGGGGAAATCTCCACTCATGGCAAAGCATGCTGCCTACAGCGGATACAATTTTCTTCTTTGATTTCTGAACAATTCGGAGGGAACTTAAAAAAAAAAAAGGACATATACTGTCATATCACATCGTTTTCAGGGGTTTGGGAGCTACATGCACACATAGCGTTCAGCCACACCTGAAGAAAACAAGAACGCAAAGTTTCTTCAAAATGAGTTTGTCTGGTTGGATTCAAAACCTAAAGTACGTCAAATTTGAGAAGCAACGTTTAACCCTAAGAAATATTTTGGGTTTGCACAACACAAGTAGCTGTCAAAAATATTGTACCTGACCATTATCTTCAGGATTCACCTGGTCAACTGAGCTAGGTGATATCCCCTCAGACTCTGCCAGCTGATATGTACCGCTAGCCAGGAAGCCTTCCTGACCAGCTATGGGACAGAACTCCACAGCATCGGCACTGTAATCGGTGTCCACAGTGACTAGCTGTGTGCTAGGAGACTTCTCTTGGCACGACATCCCTGTGAGCATGGAGGACTACCACCAATGCCTGCAGGTTCAAATTCCATGTCCTACCTGGCACAATAAAAGTGAGATTACAGAAATAAAACCTGTTTTACTTACACTAACATGGCCCACTTAGACAGAGAACAAGCATATATCCCAAACTGAAAATAGGCAAGCCGACCATCAAGCTCGTGTATGTGCCCGATCACGTCCAAATTATCATGTTGGAAAAACTAGATAATAGCATGTTTGAAACTAGCCCAGGTTTGATGATGCCTTAATCATGTTGCAAGACTAGATGTTGTCTAACGTAATAACCTGGGTTAGGTTAGACTTTGCCATGGGCATCTGGAGGGGGGAACGCAAAGAAGGCACCTTGCTGCCTTTAATTCCCCCTCCCCCCGAAAAAAANGTTGAACATAAAAACAGAAAAATAAAGACTTGAATAAATCTCGCAACTGACTACCTTCCACTGTAAACGGTTTGTCCCCTTCCCTTCCCTTCCCAACCCCCCCCCCCCCGAAAAAAAGGGCCCCTCTCGTGGGAGAGCTAGAGACTAGGAGCGGACGTCGGTTAGTTCAGGGAGTAGCCTACGCCCGGCATGTACGGCCTTACATGACTGGTTTAGTCATGCCACTTTTAGCCACGATATTGAAAATAAATGAAACAATTTACCAGTATTATATAATAAAGAATAAATCACTGATTTAGAGAGAAGAAATACCTCTTTTGACACCGCATCACTTTGATGAACGAGTTGACTTTGGAAAGAGTGTGCCTATAGAGGGCGCCTTCTCTAAAACCCTTGGGGGGCCCCGGGGTACCGGGTGCATTTACTGTGGGTGCAGTGCATTCCACATTCCACCAAAATCATCGAGTTGTATTTCTGCGCACGAGCTCATTGATATTTTTTATCCCGGCGGGGTTTACAATAAGACAGGCCATAATCAGCAGGCATCGTAGAAATATTTCTATGAATCTCAAATTTAGGACCAATGGTCTCCAGTTCAGGGTATAAAGCCCGAAATTGCGGACCTGTTTTGGACAGAGGTGGGCGGCTATCTTCTGGCCATAATCTTTAATTTCCAGTGAAAAAAGCGTAAACGGAGGCCAACGTCTTTACGAGAGTCAACAGGCGGCGTTATTTCGGTCCGATTTTGCACTGTTTTCTACATGGGCGCATATTCGGTGTAGTGTAACCCTAGACAAGTCACTCACACCATGTGATTCTACCTCCATGCTCACACTCACACAGGCAAGCTGGTCACCATGAACTTCTAGGGATTTGATTTAGTGGATTAAAGAGAACACTGTATGGTATAGATCTATTACTACTTAACTACTCAAGTTAAGTTTAAAAGCTGAAAACCTGCGAGCAGTTTCAAGGTCAGAGGGACAGGGGTTTTAGACAAAGGTCAATCCGAGGTTTTCAACTTGAGATCTCGATTGGTCGAATGTAGGCTCATAATACCAAGAGACTGTGTGGGGCCGGGCAAGCATTCGCACCTCGGCTATCTCCTGTATTTTTTTATGCTGGGTGACCTGTTTCTTTGCTTTGATGAAAATATCTTGTAAAACTTACTTAATACGGAATTGGCAATAATCAAGTTTCAGTTTCTGATTAGTCGCAGAGTTGGGATAAATTTTCAGAGGTGGTTAAGATGACATTTTGGAGAAAATAAGATCTGTGCTTTCCTTTACAACACAAAAGACAATTTGGGCTGATTAATGGCGCAAATAAAATTTCATTGCATCGTTCGGTTTTGCTTGAAAAAAGGAAAAATGAGAAGAAAAGTACATGTTGGACGCCGGGCTAAACACATTTCTATGAGATGTTAAATGCTTATGTTAGTGAGTAAAAAATACATGCAACAAAAGGTGAGTATCGAGTTGTCCCAGTAGGCTCGCAGCAATCAAGGGCTGCGACCGAAGACGCTTAATGTCTCGTGTTCGAACCACCAGGCCATGGCTCACCCGAAATAAGTGTAGAAAATTGATCACTAAATACATACGCAGTAAGGCTATGGTTGTGCAATAATGTTAATGAATCGACTGCACTATTTTGGAGTGCGCCACCCGTTGTTGAACTTTGAACGGTCTTTACATGTAGCCCGATTGTGCACTGTGTATAGAATTATGATTCTTGCTGAAATAGAGGGCTCCTGTACTGTGTAGAAGTTTGCCATAGCGTTGTGGCACTGTGAATTGGGGTGGTCGTCAACTGTGACAGTGTTTGCATAATTTCTACAAAACTATACATAAAAAAACACCCACAAAATATTTGACAGCCAACGACTGGAGGACCAAATGTTTACTGCTCAGTGAAACAGACTTGGCACACACAAAAGATGAGCCTGTAAATACCTTCTTTGCGTGACACTAAGAAAACAACAAAAATTTCAGACCAGTGTCATGGGGTTTGTGCAAAGTGTGTCGAGCGGCGTCCGTACATGGAATACTTTCCCAATGAATTAGAAAATCTGCGGTTTACTTAACACATGCACGGCCAACTTGTGAAATATGAATAGAGAACTATGTATTCCAAACTAGGGGCGGACCTAGGATTGTCCAAAGGGGGGCGTGATCCCAGATTTTCCAAAGGGTGGGGGGCTTGAACGAAAGCAGCAATGGTAACATTTGATGCTTGCGAGCGTGTAGCGCAAAGCCCTTTCGGCGCGGGGTAAGCGCTCTGTTGTGCAATTTCAGGCAATACGACCCCTCTTTTTTTCTTCTCTCTCCCTTTTTTCCCCTCTTTTTCATTCGTTTGTTTATTTTGGGAAGAAAAGGGGGGCGTATGCCCCCCTTGGATCCGCCCCTGCAAACTATAACAGTCAGGCAAGCTCAAATGAGCCGATCTCCGCCCGGTTACTGATCAAACTATAGCTTGTGCATCGTTCCATGTGATAACAACATGACACACGTAAACATGGCCCTGATGATGCAGAGCCTGACTTTGGCCAAGGTTGAACTATGCCTTCATTACCATGTTGCAAGACTAGATGTTGTCTAACCTGGGCTAGACTTGTACATGGGCGTCGGGTAGGGGCAAGGGAGACACTTGCCGCTCCCCCGGCTCCCCGCCCCCAGAAAAAACTTGAACGTTCAAACATAAAAAAGGACAAAATAATGGAAAACCAAGATAACTGAAAAGAAAGCCGAACAGTGATGAAAATCACCAGTTTGCTTAAATAAATCAGGATATTGATCACCTTCCACTCGTTCCATTGTTAAAAGTTAATCAGTCCGTCGCTGATGAGTGGTTTGTCCCCGGCCTCCCCTCGGAGACCCCCTCCCCCCACAAAAATGCTTTCCTCCCCCGGAAAAATCTTGGAGAAGCCTACAGACTTTGACCTTGCCTTAGAATTAGATTAAGCAGTATAAGCGTGGTAAGTTAAAGGATTGCCAATCCTATTAATTTTCTCCAAGGACTTGAAAATAAAAATAAACGCAACAACGGATAGAACCAAGAATAAAGTAAAGGTATAGAGAAAAACTGCCTCTTTTTACATCGCATAACGCGGTTAAAACATAGGGGTAGGAAGCAACTGTGATGCGTTGCCGAACGAGTTTCGTACTATTATTAGAGTACATAAGTGTGGCGTCACTTTGAACCAGAAAGTGTAGTGCAAACGAACGGAGTACGTGCGCGTGTTGGTTCACGCGCTGGTTCTCGCTCTAATGCCTTTTACGCACATACTGGTGCGCCTGACGTAGTCACTTCGGAACTGGTTCTAGTTCTCGGCTTGACTTTGAAAAGCCTGTGCGTATAGAGGGCGCATTCTTGTAAACACACATACTACTCCATTTCTTAAACCGAAACGAACTTCCAGAGAGACTGTAAAATGACCATGTTTTACAAGAGCATAACACAGTATGCTATAGATCTACCACTTTAGTTGAAGCCTTGAAAGCCTATGAGCGGATCTATGCGTTCCTGTAAAGAACGAAAGATAGGTTGGATTTACTAATGACGCAACTAAAAGGTCGTTAAATTTGTCGGTTTCCGCCTCAAAAAAGTTAAAACAAGAGAAGTACATGCTGGACAAGATGAAAGTACTTCTGTACTTCTGTGAGATATTCATTGCTTATGTTAGAGTAAAAATAANGTTGAAAATAAAAACGGAAAAATAAAGACTTGAATAAATCTCGCAACTGGCCACCTTCCACTGTAAATGGTTTGTAAGTCCATTACTGATGAGCGGTTTGTCCCCTTCCCTTCCCACCCCCCCCCCGAAAAAGGGCCCCATCTCGTGGGAGGAGGAGCGGACGTCGGTTTCCATACCACAGTCATGACAGTTCAGGGGATAGCCTACGCCCAGCATGTACGGACTTACACGACTGGTTTAGTCATGCCAGTTTTAGCCAAGATATTGACAATAAATGCAACAATTTACCAGTATTATATAATAAAGAATAAATCACTGATTTAGAGAAGAAATACCTCTTTTGACATCGCATAGCCATAAACGAGTTGACTTTGGAAAGAGTGTGCCTATAGAGGGCGCCTTCTCTAAAACCTTTGGGGGGGGTACAGGGTGCATTCATTGTGGGTGAGGATGGTTGTATTTCTGTTGCGCGAGCTCATTAATATTTTTGATCCCGGCGGGGTTTTTACAATAAGACAGGCCATAATCGGGAGGCATCGTAGAAATATTTCGATGAATCTCGAATTTAGGACCAATGGTCTCCAGTTCAGGTATTTCTTTCACAAAAAGCCCGAAATTACGGACCTATTTTGGACAGAGGCGGGCGGCTATCTTATGGCCATAATCTTTAATTTCCAGTGAAAAACCGGGCGGCCAACGTCTTTACGAGAGTCAACAGGCGGCGCTATTTCGGTCCGATTTTGCACTGATTTCTATATGGGCGCGTATTTGGTGTAGTGTAACCCTAGACACGTCAATCACACTCACACAGGCAAGCTATTCACCATGAACTTCTAGGGATTTGATCGAGTGGATTAAAGAGAATTACACTGTAATACTAAAACTACTCAAGTTAAGTTTAAAAACTGAAAACAAGAGGGACAGGCGTTTTTAGACAAAGGTCAATCCGAGGTTTTCAACTTGAGATCTTGATTGGTCGAATGTAAGCCCATAATACCAAGAGAGTGTTGGGCCGGGCAAGCATTCGCACCTCGGCTATCTCCTGTAGTTTTTTATGCTGGGTGACCTGTTTCTTTGCTTTGATGAAAATATCTTGTAAAACTCACTTAATACAGAATTGGCAATAATCAAGTTTCAGTTTATGGATAGTCGCAGAGTTGAAATAAATTGTCAGAGGTGGGTAAGATGACATTTTGGAGAAAATAAGATCTGTGCATTCCTTTACGACACAAAAGACAATTTGGGCTGATTAATGGCGCAAATAGAATTTCATTGCATCGTTCGGTTTTGCTTGAAAAAAGGAAAAATGAGAAGAAAAGTACATGTTGGACGGACTAAACATATCATATTAAATTCTTATGTTAGTGAGTAAAAAATATATGCAACAAAAGGTGAGTATCGAGTTGTCCCAGTAGGCTCGCAGCAATCAAGGGCTGCGACCGAAGACGCTTAATGTCTCGTGTTCGAACCACCAGGCCACGGCTCACCCGAAACAGGTGTAGATAATTGATCATTAAATACATACGAAGTAAGGGTTGTGCAATAATGTTAATAAATCGACTGCACTATTTTGGAGTGCGCCACTCGTTGTTGAACTTTGAACAGTCTTCCAAAACCGAAACGAACTTCCAGAATGTAAAATGGTCATGTTTTACAAGAGCATATAAACACTTGGCTATAGATCTACTACTTTAGTTTAAACCTTAAAAGCCTACATAAGCGGATCTGTGCTTTCCTGTGCAGAACAAAAGANATACTGATCATTAAATACATACGAAGGATTGTGCAATGATGTTAATGATTCGACTGCACTATTTTGGAGTGCGCCACTCGTTGTTGAACTTTGAACGGTCTTAACTCGCGGCCGGGTTGTGCACTGTGTAAAGGATTATATATTTTTTAAAAAGGCTACCGCATTTCATTCTCGCCAAAAAAAGGGTTCTTCTGGCAGCTTGAACATCATGTTTTGGCACTGTTTAACCAACACTTGCTGATCAACAGACAGAGGTGGTAGTCGATTGTTACACCTCTTCGGAAGTGCCGCGTGCGAGATGCGGATCGCCTGAAAGCCCCGATGGCCAGATCATACCCCGTCGGATTAGGGCCTTATAATGGACCTAGGCCTATATTATCAGTTTGGCAACGAGGTAGGATCGTTCAGTTTAGTAAGGCTGCCTTGCCATTTGCTTTTGATCCGTTCCCTTTCCGCCTTCCGTTTCACTCCGGTGTCAACGAACCAATTCCGCAACTTACGCATACGGACACCGTGCGCATTGAAAACGCGTGTTTGCCTTTAAAGTTTAAGTGTGGAAAAAAAAACATTTACATGAACTATAATTTTCTTCCGTGATTCGTTGACAGGAAGAATCAATATATCGAAGCAAACATGTTTGCAACTCTTGATGTGCATAAACAAAATATTTTGATATTGTACAGGCTTTCCCCACGTCACTCAAACCCAACCTTTGAAACCCTGCGTTTTTAGCTCATTAATGTAGAGCATACGCTTGGGTGCCGGGGTACATGAATGTTCTTGGAGTGCACATTTCTTGCAGAAACAAAAAAAAATTGCCGGAGAAAAGGAACAAATGGCTATGTTTACATAATTTCTTAAGATAACTAAGCTCGACGAAATATTTTGACGGCCAACCACTGGACCAAAGCATAAAAGGGTTACTGCTCAGTGAACAAACTTGGCACAGACACAAACGACGCGCGCGTATAACCTTCTCGACGTGACGCGTTTGGTTCAAATTTTGATTATGCATGCACGATTCAGTTTTTAAAAATCTAGATCAGATTGTTGACTGCTGACATAGGTGAAGGTTTTCTTTCGGTCTAAATAAAAGTGAAAAACAAAACTGTGAGTCATGTTCCGGTCGATGCGCCGAGTGTTCGAAAGTGTAGAGAAGACTTTACACACGCTTGCCTCGCACGGGGAAGCGGGTGAGAAGCCTTGGGACGATGAGCCAAACCTTTACAAGAAAGACATCATGATCTGTGGCTCACACCTCAGAGACGGGACGGACGTTGAGATCAAGATAGAAGCTGTGAGGAAAATGGGACATTTGGCCTACACAGGTAAAGTAAGAAGATTCCCTTGTCGGCTAATACCGCCGTCGTCGTGAATGCTGATGTCATCCTTGCTTTTAACAATCACCTTGTGGTTGTTTTTCATCATGAACACCAAATAAAGACCGTCAAAGCCCTTTTTTGCCTAAATAGACTAGACTATATCCGGAATGGTTTTGATTTGAACCTGCGACCTCCGAAATTACACACACACCACAGTGTACAACCAACTTCATAATTAATTCGGGCAGTAGGCTTGTCCCAATTTGCCAGTGCTTGTTCGACTTCAAGTGAGAAGTATCGTACTTCAGAATGTCGGCAGACCCAAACTTCCTCCAGATAAGCAGTGAGTTAAACAAGGCCAGTCGGGAACATTTCTAATTTGGGGATATCTTGCCTACAGGCGGGACGGAGGCGGCGAAATGCGCAGGGACCTACCTCCCGATCCTCGCCCAAATACTCAAAGACGAAGCATCATCAGCGACCCTTAAGACGGAAGTGGTCAAGGCTCTGAGCGAGCTCTGCCGAGCACACAAGGACAACTGCGACCGCGTCTACCAAGAGCTTGACCTCATGCCGATCCTGGCCAAGTTCGTCGCTTCCCACTTCGACCCGAGGCTGGTGCGGTGGTCCTGCTACGCTCTGGTCGTGCTTTGCGCGTCAGGCACCAAGGTGGTCCGAGCGCTGATAGACCACACCAAGACGGACGGCGGCAATTTCAAGGAGTGTCTGGAGGAGATGGAGGAGATATCTTGGAAGGGTTGGCCAAGGAATTACGCGGCGGTGCTTAGAGATTTCCTGGGGCACGTGAAAGTGGACTTGAATGTTAAATGAAACAATTTGACGAATGATGTGTCTTACTTGTGATGATGACATATCAAAGGTAGACCTAAAGTGAAAACATTGAGGTTTAGTTGTGGCCAAAAAGGGTGTTGGATGCTGGGGGTGTTTTGAGTTCATGATGATCAATTCGGCTATGACATAACAGCAGAATACATCACTAGTAAAGTTATCAAGTGAATGTGGTTTGGACATGAACTTGGAAGCTCATCTGTGAAACGCCATGCTATATGAACTGAAAACTGATGAAACGCATTTATCATGTAAGTTAACACAATTTGTGGGCTCAGTTCCTTTAGAGACTTACCGTAGGAAATCCATTCATTGTAGTGGAAACCAACCAACTCGTCAAGATGAATCAAGGAACTACCGGCCAAACATCTAGTGCAGACCCCTTCAAGTGCATACTTACTTTATGACGCCTGAGACCGCTCAAGTGTCCACTTAATTAACGTGTTGTCCATCACAAAATGCGAAGTCAAGAAGAAAGAAAAAACCTGTTGAATAAGTTGTGCCCTGGACTATCGCTACTGAGTACTTCGTATCCGTCCTTGCTTAGCTCACAAACCAGAGATTCTGCCCCGGTTTGAATCACAAGAGCATCGTGCATTGACACCGCTCCCACGTGGTCCGGTTCTCTGTTCATCCCTGTTCAGTGGGTGAAAGGGCCGTGCGAAGGACAACAGTGCTGGAAAAAATGGGGGAAGCAACAAAATGAACATGAGGTCCGATGAGCTGAAAGTCTAAAGTGTAAATATCTTCCAACGGCTACTGGAGTCACGGTCTGCACTGCCTGAATCTCATTCATCGTGAAGATCAGAACACAAAGGACTCACGCTCAGTGAACACATAAAGCTAACAGTAAACTCTTGTTCGCACATACTTAAAATGTTATTCGAATCACTATGACGATTGTTAACATTAAGTCGAGCTATTACGAGTATTCAGAAGTTCACAAGGGACCGAACACAGACATCCACATCCAATAGCTCATTATACAGCATTACATAAAGATAATACTCATTACAATGTATTAAACCTATAATACAAGTTCAAAATTTGTCTATATTATGCACAATTAAGCATTTTGTTTTCTTTCACTTAGCTTGTAAATTATGTTGCAATCCGGCAAGCATAGCTTTGCTGGACTATGCTGGCAGCAAACAACAAAAAACCTTATGTGTCTACTTTTCTGAATTTAATCTTTTCAAAATTTTGCTGAATATCCGCCAGTTTACAGATGCTACCAAGCACGTTTGCGGACTACTGAAAAGTCCACGCGAGCAAAAGTGGACTACCGGCTGATGTAATTAGATATGACATCAGCGGGTAATGAATGGCTTTGGTAATGTTGTCGCAACTGGCTCTGAGCTGTATACGATGCTTAGCAAGGGCACTCATAAGCACCATATCCCAAATGAAAACTTTAAGGACTCATCTTCAAGCAGTAGACTAAACAGTCCAACGCAATTACCTAATACCGAGAATTCATTGCCATAATACGCACAGTAGCTTTGCGAATTGTAGTCATATCAACCAACATTATGCACTACTACACGCATTTAATGTACAAATAGCACAGCTACATTACCAACAATACACCTCATTGTATTTACTACCAAAATAATATACAATATATATTTTATAAACAAATCTTCAATAAGCAAAACAAAAATATGTCTTTACATGAAAAAGAATGCCATATTTTGTCCCAAATCACTATCTAGTACAGATGCAACGACGTTATAAGATACTACGACAGTTTCACCAACCAGCTAATTACATAGTCAATCCTAAACATTACTGAAGCCAAATAAAGTAATCAATGCATATGACTGTCCATTTAACAATTTAATGGTATAAAAAATAATCTGGAAAAAGTATTAATGAAATGTTTTTTGACACAGACATTCATCATTTAACCGACAGCACCACAGCAACTACTCAGCATTGTAATTTTTTTATGATACAATCACTCTACTGTTACAATGGCAAACAAAAACAGTCAAAAACTCACGCACGGCCTAGTTATAGACCAAACCCAAATGCTTGGTTCCAAGGCATTCTGATGCTCCTATTCTTAAAAGAAATAACTGATAACGATGGTAAATAACTCACAGTTACCAGTATTTTTGAGACTCTCTACGTCATTGAAAAGAAAAGAGTTACCTCTATCTTAAAACTGAAGAAATCGCCAACAGAAAAATTTGTCCTATTGCAAAATTTTGTCTACCCTAAAAATAAAAAACATGCAACAAACTAGTTGCTTTGTGTGTGCATGCATCAAATCTTTTCTTTTCCAGAAAGGGCTATAGCTCTTTGTCAATTTTATTCGTTTATGAAAATTTACTGTGGGAGATTCTTTGGATGTCTTTATGCCTTCAGGTGTATGTAAACATTTCATAACAAATATTCCACCAGGACTGCTGTCCATTCCAAATCAGAAGCAATATATTTTTGCCCACTGATACCCAGTCCTGCTATGGCAACCAGTGGTCTGTGGGAGGAAATTTTGTATCAGTTCAAAAAAGTGCATTCTGGAATGCAAACCGATTTTCGTAGTTTGTGAAGAAAGCGAAGAAGGAACATTGGAAGAGTCTACATTTATAAACAAATAGTCTTCCCTTGTGACTTGACATTATGGTCGAGACAAACAGTACTGTTCATTGGAAATCCTAGTATATTTTTGATCGTTTACTATTGGGTTGAACAGTGCACATGCATGTTTTGTCTCACATCCACGGACCTCTAGACACAGTTTCTACATGTACAATCAGTGTCTTAGGCAGTGTCTGAAACGGGCTTCCAGAGCTACGGCTAGGTCTACTGTCTACGCGTCTCCACACATTTCCAATGGAGAGAAGACCTAGACCTACCTCTTGACAAAAGATTCGGATGCAGCCTATTAGTGCAACTACTAGCACTTAAATGTGCCGACAAACTTTCAACTGGCAGTTCTTAACTAAAAAAAATATTTCCTTCAAAACAAAAAATGTCAAGGGGGGGGCTTTCCTCTATTGGTTGGTTTTTAAAAAGATTGAATCTATATGTATAACTTCAACAAGAGTACATGCACATCAAAAGATCTTAATGCTCACATTTGTGCTGTAAATATTCACTAGAATTGAGTCCTAGGTGTATGTGTGTATCCACAATAGTCACAAATGCCAATGAATAACCAGAATTCAATGCTTTTCAAAACAGAAAGGAATTGTTAGACCCACTACAACATTCAATGAGCTACTTTATCATTGTTTTGATGTCTCTTAGAAATTATGATACTGTGTACACATACATGTACGATTCACTTGCTGTAACACTGATGGTGTGGCCATGCTTTCTTAGTTAAAATGTGTAGGATACAGAGACTTTGCTCATAAATATAAAAATGTACTACAATGGTTTTTGAACGATTCATGCATTGTTCTGGTTGCTACTCAACATCCGCAAGCTTCAACTACACTTCAACAAAATACAAGAACCCTAATGAACTAATCCATCAAGCTCTTCCCACTGCACACATGGTTGACAGAAGGCGCAATTCTCCAGTGCCATGCTGCATGCCTTATAAGTGCAAGCCTTTGGGGGGGAGGGGCTATGTCTGCTGAGGTTGGTCTCATCAATGATGGGTCCCTGCTTGATGGATTGGTCTGTGAGGCTGGGGCAAAAGGGGGGGAGGGGGAGAGGGAAAGGGGAATGACAGTGTGGAGAGGGTCAAGTGGGCGGCTCAGGACATGCAACATTATGGCTGCTGCAACATGAAATGACCTCATGGTAGTTGTAACGTCAAGCAACATCACTGATTTTGTAACACCAAAAACGACAGCCAACTTAGTACCATGCACAATATATTACACATGGAGGGTTCAAAACCTGGTTGGCAGCAGCAACAGTGCCATAAAAATCTATTATTTTTCAAACTTTCGATTTCTCTCTCTGGTTCAATTCATGCCCAGCGTGAACATTTTTATTCATGTAGAAAAGGAAAGTTGTGGTTTGCAAAATGAATCGGCAGTGCCCTGTCTACAGAATCAAGTGTCTCCCTTCACATAAAAAAGTACATCTGAATATATACACAAGGAAACCATAGAGCAAAGCAAAGAATATGTGCGTGACAACATGTAAAAGAAAAGCACACGTCTGTGCTTATAAATTGTGAAAACGCTGCTACTCAAACATGTCCAAAAGTTGGATTAAAACCCACTTCGGTTGGATTTCAAAATGTTATTTAATACCCTAAGCTCTATGGCAGGATCCCATCCAATGGGTATTAGTTTTTAATCTTGCATTTATACAATAGTTGAATACACCCTCCGAATCTGACAGATGGGTTGTTATTCGCATGTCACTGAATAGTTGGTACAAAGGCATGGCACGGCCGCATCACAGCAATAGATGTTCTATTCTACAATCACAAGATACATTCCAACTCAAAGGTGATGCAAGGGATTTCTTCAGGCATTGTTTAAAACAAATAATTAATGCTTGGCATTCATGCAGCGAAAAGAATAACTTCATTTGGTGACAAATAAAATGCTTCATTCCACCTGTCACTTCATGAAACCACTCCAACCACTACACTTCTAAACATTTAATACTGCAGTGACATTGTTTGCAGCACCGTTTGCTGCGGAAGACGTTTTAAATCTTATCTTTCAACTTTTACATGCGGGAGTGACTTGTCAGCTTGTTCTCTGCTCACCAAAGCACATAAAACATGTAAAGGTGTAAGCGCCCACAATAAATGATAAACTCAGGCATTTCGAATTTTTAAATAGATATTGCCAATGATCTCAAATAAATGGTTCCAATCACTCAGTTCTTCCAAGACAATAATATTAAGAAACAATCAAATTAAGACAAGTCAATTAAATTTAAACTCTCAGCAGGGACCAAACCATAAGACCACTTTCTTTGCTGAACATGAACGCGTGCTTTCTCATAAAAGCGTTTTACAGAATCCACAACTAGCATTATCATGCTTTTGATACAGAACTATTTACACAAAGTGTTAATTCGTTTATTTGGAAAAAAGAATTGTACTGAAGAACCAAAATGGTCAATTTGTACGAAACAAAAGATACACATATATTGTTAAGACAGGCCTTAGGCCATTTTGGTGGCTAACTCAAAGTGCTGATGGTTAGTGTTCCCTATGCAAACATACAAGTACAACTTGAAACTATAGTAGTAATAACATCAAGTGCGCTTAGAATTTGGACTGTTGGCAGCCCAACTCAGCTCTCGTGGTATTGATTCCCACTTGACACTTTGAAGTCGCAAACAATGATTAAACTTGGGGGACCCTTGCAGTGTACAATTGAACCATGTTGGCTGTGAGTGTGCATCCGAGCCCTCGTTTGAGGGGATTTTGCTTAACATGCACAATCAACCTGCTGACTAGTCAACTGCTGATGTGGATCTTGATGTTGGCTGGCTATGACGTTGAACCAGAGGTCATGCCATGGCCAGCAGTCAAAAGAAAAACAAATTGCATACATCAGAAATAAGGGTGGGAATTTACGTTTGGTTTGAGAAACGTTTACAGAAACTTTCCCATACCGTTTGCAGAGGTCGCCGCCACCACCTGCCTCGGTGTTTTCATATATGCATAATTACATAGTTCAAGAATGCACATGGTCCAACCAATGTAAAAATGTAGACTGATGTTGGGCCATTTAAAAGCAAACATGGATGCTGAAAGGGAAAAAAACAGTACCTAACAGGCATCGATTACAATAAACATGAATGCCAGATTGAGTCAATCAAAACATCCAACCTCTAAATGGGACGATTCCATTGAAACATTTGGGAAAATCTGTAAACGGATTTGGAACTTTTTTCGTTTAAATGTCCCACCCTTAATAAATAACATACCACTCTAAGTCAGGGTTTTTTTTTGCTTGGCACAACTGAAGCACTGCCCTGTGCGAGTACCGGTATATATGCAGTTATCCCGCAGCTGGTAGCCAGAGACACTGGCCATATCAGAAGAAGATTGTGTGCATGAGTAGATAGAATCTGTGGGACAACAGAAAAGATCAAAAACCCATAAATATGTTTCAAACAAAAGTGCCTACACGGACGGGATCGTTCTTTACTCTAATCCAGTAAAAAAAAGCAGTTTGCTACTCTGTCCGGAGGCTTAACTGTAAATGTAGACTTGAACTCAGCCAAATTACGTAAGGCTGGGCAGGAGGTGCTGATACATACATGTCCCTTGACTGTGTCGTACAGGAAACGGTAGAACAATGACTACCCGCCACAAAGGCGGACGCGCCACGATTTGTAGGCTCTCATTGGACAATCGCTGAAGTTGCACGTTTGCTTCTGGTTCCATGGTTCCATGTAAACGGCATGTAACTCTATGTGCAGTGCGCGTGTGCAGTCGGCGTGGTTTAAATTGAAGTGACGTTACACATACGAACCGGACGGAGAAGGCTTGTGGCGACACCATGCAGATAGATCTCTTTTGGAAGAGGTGTAGAATAATGGTTGGCCACAAAGTTTTAAAAAGTGTAATCAATAAAACAGTGATAGCATTTTGGATGGAAGGCATTATGTCTTACCTGTTGATAGAGGCGAGTGGACCTTAAAGGAGGAAAGGGTTGTTCGCTTGCTGAGGCTGCATTTGATTCTGTGACGGCCCAGAACTCATTGGGATTAATGGGGGGGGAAGTGAGCTTCCACCCATCGCTGCACCCCCACTGAAAGCCCCGCCACCTGCAGCATACATGCCACCCGGCTGAGACATGCTCATCATGGGCTCTGCCCTCATCTGGTTGATGGTCGGGGCTGGCTGTCGCTGCTGTTGGAATGGGTTGCTCTGTGGTGCCGCCATGCCCCCTGACACCCCCCCACCCAAGAACGGATTGGGTGCCTGGGGCATGAGCTGGGCGGGCTTCGGGGGGCCCACCAATGCATCCAGGTTGACTAGACTTGAGTTCTCGCCCAGGAAATCCTCTGGTTTCTTGGCGGCCGATAACTTGGAGGGTAAAGAGTCTTCCATGCCTGTCAGGTCGAATGCCCCTGCGCTGGTCATTCCTTGTGAGGTCGCAACGGGCAGGCTGCCAAAGAGATTGCCGTTGCTGCTCGGTGGGGCTGGGGCAGCAGCCGTGTTGGAGCGGAGGAGGTCAAATTCGGCATCCGGATCTTTGGGCTGATTTGAAGGCTGGACAGCCCAGGGATCATTCTGGGGGTTGACAGCAACAGGAGCAGCCACCGGTGCAGGTACTGGTGCAGGTGTTGGTACCGAAGTGGCAGGGCTCCCCCATGGATCGGCAGCGGGTTGGACAGTAGGCGGAGCGGGGGCCCACGGATCGGCTGCTGGGGCAGGTGCTTGGAGTGGAGGTGGTGCAGCCAGGGCTGTCCAGAGGTCGCCCTGAGCAGCTTGCTGTGGTACTGGCGCTGCTGCAGCTGGAGCGGCTGCCCAGGGGTCGTTGGTCGGTGGTGACTGGCTGAGATCCAGCTTGCCTGAGTTCTGCGGGGAATGGTTGGGAGGGGGTCTGTGAGCTCTGGCCATGGCCAGCAGGCTGGGCTGTTTCTTTAATGTTGGTCCAGTTTGCTCACATCTGTTCTGTGCATGGCAAAGGCCGATAGTCAAAGATTTCATTTGTGTTTCTGGTAAAAGCCTTCTCTGTGGCATTTATCACTTTTTGTATCCCTCATGAAATGAAATGAAAAATGAGTGGTAAATCAAATCACTTGAAATCAGAGGTCTGAAAACAGAGATGTGATTTCAAAACGTTTTTTCAGGCACGGTGAGTAATTAGAACTTTCTTGCAGGTGTAATGACTGGTCATTAGTCAACCAAAGACAAAATTAATATCTGAGTAATGTGACAGTCGGACATTTCAGCACAGATATTCATAATGTGAGCAGATTGAACCCAAAGTTTACAAAGTAAGTATTTTTTTTGTTAAAAAATAAATGTTTACAAAAAAATAAATAAATAAAAAATAACATGCGGTCATATATGTGACTTTCTTATCGTACACTGTATTCCAGGTTTTGTGAAGTAACTAGGAGAAACTGCACGAGGCATAAATATGGCAGAACAGAAAATCAGAATTTTGCACAACAGTCAATATCAGTGGATAATACACGCTAAGGTCATTCCATGAGGTTGAGGCACAATTTGTGACGGTGTCCTTGTTACATCCAAAACTTTTACCACCTGTCATGATCTGTGGAGTGGGTTATTTACTCTGACACACACTTCTGTACTCAGCCTTGCAAGATGTATAACAATGTCAATTTGGAAACCACACGCAGGGAAATAGCTGTTCATTTTTATGGAGCCCATGTAACAATTGACACCATGACAAATTGTGCCCCAACCTCATGGAATGACCCACTATCCGAGAATTATCAGCATGTAAAACTCCAAGAAACTAATGTCAAGATTATGAACAAGCCAGTGCCTCTAAATGTGGAAATCAAAATAAGTTATTCAAACACAGCACTTTAAAAAAACATTCAATTTCTGCAGTATTAAAAAAAAACACTGAAAATGTTAAAATGTTAGTGTTGTTTCAGACTCCATTGCAAAGATGAAGATGTATCTGGGCATGCTCATTACAAGTGGCTTAACTTAGGGTTAACCAGACATGTCAACCTTTAGAATCGCAGAAGTGTATTCGGAGGTTCCAAAATGTGTATTTTCCAATAAAAATGTGTATTTTACCAAACAAACAGGAGAGACAAGCTTACAAGTACCTTTGCGTGACTACATACTATTTGAACTTTAATACTTACTCGTGCAGGCTTAAATGGACCTTATAATTTTCTGGTGTTGCTCACAGCAGTTGCTTTCTTCCATTTACGCAACAGTTCATTTTAGTGTGCACGTTGCTGCCATTGCCTGGCTGTGGCTTGGGTGTATATTTTGTTTGTGAGAGAGTCTGACAGGACTGCAGTGCTATGGGTTGCATTCTTCGTTTCAGCGATGACGCGGTGTTTACCGGTCATGCTATTTAGCATCAACACATACAACTAGTACTTGAACTAGCGTCAACAAAGCGTCAACAATTTGAAAATACCCTCTGAGGATTTAAAAGTAGTTTTATCTAAATTTAGAGAGTCTAAGATCTGCCACTGTGTAAACGAACGTACACTCCACAATGTATGCCGATCGGTTTGGTATGCGACGTTCCGATTGGTTGATACATGCGCTACAAGGGGCATGTGTACATCGCGTACACCAATCACGAATGCTCTACTTTATGAGTTCGCGATGTCTAACTGCGTGAAATGTGGCTTAGTCTTGCTCGCAGCTGCTTTAGCTATTTTAGCTTAGATTTCACACAGCACACTCTTTTTCTCTGTCCGTGTCAAAATTATCGAAATCTGTATTCTAAGGTGATAAAAACGTAAAGTCGTATTTTCATCAATTTTTCCTACAAAATACGCCAAACTCGTACTAGTTGGTAGGTCTGGTTAACCCTGCCGGATGAAGCATACTACAATGAGTGCACAAGTCTGGTCAACTGTTAGGTCTTGTGGTGGCTGGCAACCACAGACTCCGTGGCTGTTTGGCCTTTAGGATGGTCAACCTGTTAGATCTTATTGCAGTGGGCAGGCAAGCCACTTTGACCATGCTTTGACAAAAATACTCTGGAGGCTAAGGGTCAAGGAGTCCAATCCGATGGGGGCAAACATGCTTATATGCTACTGAGCATGACACTTTGCCACATTTTCTACTTCCTTCCTTGAAGTAGTGGGAGTGTCAAAACAACAAAACCACACTCTGATGAGAATGCCTATCACGGCTAGGGCTGTTCCCCGAGATTTGGAACGGAGTCAAGGATGAATATACGAGAGTACAACAGTTTTTACCAACTATACAAGTTAGGTATATAGTGATTATCAAGGGCATGGTGTTTGAATGGCAAAGTGCTAACAAAGCATGAAAAAGCATCCATCTATGCAAGCTTATAGATGAGGATGTTTTTGAAATATAGCATGTTCACATTCCAACCATCATCTTGCAAACAGGAGACACCCCCCGCTCGAAAAATGGAATATTCCAACGGGAAAAGGAACTCCCATGTTTTTGAGAGTGACCTGAATTAATCAAGGGCCAGCGGGGTCTGCCTTGCGCAAAATAAAGCCAATGAACATATCCCAAATTACACTGAAATTTGGAACTGAAAGCCAGTGTTACACGCCAACTGCTGTTTCAAATGACAACCTGATTCAGTTTTTACGAAAAGGAAACCTGCATGCCCAGGAGCTCAAGGAAAGTTGGTCCAAAAGGTAGACGCTTTCATCTTAAGTCTCTTGCTAGTCTGAGACAACAGCCGCTGTAATCTGATCGGCCCTGATTTCATCAAACTGCTAAAGCAGAAACTGTTGCTTAGCAGATTTATGCACCGCTCAAAAATCAGGTGAGAACAAGCCACAAAAATGCATGGCGATTCGCTGGTCAGTGGCTTTTGACACAGAACTACAAAGGGGGAGCCAGCAACTATTTCCTGGGCTGAGGCAATTTCTGAGCTTAGCGGTTCTACAAAACTGGGTCTAGCTTTCAAGCTGCCATACCTCCTCCAGGCTCTCGTTGATGGCCATCTCCAGTCGTATTCTCTCGTTCTTCTGCTGCTGCCTCTCTTGCTCCGCCTCCTCCTTGCTCATGGCTAAGGCCAGCTGTAGCTGCAGCTCCTCCTCGTTGGTGGTCTGGGGCCGGGCCTGCTCAATCTCTGACGTCAGGTTCCTGGTAGGGGGTGGGGTGGAGCTTGGAGCCGCTATTAGGGCGGGAACAGAGCGATGAGAAAAAAGCGAGTTAGAAGAACACTAATCATGTTTTGATCACATGCAGCTTTCCTCGTTCTACTCATCCATCAACCTTGCAATAACAGCTCGCACAAGTAAAATTTTTGCACATGAAAAGTTAGGGAACCGTGCATACTTTGAGCACAAGAATTGTACATACAGAAGGGGTAATATACATAGTGAAAGACTTCAGGGCAAAATACTGACATGTGGGTACGCAATGCACATGTATCACTGCAAAGCAAAAAAGAAGTCAAACTTAATGGGCAGATATTACCCCTCCTTTGGTTGTACAGCACAAATGTGCACAAGTGCCCAAGGTCATTCTCTTGCATGTTGGTGCAGTGCAAAACACAGCACAGATGTGCTTCTTTGAAGTGTTTACCAAGTGACCCAAAGAGTGACTTCAGCATAGGAGGGTTAAAGGAGAATTGATCTCGGGTCAAACATAACAAAAAAGTTACCTCCACTGAGAAAATTTGAGAGTTATTCTCTGAAGATTACCTGGAGTTGTTCCTGCTGACGAAGAAAATGTGTCTGTCCTAGAATTGCTCCCGATACCCTGGTTTGCCTGAGCAAAGCGCTCCTTGGCCTTCAGAGCCGCCACCCGCTCTGACTTCAGCCGCTCCTCGTTCTTCAGTAGCTCCACGATCTGCTTGGACTTCTCCCGCACATTGCGGCCCACGTCCTGGTTGTTGGAGTCATAGAACCGGAAGTCCTTGAGCGTGTTGATGTCCACGATCTTTTCCTTGCACTGCTGCGCTACCCGCTCCGAGCCGGTCTTGATGATGTAGTCCAGCAGCACCAGCGCCTTGTAGACGTGCCGCCAATTCTTGCCCTTGTCGTTGATGCGCTTCCAGATCATGTCCATGATGTCGGTGAAGGCCACCACATTGTAGGTCAGGTCCGCGATTTCTGACATGGTGGAGCTGGCTGGGCCCCAGGGATCATTGGACGTTGCATCCCGCACCTTCCTTTGGGAATCATTGTAGTTTTTGATCACGTTCTTGATTTTCCTGCTGGTAGACATCTTGAGGGGATGATGTTCTTTCCTCAGTCCCAAACCATACAAAACACGTGCAGTTACTGACTTCCAGCTGTTTTTTTTCCCCTTTTCAGTGCACTAGCTAGTAGAGTTTCACACTTGCACTGATGTACATAGAGTTCACAGGATAAAAGACAAATGTTCTACAAATCCAGATCAGGTAAGTTAGTCAAGCTGCAAAACAGATGGGAAGAACTTAGTAACATGTGTCACATGAATATATGCCGCAGGATGAAGGTTTGTAACAAACCAACCCTCACCTCCCAGGTCTTTCAAAAGCGTTTGGAGGTTTGGGAGACACTATTACTTTACAAGGTACTTGATACTACTTAACCCTAACCGCCCAAGGGTTGCTTGAATTCTTTTTACATTCATCATTTGATTGACTAAAAACCACATTTTTATACACCAAAACGATCCATTATATGACACTTATTACGTTGTTAGTCCTCTTCCCACACCTGCAAAGATAAGCGGACAAGTACTATTGATCGATTGCATTTAAAATGTTGGCATACACAGAGCAGCACACCCAGGGCCAGCCTGCTTGTATTTGGTGTACCATACCCCGATTACATAACGCGCACATTGTACATGTCCAACCAAATTCAATCAACCTTGAAATGCAATGTAGACTAACTCTCATTCCGTCTATGATGAATTTTTACGCACACAATTTTTTTCTGTCAGGTTTATGAACTCCCGATTACTTTGCAGCAGTGTTATAGCTACACCCGTCAGGGATCTCCACCACAGCATTCTACCATCCAGCACTAAGCTTGATGAAACAGCATACTGACCGGTACAAAAATCCTTAAAACTTTCATATTATTCATAAAAATTTCATATTATTACCTGGAATAAAAAAAACATTCTTAATCAATTTGGAAAGAAAAACTCACTGAAAAGTGATCTAGAGTCCCCTTCGGACCCTGGACCCCCAGCTATGACCCACGAGACTCTAGTCACTTCCCTCCCTTCGCCATGATTACTAAATTGTCCTGCACTAAAATATGGCAGGCTATTGCTAGTAGGGCCTGTGGGTAGGCGCAGACAGCCGGGAGTTTCACAAAAATACAGGTAGCAACTACACCGCGGCCGGTGAAAATAACTGCAACGAGTGCACGCGTACGTACAGATCAAAGAAAAGACTGTATAACCCAATCTTCGGACTGGCTGGTGCGTGCATACGTCGCCAAGGTCGCTGTTTTCACCGTGCAGAACCTGTCATTTTGCAAGAATCCCGGATGTCCACAATGCACCATAGTACATGAAAGTCAAGTAGTGTAACATTGCTTTGTTTGTGGCCATTTTTTCCCCATTTCAAAAGGGACAAATAACGACTTTTCTTAATTAATGAAACTTTTAAAATAATAAAAAGGTTAGGCCCAAGTCAGCAGATATCCACAGCACGCATCACACCAACTAAAGTTTTGCACATGTTCCATGATATTTTTTGTAATACTTTACTGCCTAGTGTAATGACGCAGCCCATTATGTGCGTAGGCTACTTGTCCGAACATTTCCGCCCTTATTTTCAAAATTTCACACCACAGACAAACGTAAATTAAATCACCAGATAGATCACCGTAAAACCTTATCATAAAAAAATCGGAATAGTCACCTCTTACCACTGAAACACGCAGATAAGACGCTCACCTTCCAATCTTCGCCCAAAATGTGAGTTCTTCCGCACGACACGAAACATACATCATGCACTAAATGCTGAAACAGTAGGATCTCGCAAAAACTTTACTGTTCCGGTTTACTGGTACTCTGCATTGTGCAGTTTGGGAGTGAATTATTGAAGTGACCAACTTTTATCATTGACATCTCGCGAGATTTTCCATGAGAAAAGACAGGTACGCCAACAGGGGGCGCTTCTGATGGTGACGTAAACGCCAGTCAGCCTTGAACAGCCCTCTGCATCAGATCTTACGTATTTGACCTTGCATCTGTAGGACAGCCTTTCCCAGTCTGAAAAGATCTGTCCTTGCTGGTGAAGAGATGGACATCAAGAAAGTTGAAGGATGGTGTTTCCTCTGCTTAAATTTCCAATCACCTGGCCTTGCATTGTGGGCCACCCGTTGATTAACTCACAAGGGATAGGAGCAAGAGTCCACAGAGTTAAAATCAACAGCAAGAAAAGTTGGAAGGCTGGACCACACTCCGCCAACGGGGACAGAGATGCCCCTGGAAATGTAAAAAAAAAAACCCAAAAAAACCCCACCTTTTTTAAAACTAAATAAAATAAAAGGACAAACCAACAAGCCCGACAGGCGGGTGCGCCGAATTTAAATGGCTTGTTGGCCTTTGGGTCTGATGTGATTTAGTACATACATGTACAATACACGCACACTTGTTTTACATACGAAGTGTGGATATTCCTTTGTTCTTCTGTGGTTACGGTAAATGCTCCTTTTTCTCTCACTAGGCCATAGGATAACTCCTTTGAGCTGGATTTTGATGATAATTTCCTGGACTATTCCTCTTCATTATGCTACGGATAACCTTGACCCCAAAATCATGCCTCTGAAACTATTTTTCAGAGAGGGGAAAACATTGTGTGGAGGTGTGCAAGTCCACACAACGCCATCGTACCTTGCATTATGTGGAATACTCTTGTGCAGAAGTCCACACTATGATGTATGACACGCCTGTACACCTTTTTGGTCCGGGTTTTGCAAGAGTTTTGTGGAAAAAAGCCTTTGAACAATTTTGGCCAGTTTTGTTTGTGTCACTGCTTTTCTGGAGCAAATACCGTAGTTTGCCGCATATAAGAGTTAACTTCTCGATTTTGGTAAATCAGTCTCGCTGTTCGATCAGTTGTCAATAACATCGCAACTAAGTATCCCCCTTTCCCCCAAATTAGCTGGTATCATCAAGTTCGCCTGAAGATGGACGTTTACGAGGAAGAACACCTTCTCCGACCCCCCCCCCCCAAACCACACACACACCCAATCTAATCTGGTACTAAGTTTTGGTTAGCCACGGGCCAACTCATTCTTTCTTATTGTTGAGGTTGGTTGGTCGGTTGGTTGGTTGGTTGGTTGATGGCATGTCACATAAATGCCGCTTATGCCATGAGAATTAGACATGCATCAGATACACGGGCTGTCATGTCATACCATAGTACTAGCTACCACTAATTGGACTTGTGTGCAGCGTGCGTTCGACGTTGAAGCTCTGTTATATGTGGACGACCGAAAACTCTAGGAATCGTTACTGAAAGCCGCCTGATTTTGGAAGGTACCAAAAGAACTGGGGGGGGGGGACAGGAAAATAGCAGCAGGGGGAAGCTTGTGATCCTCCAGACACAAGGTGTCAAAGTGCCCTGCGAGGTCGGGCCGTGTCCCGTGCAGTTTAAGGGCCCGGGCCCCGCTCGGCTGATTTGCAGGCCCGCAACACCTCCAGGTGAAGAAGTATGACACCATGTTCAGCCAACCACTTATACCACCCCTTCTCGAGAGTTTCACAATATCAAGCAAACCTCAGGGTGCATCGTGAGAATTATATATCAATATTACAGTTCTGAATGTATTTAATAATGTGGTGAAAGTTCTTTTTTTTCCGCAAGAATTTGGGGAAGATTTGTATGTATTTCAGACAGGGTAAGAGATTTTTTGAGGATTTGTCTTTGTGTAACATATTTTCGACAGGTAAGGGGAAAATGTTCAACGTTATCAACACATCCACAGATATCACAAAGACCATTTGGGTGTTTAAAAATCTCATTAAGGAAATTGTTAAGACCCTTGCATGTACCTAAATCGTAACCGGTGTATGGCTACTTCCTCGGCACGATTCGTTGTCCAGTTTGGGAACAAGAAAGAGACATCATTGTCAATATTGTTGGTATGTTTTGGGATTGATTTATTCCAGTTATTTTTAAGTTTTTCTTTAAGAGTGTGTTTCACTTCATTAATCGATGAAGGGATGGTAGCAGTTACCGATAATTTTCAGTATTCTTATTGTTAATTACCCTGGAAGACCTTAAGTCTTTCTCTGTTTAATGCACACCTCCAGTAAAAATGTACTTCTACGTCCAGGCCCACAGCAATTACCACAATGGCGCGGCGTTGATGACGTGCCAGGGTGTGGGTTTTCTTTTTGTATTTAAAAACAAGTCGACACTGAGCTCTGTGTTGGTCTGCTGACGCAGCCACTCCCATCCGAGCATACCATCCAAAGCACGCAAGACCTACCCCGCCCCCCTCCACCTTGTAAACGCCCAAACCAAGCTCCTCCGGCCGCGGCTCTGCAGGGTGCAGACCACTAATTCAAGTGAGAATTTCTGACCGGCTATTAGCATTAAAAGTGCCCCCCCCC